AAAAAAAAAAAAAAAAAAAAATAGCATAGCAATGCATAGATAAGTAACCATTAAAAGTATATGAGCTGTTATATCGTTTCAACGTAAAATAATATTATGTTGAATGACGTTATGGGTAATTGGACCAGCTGTGGAGATTTACATTAAAAACTTGCGAAAGACTAATACTACACATTCATAAGGTAGTAAAAAACTCTCAGGTTCTCTACAGGGGTGATCTTATGAAGATTTCTGCTTTTGGAGATATATAGAAGCTTCATTTCTGATCGAATGGTATATATATACTACGCAGCAGTGCCTCATACAAGCAGACATTTGCTGAACAACAGCCGACTAAATTATAAAACCACCTCTTCCCAAAATTTCAGTTTGCGGGTCTTTATTAGTTATCGTAAGTGAATATTGAATGGGAAACTGTGTTCTACACAGAAATACAAATATCATGAAATTACTTGTTTACCACATCTGATTGAATATAAATTTTTAAAAAAATATCAGGAGAATTTGATCCCCGTCAGATCAGAAGAGACGACGAATAAACTTGCAAATGACTGAAGAATTGAATCCTCAGAATAATGGCAAATCCGCCCAAAAATGTGAACTTCCGATCCTCGTACTTACGGGCTATGTGCCGATTGTGCCATGCGCCGTTCCAGTGAATGAAGTTTGCTGTTATCACACTGAAAAAAAAAAAAAAAAAAAAAAAAAAAAAAAACATTGGATCTAGAGTCCAAACTCTTAAAAACATCGACAAGAAAACTACTCATGATTCAATCAGAATCTAGCTTAAATCAAGAACCAAGCCTCTTAATTTAAGCGGATTTCGTTTTGATTCAAGCAAAAATTCGATTGAATCAAAAGTATTTTTTCTTGTAAATGTTTTCAAGAGTCTGCACTTTAGATCCAATGTGTTTTTTTTCCCAGTGTATTGCTCAGAATCAAAAGAGGCTGAGTAGACGCGTCAGTCAATAAAAAGTACATTGATCTTGGATGATCCTCGTCTGAGGTAGGTCGTGACGATTTTACTTGAAGTGTACGTATAAGGTGCAAGTTACGAAATAAGGGCTACTCGCTCCCAACCCTCAGTGCGCATAGATCCTATGAAACGCTCCATGTACTTTCATCGAGAGCACATGAGGGCACATTATCCTTATCTTCACTTAAGAGGCTGGAGGACAAGGTGCATTAGTGCAGTTTTTGAAAAAAATGAGATGTTCATGAATTCAACTAAAACTAGTTTGAAAGTATATTCTTTGAAAAAGTCACATCTAAAATCCAACTTTGAAGAATAAAAAATTGAGTTTAAACTTCCTCATCGCCATAAGGCTCCATGTAATTTTGAAAGTTTGATCACGCAATTCTTGAAATAGCAAGCGCGGCTTGTTTTCCAAGCCCCTCAATTGTGGGTGCCCTGAAGCTTTAAGAGGTGTGTACTTACAAAATATTTGAGCGCTTTTTTCATTTGTTATTTCTTTTATCTAGTCATACCAGTTGTTCTCTTAAAGTTAAGATCTGACGAATCCGATTAATAGATCAACGAGAAAAGTTTTTTTTTATTTTTATTTTTTTTAAAGCACGCTATAGGAGTACCCGAAAAAACAAACGAATAATCTCAACCTAGAGGAGCCTCTCCTATGCGGTTTGACATTGACGGTCCGGGAAATCCACAATCACTGGAGTCCTGAATAATTCGCATAAGTGATAGTGAACTTGTCCAACTGCAGTGCCTTATCTTCTCCTTCTTGATCACGAATAATCATGTGACATTGAAGTCTGGGCGAGATTAAAAATTATATTTCCTCTGACAGCGCATCCTTTTTTAGGTCAATAACCAAGTTCGCGGGAACTACGTCTAAATCAAGATGCAGCCGGGGAAACCCTGCCCCCATTATTTCCGCCCTTGAATTATTTAAATGGAGTTCCATCAAGAATCTGGTCATTCCTCCGATAATCTCAGAGGGAAGTGCAAAAGTAGGAGTCCTTTAAAACTCAGCACTCTGAGTTAGCAGGGCTTCATTTTATTTTCATCTGAAGTTTGTATGTGAAGTTAACTGGTCACGTATCAAGAATCATGACCCAAGTTTAAACATTTTTTAAAAAACGCAAAATTTTATCGGATATACAGTATTTCAATTTTTTAGTTTCTCACCTAACAAATATTTATAAAAATTACATTCGGATTGCCTAATAGCAATTAAGCTATTAAATATAATTTTTTCATATTTAACTATCCCCAGTTACATACATAAACGGTTTAAATGTTCAAAAATACAGTGATCTAAAACATTTAAAATTTTTGAAAAATAATTCAGTGTATACTAGAATATTATATCTAACTAAAGTGTGTGATCGATGACCGTGAGTCTTATCGATATACGTAAGTACTTTCAGAAATTTTGAAAAAAGGAGAAAAAGCACGAATGCGCTGCCTTTCAAGATACTTCTCTTTCCCTACCCCCACAAATGTCCCTCAGTGCTATCTTATAAACATTTAAAGGAATAATCTATTATGCTTCCTATCAGAATAGCGGTTATATTCGGAGTGGTACTCTGCTCAAATGCTACGTTTTTCGAGGGAGAAAGTGACGAGAGCTACGAGGATGATCGGGAAAGCACCAACAACGAGGAATTCCCAGAGGAATATTCAGAATTGGAGGGCGAAGATGAGAACGGAGGCAGAGCTGAACATGTAGGCGGAGAAGATTTCGGAGAGGGCCAACAGAGAAGCCTTCATCGGCAGAAAATCAAGATCAAAGTAGTAAAAAATGAGTCGCTCTTGAACCTAGTCGGGCAGCAGGTCCAGGAGCAGCACAGCCTTGATGTAGGTAGTCCCTTCGAGTCGATGATGGTCCCGCTCGGGCAGAGGGTGAAGAGCAAGCTCCGGAAACATAAACATAGACATCATAAACATCAACATCAACATCAACATCAAAATCAACATCAAACCGGAGAGGATTTCGAGTCGGTGCCGGTTGTGGACGGAGCGCAGCAGTCTAGCAAACTCGTGGTAGCGCCGCCTTTGTTATCATCGTTACTGGACAAGGTCCTCAAGTAAGTTTTTTTCTTTTTAAGTTGTTAAAGGTTTTTTTGCCCTAGGAGCACTGCAACCTTGTATGGCTGAAGTAAGTTATTCATATGTGATGTGTATTTTCTGGATAGCGAAACTCTCAGAATCAGGAATTTAGGAGTCATAAATCCGAACCTTTATCCCAATGAGCCTTTTTGAGAAAAATCAGGATATTTTGAAATTAAGTTGCGATTTATTTACGATTTTTCGGTGATAAAATCGCTAGGATCATCAACATCTAAGCGATTATCCTCGATCTTGTTGCAATTTTGTATCTATAAGATTGCGTTCGATAAAATCGAAATTTCATCTCAATTTATCACGATTTTTTGTTCGATACCATTGCGGTAAATCGCTGTCGATAAAATCGCGATTTGAAAATTTATAAGACAAAATCGCAATTCATCGCAATTTTGTATACGATAGTATTGCAATAAGTCGACGTCGATAAAATCACGATACATTCTCCGATCGAATCGCAACTTCGCAACTTACTGCTGCTTGGGATATACGGAGTGTCCTAGGGGTAAATGTCCAGGCTGCAATAGTGTGTTCTAACGGGTTGAAATATAACCTCTCTCCTCTAAAAAGTGTTTTCTGAAAGTGCCCCCAGTCGGAATTACGGCCCCCACAATTTTTTGGTAAATCATTGTCTTCTGTAAATTTCGAAAACGGTAAGTATTTGCTAATGGACCAAAACTCATGAAAAATGGCTATGTCTATGGTTTGTAGCGGTGATCCTATTCATGGCCTCAAAGATATCGAGTTAAAGAGGGATTTCAGACGGTCAAGGGGGGATTTATTTTGTAACTCTGAAAGATTCAAGTTCCTCTGAAAGTCCCCTTTTTACTTAAAATTTACATATATTAGAGGCCATTGATGAATTTAGCGCTAAAATTTTTAAAGAGTAGCTTTTTCTATGAGTTTTGGCCCATAATCGTTGCGACAATTCAGGAAAAATAGTGATTCAGCTATTTGAGAGAGCCGTAGCTTAGACTAGGGACACTTTTGGAAAACAAAAGAAAAAAAAAAACTTTATCGAAAAAAGTCTCATTTTGATCCACAGAGCATACCCTAACAAATTCAGAATTGTATATTTTTCTAGTTTTAATGTCTGCACTGGCCTTCTTAAAAATTCGTAAGACCTACGAGTTGGGTCATGAAAGTTTCTGAAATATTTTTGGGAGGGATACACTTACCCTCAAATGATAATATCAGTACAATACAAATACGAGCAGATACTGTATTTGCAATCGAAGAGTGCGCGATTCAAAACCTGATAAGCGTCATTAGACACTGTCAAAATAATTTTTGTGCGCTGTCAATCTTTGACAGAGATCCAGTGTCCTAAGAATACAAAAGCTGTCATGAAAACAGGGCCCTAACTTTGAGAAAATCTCCTGAACAAAACTCCCTAAAATAAAGGTGCACTTAGGTTCTTTCACGGCGTGGCGGCGAAGAACAATATGCGCTTTTTAACCTCTAATGGTGCTTACCAGGTTTGAATTGGACACATTTCTATCAAACAGAACTATGTGCATCATGACGTGAGCCCTGCTATGCGTGTATTCTTAAGGGTCTCAGGGCTCATATCTTAATGCACATAGTTCCGTTTGATAGAAATACATCCAATTACTGCTCCTGAATTAATAAATCAATTTCATGAATCGACTGCACCTCAATTCGACTGATTTGCTCACCTGATCCTGCTTTATTTTTACCTTTCAATTTTTCTTGACAGACCAGCCCGAAATACCTCAAAGGAGGCTGAAGATCTCGAGAATCTTGAAAGTAAGTATTGATTTTCTTGTTGTTGCTTTTCGATTTACAAATTATTCTTATCATATCACCCCTGGCAGTTATTATTTGGAAAGTATTGAGTGGATAGGAGTCATGTGAAAATGTTGAAAAATTGAAATGTTGGTTTTGTTCGAAGTAAAAATTATCTCAGGGTATTTTGAGCTAATTGATTTTTGATAAAATAATACTTGCTACTCATGCAGTTACTTTTTGTTGCTGATGACAAAAACCATGTTAGCTTTTTACAGCATTTACCGTTCGGCATTTTTATAGCTCAAAAAACATCCCTCTTTTTAAAAGCTCGAGTTCCCAAAACGTTAGAGCCATTCAAAGGTTATTTTAGGCTTTAGCTGCAAAAAGTAAGTGAAAAGGATTTCCTCTTTACCCCTGGGAAACATTTTTCCGACGCATGGCAAACGAATGATCATTAAGTGGTATATTAAGATCCGTTATCAGAAACAGCTCAAGAAATATTCTTATGTAAGGCGTGGATGTGTCCCTGCCCCAATGCATATTCGCCATTAAATCCGAAAATGAATTTAATTTTTTCCCAGGAAAGCTCGGTTCCGAGGGAAGCTCTGTTTTTCCAGGCAAAACCGGGCTGATTTTAAGTTGTGAAGAAGTTATTTTCATAACCAGCGCTAAATATCCGTCTTCAATGAATCCTTGACTTAAACCGGCTTGCAATAACTATAGTGTGAAGGAGTAACGTAACGATGTGCGAATCCCCCTTCTCATTGCACAGCGCGTTAGATAAAGCAGGACTCTCAATTCAAGGTCAGAATATTTAACCAAGTAGTGGCGTGGCAAGCTTTGCGATATTTCGATTGATCTGCCATTTATGATCATGGAAAAGTATCGATGAATCGGGTGTTCGCAACGAACGCCTTGTTAATCGATTCTTCACCATAACTTTAAACGGAGAAATATCGATAATCAATCATTCACGCTTTGTCATACTAAGGCCAAGATTGCGATCCTCTATTTCTTTTCTTACCCTTTGGATTGGGCAAATGTACCAAAGAATCTCTCTGTTCAAATACCGCGAGTTGAACTTTTTTAATTTTTTTTCAGAGTTGAATGAGCCAACTGTACCAGCCGTATGCTATTTTTGGCCCCAAGGAAACGTTCGGACTTTTGATAACAAAGTATTCAGGTTTGTTCAGAATTTTATCTTGCATTCACTTGTTCGATGCTATAATTTCGCAAAATTGTCCTCAATTTACAATAAATATTTACTGTATACGATGGCATTCTCAACAAGATTTACGGTTATATTGTTCTTCGGTATATAGAATTTATATATATCGTAACTATATCTTACCCATCAAAATGTAAGTTATTTTGGAATTCCGTGGAAATGAAGAAAAAAAAACCCAAGAAGAAAACTTAAAGGCAGGGTGTGATTGCATTATTTCAGGCAAATTCATGGTACCGAAGTGATCTATCAGAAACCATAGTGCTTTAGTATGCGTCTGTAATACTTTGATCTGAGTACACGTAAAAGACCTCTCACGACGATTTCAACTTAAGGAGGTTTTACAGGGTGATGCATAAAAGTAAAATATTACCTATGCCGTCCTCATAGCGCTCCCAACCGCGCACCAACCGCCCGTAGATCCTGCCTGAGTTCCTCCAGCAAATAGTATATTTTCATCTCCTACCTTATTCCATCAATCTACGATTTGTCAGAGGCAAAAGCGTCACCTCCAGTTTTTACATCCAAACTTTCTACGCACTGATAATTTTTACCTAACATACTCTTTTTTCCGCAGTTATAAAAGTGGTGCTCTACTAAAACTGATCGAGTCAAGTTCATTCGTCGTGGATGTTCAGGTGGACCACTCACTCTGTATTCAATCTTCCACGCCAACTCAGAACTGTATTCAAGTGACAACTATTATTCTGGTCAACGATAAAGAATACGTGATAAAACACGACGGTAAGGTGTAGTATTAATTATTATGAATTGGATAAGAACAGGTTTATTATTCACAACAGATTATCTTATGAGGCATGACTAACATGCACTAGGTAAAATAACCGAGGTTCAGAAATTCATGGAATGTATTCATTCAAAATCGACAAAATCTCCCCCTCTCTCCTGGTTATTGTCCAGTTTTTTTTTTTTTTTTTTTTTTTGCACGAGTTACGGCTTATCTGAAAATTGCATTGCTCTTAATGAATTCCTGTCAAGTTAAAATATTACATGGCCGCACCTCATGAATAAAAAACTATAGAGAGATTCAAATTGGTGCATACCGATCAAATATGAGGTTATAGGACATTTCGTCAAGGATTTTTTGTCCGCGCACCTGTTTTTTCCAGTAATTTACGTCCACGCGTTTTTTTGGCACGAAGGTTTTGGTCCACGTGCCAGTTGAGACCCAAAGTTAATTGGTCCACATGTAAATACAAACGACAATTGCTCACAACATTTTTGGAAGAATGAGGGTTTGCTTTTTTTTTTTTTTTTTTTTTTTTTTTTTTTTTTTTTCTTTGGTTGTTTGATCCAACGGAGAATAATATATAATTGAGATTTTTGGTAAACATGAGGGAGCGTCAATTCCAAGAGACAAAATTCACTAAAACTCTCTACACCTCTTTGGTGTAACAGGACTTAATTATCTTTCAAGAAATTCCCACCTCGTCATACTTGAACCGGATGAACCTCTTGATTTGCCTCAGCTAAAGGCTCTCAGATTTTTACTGTGTACTATAAGTATCTTGATTTATCTTGCGAGGAAAGAGGATATAGGATCTGCACTTTTAAAGGATGCCTGTCATTCTTAATAAGTTCAATTTCGTATAATACTGTGCAACATCCCTGTTGTGAAATAGTTGCTTCAGGCGCCGCCGCACGGCGGGCGGGCGGTCAGCGCGAAGCGCGCATTGGCGCCTACAAACCTAAGTGGATATTTCAAGCATTGTGCAATGCGTGACTTATCCACTTAGGTTTGTAGGCGCCAGTGAGCCTCTCACGCTGGCAGCACGCCACTCGGCTCTGTTAGGCTCTAATATTGAATATTATTGATGTGTAATTTCAAGAAATGCATGGAATAAAATATTTTACAAAGAACATTATTTTTTAAAAAAAAAATAATCTCGTTGCATTGTATTTTCATTTCATGTTTTCAGTAAACGGCACATTTAAAGTATACACTGCAGAGACAGAGCACCCAGTACCATGCAAATTCGATGGATTCGAAGCTAAGAAATTATCAGCAAATGCTTTCGTAGTCAATACAAATGAAGATACCTTATCCATTCAAGGAACAAATAAAGTATGTATTACGTTTGCATTATTTGTCACAGGTTTGGCAATCAGTGTTTCCGACTTTTGGCGATAGGAGCTTTTGTCTTTAGTGAATGGCGGTGATGAACTTTGCGATTAGCTTCTTTTATTCCTAAATGAGTCCATAATACATGTAATGATTTCATAGCTTTGGTTCATTTTTGTCAACTAACTTTGATGTAAGTAGGGCACAAGCAATTTAAAAATAAGGCACTTTGATGTATTCTCTTTATTATTATAAAACTATAAATCACGCCACTTTTAATTTGTGCTTATAAACGGTTTTCCAAGGAGGCATTCTAAAGACGACAAGATTGAACCATTATCCAATACACCTTACTTTTTCTTGTTCCTGGGTTGTCGTATCTTTTATCTTTCTCTATGGAGGAAAAAAAATGATATAACCCTTTACATGCTGGAACAATATACACAGTTCTCATGATTCAAAAATGTTGGATAAATTCTTTCCAATTCTCTTATAATCTGTTGCATTTCCGCGAGGAATTTCCTTTAGATCTACTGAGACTGACAGTATATGCTGCATTAAAGTCACTAAATCCGTACGTTAAATTATTGAACCGTATTCCCGTGCATAAAATTTAGCCCACACTTATATTCTCGCACATTACAGTTTTACACCTTTACACTTCACACCTTTGTCGAAGGAGGCTCAAATGAAGAAGTGTCAGGTAGTTTTTTAGTAACCTATACAAGCACTGGTGCCTAAACATTAACAACATTAACTGAATACCCTATCTCAATAATTGGCGTGATTCCTTCTTGGATATTTAAATTCGATTTCAAAGTATATATTTTAGCGCTAATGTTAAGAGGAGTACAAAATGTGAAAACAAAAATAACTGGATGTCAATATTTGCAGGGGATTATAAAAGTAACGGTTCAAAGATTGAACGTGAAACCTGTGAGTGGTTTATGCGGAAATCTGGACGGAAACCCAGAAAACGATGTGGCGGCCTCTGATGTCAAATCTTTCGTCAAGAAATGTGAGGAGGGTCGTATTTTTTCGTTCATAAAAAAATGGAAAAATATTCTGTTCTCAGGTAAGAGTTTTTTTTATCGTTTGATTGATTCTACGAGTAAACTGAAGAGAATGAATAGTGAGTAAAAAATGCTATCCATAAAGGTATAGGAACTGCAAACTCGGAGAAAACTATCTAAGAGAAAACATGCTCTCATTGCTCTCTACCCTAAGTAGAGAATATGAAATGAAGTAATTACGTTGCGTTGGTATCACTAAACTGCCAATAACATGGCCAGCTGGGATCATACTTGGGTGAAACCGCTCAGAAATAATTAAAAACCATGCCAAGAATGTGGACTAGCAAAAATGTATACATCCATATCAGAGTCAAAGCCCTTGTAGAGTTTTCAGCAAAAGTGGTGCACTGCACTCCGAATAATTTTACTTCTCTGACGCCGCGAATTGGAATGATCGCGGGCCACAAAAGGCGCGTCCGTCCGTGTGCTCGCGTCATACTTAGCGCCTTCAAAACCAAAGAAATACCGTCAATGCTACACCGCCATACATATATGCCGATGTGCAAGTTGCCTACACTGCACCTGCCGGTGTGTACAGCATCCGCGATCCACGGATCGGGCGATCGAGCACGATATGACTTATCTCAGACTCGTCGTGAAGGGAGAAAAGGGCTGGTTCCAAGACCGCCCAAAAAAAGGAATATATGATTTCTTTGAAAATTAACGTATTTTATTGACATTTCTCTTTGGTGCATAGTGTTCTTTATTTTTCCAAGTTATTAATTTTATTTAATTTTGCAGAGGGAAAAATCACAGCGACTGTTTTTTCCGAGGCAGCCATTAAAGACTCATTCTGTTACGCTTTGAAACAAAATCCGAAGTTTGCTGAGTGCAGAAAAGTGAGTAATCCATCATGATTTTTTAAAATTAATTTTATCAGTTGGTGATCATAGCCATGATGACGTAGTGTAGTGTATTGTGCCAATGTAAACATTATAGTACTTTAGTGAGGGAAGAGACAAAATCATTACATTATGAAAATGTAACAACCTACGTCTGTAGATTTATGATTCATTACATATGCACTGAAAAAAAAGAATCTTACATTTGCCGCCAAGAAGTATTTCTTCTTAAATCAAGGTTTTTGCTGCTTAATATAAAGTAATTTTTTGCTTAACCCAAGCATTATTTTCTTGTATCACGAAAAATTCAGCTTAAAGCAAGAAAAAAAAATTATTGGCGGCAAATTCAAAAATCTTCATGCTTGAGCCAAGCTTCTTTTTTTCAGTATGTTATTTAAGTTACTATTTAACAATCAGATCCGCAAGAAGTAGATACACGTCTTGAAAGTGTTTCATCAAATGTTGACGTATATAATCCAAAAAATAAAGAGAAAAATGGCGGTCCACGCCAGGCCGAAGATACGAACAAGAAAATAAGACCGTTATAATAATGACCTTTCCAGTTATCCCATTGGCAGGAGATAACTAGCGTGGGTCACTGATGGTTTTATTTTAAGCTCTCATTTTCAGCATGTAAAGTAATTTATATTTCAACCTGACCCATCTTGAAGTTGATTCAAATGAACTATATAACTGCAACATTTTTCGTCTTTCAGAAAATGGGACCCAATGTAGTTGAAGCCTACTTCGAGGCATGCATGGGTGATTACCTGAGCTGCCCGCTAGAGAATAAACAAGACTGTGGTTGCACCACGATTGAGGTGCTAACCGAAATCTGTGGGAGGATGAACGCTCCTGTAGAGAAATGGAGGCAGTCGAATTTCTGCCGTGAGTATAAAAACACTCTTCGTAAAAGTGGACGAACGGAAAACGAAAATGGAAAATAGTAAGAGATAATCGAAACACTTGAGGCGGTTGCCAATCACGATGAAGTGAGAGCGAAACGTTTCTCGCGATTGGCAGGAGCCAATCACTATGCGGTGCGTCTTGCGCTGCGGTGGTAGCCAATCGCCATGAAGTGAGAGCAAAGCGTTTTGCGCTTTTGGCAGGAGCCAATCACCATCCAGTAGCAGTCGTGCGTTTTGCGCTCTTCCCCCATTGGCTGCCGCTCCTTATTCTATGGCCACACCTGCCCGCCGCCACGCCGCCGGAGCTATATCACCAGCACCTCCTGGCCCATCAAGTTCCACTGGATGGTGATTGGCTATTGCTACACACTGGATGTCTCGTGATCGCACGTGTCCCTGAAAATAGGTCGTCTACGTCCAGTTGCACATCAATGGAAACTTACAGAAAAACACGTGCCTCTCTTACCGGGTTTCAAAGCTTGTATTTGAAGCCATTTCATTTTTTGAATGTAAGAAAATAATGTGACAGGAAATTTGCATTGCATCTCACATTATAAAACACATTTGTATGAAATAAATGAATCGGCCAAAGTGTATTTCACGTTGCCTAATTTTCTCTCGTGTTATAGTTATATGTTTCTATCAGCGGGCCGATTATTGAAGTTGATGGACAAAGCTATAGACAAAGGAGACAAAAGGGGTGTGGAGGGATCCTGTTGGTGGAAGTGGGTGGTTGCAATGGACAAAGGCAGACAACCCACGAGAAACCCGACAATTATTAGTCCATCATTTTCTCCCTTAGTCTATGGGAACCACACATTTCAACCAATAGGATCGCTCCATACTCCCTGTGTCCTTTTTGTCCATAGCTTTGTCTATCAATTTCAATAATCAACCCGCAGAGAACGTAACTACGTAACGTTTTACATGTTTTTGTAAATTTACCTTAGACTTTAAAGAATATACACAAAATGTTAAGATTTTGTGTTGTCTAGTTTTCTATTTAAAGAATAAAAAAATAGAGAAAATTAGGCAACGCCAGATGTGGTTACATTATATTCCTAATGCAAAGTTTTCGAGAAAGCACCCTTTAATGCATTACTATACTTCCCACATTAAATTGTTTAGCTCTAGAATGCGGGGGAAGACTTTACAGTTCCTGTGCTCCAGCTCATCAACCCACCTGCCGTGACGCTTTAGTTCTGCCCACCATTCCCGAGGCGTCGGGTGATGAGTGCCAAGAGGGATGCATCTGCCCCTCTGGAACTTTCCTGCATAACGGTTCATGCATCGCTGCAGACAAATGCCCATGTCTACGGATGGGTAAAGAGTACGATTCCGGTGACACATTTACCGAAAACTGTAACACTTGGTGAGTTTGATTTCATGTCCCGCACCGAATCTCATTGTGATGTTAAGAGACGTCAACTAATTTGATTATACTCAAATTTGTTTGATTAAAATCTGCTTAATTGACTTTTCCTCGTGTGTGCCTATACTACCATGCTAGAAAAACACCATAAGAACTTCGGATGTTCATTGTGAGAATTCTTTCGATAAAATATTTTTGAGGAAAGTTGTAAATATTTTTTCTTGCAATTTTCAGAGCCGTCATAGATTGATTTGCAAACAAAATTCTCTGAAAAGAAATATGAAGTGAAAATTTTAATTGAACAAATTGAATAATGCATAAGCGAGCCACAATTGGAAGTCGGTGTGCTTGTATGTATGTGAGGGGGGGGGGGTAATTCTTTTGAAGACAGGCTAGGACTTAGGGCACTTCGAAATCTTCAAAGGCGCATAACGCCCGTATTGTGACACCTCGTCCAAGAACCTTGTTTTCAATTGGTTCATCGTTACCCATATTGTTTCTCTCTTTAATTCTAGCACCTGTCAAGCCGGAGAATGGCACTGCACGTCAAAAGTTTGTAGCGCAGAGTGTTCAGGGTTCGGAACATTCCATTACCGAACATTTGATAAATCTCACATTACTTACAATGGATTCTGCTCATACACACTGATGAAAACAGAAAATGTGTCTATTTACAGCATATGTGATAAAAAGGTACGCATTTTTCTAGTAACATCATTTCCAAATAATAAAAAGTGTGCTGTAAAATATTTGAACGAAAGTAGACAACATTCAAGCATTCACCGAATATCCCATCGAAGTTTGACAACAGAAAAATGAATTAGAAAACTCATTAAAGTCATTCTACATAATTCTTGGATTTAGAAAAAATATAGTAAAGGGAAAAGATAGTTTTGCTAAAGGCTTAAATTTTCCGTCCCACTCGCCGAAATTTGGGAAATCTACCTAAAAATTGTCAAATAGTCTGCCGAACTAGAACCGAAGGTTCCCAGTCTTCGTCACCGAGCTTTTACGGTACGGATAGTGCCGAAAACGTCTCTCTTTGCAAGAGTTACTGAAGGTAATTTTTTTTTTTAAAAATACAATAATATAACATATTGTAGAAGAACATTTATGGGAACAACAATTAGTTATGCCAATATATTCACTGTTTTTATTGATTTTAGAAAAAAATTTCCAAGAAGAAAAACATCATTTTGGCTAAAAAAAAAGACGCAAATGCTTGCTTTACCCCTAACCCAAGTTGTAGAGATAATTATGTTTTCCACTATTTCTTGGCGTTTCTGGGAATCTGCGGAGTATTTTGACATCATCACCAACTATTAACACCACTTTGTTACGATTAACTATACACCAGTAATCTCTTAATGGATCAGTGGCGTGGCGTGCTTTGTAATATATAGATTGATCTGCTATTTAAACCTATGGAGGAGGATCGATAAGCAGGGTGTTGACCACGGACACCTTAACAATCGATCCTTTACCATAGATCTAAATGGGGAAATATCGAAAATCGATAATAGACCACTAGACAAGGTACGAATTTCAGCATTCTGATAAATGCTTCTTAACCAAAATTTCACGTAAAACACGATGCGCTCAAAAAAAATTACCGATATCAACTCCTTAAAAAATATTTAATGATTCTTGATGCGTGAATTCAAACCACCCGCTCATGAAAACTCAATGCTCTACGTGATCACATCGCGCGCTAAACGTTATCATGACAGTCTCTGCGATATAAAAAGTTGGCAACCTCAATCTTGACGCTTTGGCTCAGCTATAGCAAATTGCTTATAGTTTGAACAACACATGGTGGGAAATGAACATTGCTCGATCGAGAAGCTTATTGAAACCGTTGTAGTGCGCGATTTGACTTACGTAGAGCTTTGAGTTTCTTGTGAGCGGGCAGTTCAAATTCCGTGTAACCAATGTGAAATAAAAACATTTATATCTTCGTTAAGAGTTGGTTTCAGTCATTTTCGTTGCACGAATCGTGTTCTGCGTGAAATTTTGGTGAAGAAACAAGTATCAGAATCCTACAATTCGTATCTTGTCTAGTGGTCCATTCACGCCTCGCACTGTGCTTGACGTCACTTATTTTGTTTAAAAGAGACTTATAGCTGTGAATGAAAGCTCTAGCAAATAATCCTGTTTACATCATCCTCAGTTCCTCAGTAACTGCATTGGTTGAGAAAATTTAAATCGGCATGGCAGTCCGCTGTAGAGATATATGGTTCCAATAATGTTATTTTCTTTCCTCTATTCAAATTTAGTTTGGAAATTCACCAATGCAACCGTCAACTTGTGCCAGACACATCCTCATCGAAATGCCTGAAAATCGTATCGAGCTAAGGGAGAAAAGAAATGTTGTGGTTGACAATTTGTTTCAAGATAACTTACCAATAAATGTGAAAAATCTTGCGACCATTAGGATAGCATCGTCTATGTTCATTCAAGGTAAACTTATGTTATTGATATTTCTTAACAAGAGTGAAATACGTCAAAACATTTTTTCATCAGACATAAAAACTTGATTTTCAAGTTCACTGAAGTTCTGTGGCCACGTGAGATCGGTCGCTTTTGCAATGAAGCGGCCACTCACGACACACTGACGTAAAAATATTAGTGTTTCTGTGTTACTTTCAGATAATATAGGACGTGAAACACAAACCAAAACAAATTTTTTGTTGAACTATGTCCAATTTGCGGTGAATTTAGCGTAGAAAATAACGGAGAGACTGGGAAAACGCATTCCTCCGATTGCAACGTTGGTGTTCACCACTCGTTTTTATTAAATTTCCGCAAGAAAACACGCTGACATTTTTTCTTGAAATTTGCAACCCAAGGCTAGGGTTATTTTGTGTTTTATTTCCCGTATTAAAAAAACTTTTGTGTTGAAGCTGTGAAACTGTGAAAAAATTGTGAAAAGCTTAGCAGTATTCTTATACAAAAAGTCAAGTTTTCCAAATTGTGACAATTTTTCAAAAGCATAATCTTTGTGCAACTGCCTGTATCAGAATTTATTCCAACTAAAACATATCAATGGTTAAGGAACAACAGCGCCTAACTGACAATTTTGGCAAAATTGAGTTAGCAACTTTACCGCATTCCACAGTAAAAAATACGGAGGCTGATGTTCATAATTTTTCCAATTTCACACAGGAGGCTGTGATGACGTCATAACGTATGCAAAAATTGCAAACCTAATCTTAAAAGTACAAAAATGGCGAACTTTTCCCCACGTCATGTGAACTCGTCGTTTGCATATAAGCATAGTATTGTTCCTTAGCCATCGACATGCTACAATATTTCAAGCCTTCCTCCTTCTCTCGCTCATTTATTTCGTTCATTGTATTAATCTAACTTACATCTAACTTGTTCAATCAGTGCGACTGTGGAACAGTGTGGAGGTGAATTGGGACGGCCATTCGTTATTTAGCATCTACGTTCCTGGAAGTCTCCAAAATCAAACCAAGGTATGACTACATACACGCTTGTGTCCACATCTGAATCAGTGAGAACGAAAGCACACCAACTCGGGAAAATGAAAATAATTAAGACTTACACAAAACTGCACAGTAGGTGAAGAAGTTAGTTTAAGAAAAATAAGTTTGCTGCCGAAAGACAAGTACTTATGGCCACTTAAAAGGTACAAGTTGGAACAGACGCGCTAACTTCAATGACCATTTGTAAATTAACTACTCGTACCTTTCATGGATATTGAGTATTTTCGAGTTACCGAGTTGGTGTGTTTTCGTTCTCACTGATTCATTTATCTCTTTCATTAATTATCTTACTTGAAACATGCATGAAAAGCTTCACGGAATGTTGTTGATTTGTTTCCTTTCAAAAAATAAGATGGGCGAGGAGATTTTCAAACACTGCAAACGAGAAACGTGGTTTAGGAGTCTCACCGTCGAAATGTGCAAGTTCATGACGGTTTTTCTTTCTTTTTGGGATTATTGATACTAGAGTCTACCGAATGCTGGATGATAATCTTCTTTCCTTCGGTTTTCCAGGGTTTATGTGGGACATTTAACTTCAACCAAAAAGATGACTTCCTCACTCCTGAGAACGACATCGAAAGTGGTGTTAACCTCTTTTTCCAAAAATGGGCTGTACCTAGATCTTGTGTCCGTGACGTCGATTTGGAGGCATCAAGTCAGGTTTGCATAGCAGAAAAAAATAGGAGAGATTTTGCTATTGGTGCCTGCCAAATAATTAAATCTGAGACGTTTTCAGGTGAGATATTACCATAGTTTTTCTCCTCCTCGTTGTAAATGGAGATGTTGCATGTGTGAGAAATTTGCGATTTGACTATTGATTCATACGTAAAAGTTCGTGAGAAACACGATGGTGCCACTGGTTTTCTCTGAAATCAACTCCCAAGCTCAAAAAAAGCTCTCAAGTTGAGGCCAAAATGGAGGGGATATCCCACCCTACCCTGAGAGTCCACCTCTACATCAAAACAAATTCTCCATGCAAAGATAGGGAGCAAATACATTAGCAGGGTTGCCGTGTTTTCAGTTTTGGAGTCGCCAAATAAAGTTGCAGCCCTGTCAATGTATTTGCTCCCTATCTGTGCATGGAGAGTTTGTCTTGATGTAGACGTGGACTCTCAGGGTAGGGTGGGATATCCCCTCCATTTTGGCCTCAACTTGACAGCTTTTTTTGAGCTTGGTAGTTGATTTCAGAGAAAACCAGTGGCACCATCGTGTTTCTCGCGAACTTTTACATAAGAATCTACAGTCAAATCGCAAATTCCTCACACATGGAACATCTCCATTGTCGTGAAAACGTACTGAAATGTCACCCTTGCAAAATTTCCACTCGTAATTTGTACTTCCTCAAGAAACCGCTTTGACATTTCGTCGCTCCTCTGACGTAAGGGCGTATCTGAATTTCCGTATGAGCCCCAGAAAGCATGGCTTCGTACGTAAAACAGGGCTCATGTGGAAATTTAGATATGCCCTCGCGTCAGAGGGGCGACATCCCAAGAGACCAAAAGTCTCGCTGATTTTTTCCCCAACTACGTGCGGAAAAAATACTTTAATTTTTCAACGGAAATTGCACAGTCATATTTTCCGGGAAAACTTGCTTTGTTTGGGTCCATTTTCCAGCTTGGATATGAAGTTACGTCTGGGAAAAATTCTTGTCCTATGAACGACAAATTCACTAAAAATTTGACACCACAAAAAAGAAATAAAAAGAAAAAAAGGTTATGCAAATGAGAACTTCCACGTCATTCTCTACTCCTTGAAACAGTCGCATTTTATGCGAACACTACGACATGTATCATTGTATAATGAAATAACTTTTCCGTGTATAAGTATCAAAAATTACCTTTGATTGGAGTAAACATTTCATTTACAGAATGCCATAAAGTTGTCGACGCTACTCTTTATTATGAAGACTGTTTGTCGGAAGCATGTGGATGTGCTGGAAAGCATAAAGCCTCCTGTTTTTGCGCTGCAGTTGCCGCATATGCTCAGGAATGTGCAAATCAGAATGTATCAATTTCCTGGAGGTCAACCATGAAAGAGTGTGGTAAGATTCTGTTCAGTTAAATTGTAATGTGTAGAATAAGTTGATCGCAAAATAGGATAAATTCACCTAATGATATTCAGGTTTAAATTTATACCCTAAGTGTAACACCGCAGAGTAAGTTCCCAGGTACTTCTCTTCAGAACACCATAACCTGGTTTAAAAAATAATAGAATTTAAAGAGAGGAACTCAGTTTTTCATCATTGTCACGGCTTTGCGATTCGAGACACCGATGAGTTGAAGTGGTGTCAAGCGCAACGTTTTCGTGAGCGAGAAAACTCAGTTATCCTTCAATTCAGTGGTTATGCAATTTGTGTCATCCAGGAGTTGAAATAGTTGTATTCAGTAGTTGTACATCTCAGAGCGCACATTAGTGTAACAAATATTGAAATACATTTAGGAGGTAATAGACCTCGTAAAGCACGCAAAATTAGGACAGTTTTAGTCAATTCGAAGCCAAATAACATGATCAGCACCATATTGTTTCCACGTTGATAGTATAACAACGATTGGCACTAACATGATATCATGTTGATTTCAAGACTTAGAAAGATATCAAGATGTGATCATTTATTGATGCAATATTGTAAGGTGTTGGGTTTTGGAAAAGTTTGAATGAAAACAAATAAGTGGCCGTTTCACGTCGGAAACATGTTGGTATTATTCGTCTCTTCGACTAGATTTTTGCCTTATGGCTATTTTGTTGGTACAATTTTACCAGTACGGTTATTTTTGAGGGCAACTGTGTATATGTATTCGCTAACTATACTGCTGAAGAAATTCACTTTTTGAGCTTTCTTATGACATGATAAACAGCGATACGACTCCTTCACATTCATTGCAAAACCTATTTTTTAGGCTGAACTTTTTACTTTTATGTAACCAGAAAAGTATCTATACGCGCGACGTTAAACGCTGAATTTATCTTGATGAAGAAACAAGAAGTTAGGTATAATATGATAGTGGTGCCTCATTCTACAATAATTAAATTAATGTTCCACTGCAGGTGTCCAATGCGATTTCGGACTGGAATACAAAGAATGCGCCGACTCGTGCAGAATGACTTGCCAGGATTTGTCGACTCAAAGTCATTGTAAAAGTCACTGTATACCCGGTTGTCAGTGTCCCGAAGGGAAGTTTTTGGACTCGGATGGAATTTGCGTTCCTCTGGAGAGTTGCCCTTGCAGACATCAAGGACTCGAGTACAAAGCTGGAGAAGTTGTCTTTAAAGACAAGGAAAAATGGTAATCAAAGGTCAAATATTTTTTAAGATGGTTCAACGACTATTGTATCGGTTGTTTGTCCTAAGGAATTTATCCATAGCTAAAGTACGAAATCACTTCTACGTTTGCTACGTCGCGTCTTAGACTTTCAGTCTTACTTTGTTTTTTCCTCGGAAAACTAGTTAATGTAATTTCTTGGAAACTTCCCTGGAAAAAAATGGGCAATGAAATTTTAAAAAAATACATGATTCTAATTTATTTCATTTTACTTTTAGTCAATGTCAGAATGCGCAGTGGGTTTGTTCTTCTGAGCTGGATGTTGATTTATTAGCGGTGAATCAGACAACGCTCTGCAATGGTGATCTTCATCAGGAGTTCGTACATTGTTTACCATCTAAAATGCTGACATGTCAGGTAATTATGATTTGTGTTTGCTTTTATTTTTTATTTGTGTATTTGATCTCTCATTTTTTAAACATAGAGAGGATTTAAGTTGGATAAAGATTAAGAGATCTTGCCACAAAACCTCCTCAAAATTGTGTCTATACCAATCAATAGCGAAGAAATATTAACTATTTTTTAGTTTATTATTTTTCAAAAACGACGTCATTCATTTTGGACAGAACGTTTTGTCGAGGTGCACTCAGAAATATCGATAAACTTGAAGGTGATAAACACTATTTAGGGCATCCATAACGTAAAATAATTTGAAGAGTATTGGAATTCTACTTCGAAAAGATAAATTAAAAGAATTCTAAAGATACGTAATAAAACGGTCATTCCGTAAAATCATTCATAATATTACATGCTTCTCAAAACTCTTGTATCAACTTTCGATATCTTAATGGTTTTTCTGGTTGGTGAATTTAAAAAAAATGAACCCTAGACACATGAACACTTAATTATTTCAAGCATATTTCAACTAACAATGTTTCAGAACATGATTAACCATACCCCTTCGCTACCGAGTGTCTGCCACAATGGTTGTGTTTGTAAACCTGGTTATGTGTTGGATGCAATCAATGGACTCTGTGTAAAACCAACTGACTGTCCTTGCCACCATGGTGGTCATGGTTACACCAATGGTGAGTCGATCCAAACGGATTGTAACTCCTGTACGTGTGCCAATGGTTTTTGGAACTGCACCACAAAAGAATGCCCTAGTATTTGTTCCTCCTGGGGTGATTCACACTTCAAAACCTTCGACTCTCAGATTTACGACTTTCAAGGTGCCTGTGATTACGTTTTGGCCAAAGGACAGAAAGGAAATGATTCGGAAAGCTTCACAATCATTAATGAGGTTTGTGCGAAACACTTGAATTTGAATTTTCCATAACCTCCTAAGTCCCCAAAGCAATACGTCTTGCCATTTATTTTCGTAGTGTGAGAGACCAAGTGGCAAATCGACTCTTCATTTCAAGTTCTAATTCGAGTTGCCAGAGAGCTGCATTGACACTAGTCCACGACTAGTAATTGAGCTCTGATGTACTTTTTAATGCTGCGATAGGGAAATATATTTTTTTGCGATTTTTGACGGCGTGAAAGGTAAAAAAAGGGTGACAAAAAATTCCAGGTAAAGGAGAAAACATCATCAGCAATAGCACAATGAAAGAGCCCAGTTGTAATTTTTTTTTTTTTTTTTTTTTTTTTTTTTTTTATAATTAAGTTTCGCCATACATTAAAACCAGACTGATGAGATGAAAAAAAACTCTTTCATGCAGGATAGTTTTTAAAAAGACTACACAAGAATAATATATTATATTTTTAAAAAGACTCACTACATAGCTCATATACAATTGCACATCAATTTATCGCATACACACTCACATCTCAGATGTCACACAATCGGGATAAAAATACCACCAGACAGATGAATGAGTATGTGCAAGAGAGTCTTTTTAAAAATATTGATATGCAATACCTTCCTGTAAATTAGAAGATACCTTTCATCCATTTTCAATCATTTGAAAAATTTCCAAGAATCTCTTAAATTATTTTTGACAGTTTTACAAAGAACGAAAAATTCGTTCATCGAAACTGCTCAGACTCTACGAGGTCCATTTGCCATTATTATGCAGGCTCAAATTAATTTCGGTATACTATACGATGGAATAGTTTTCCAGTGTATTAACGTTTTAAAGCTAGGATTTCTCTTCATTTTTGCATGATATTACAATTACATACCTACTGTAAAGTTCGAATACTTGCGCGCTTGGTTTTTACATTTTAATGATGCCAGCATATACCTACATTCATAGACGTCGCTAATTTGAGACGGACAAATGGCTTTGATTTTCCTTGAATTGCGCGTGATATTGCATGAATAATTCAAAGCGGTCGGCTTGAGGCGTCTACAAGACTGTTGGAATACTTCACGCATTACGCCAGACGCAATGCGGTCCAGCAGTCAGCGTGGATCGTGGAACGCGCATACTAGCGCCTACAAGACTGTTGGAATACTTCACGCATTGCGCTACACCCCGATGCGTTCTTTAATCGTTGAATATTTTCTCGAGTAATTTCTCGATGTCAGACCTACCGCCCGCGGTGTACACAATTTCCGACCAATGTACACACACCGGACGAAAAGCCAAAATTTTTCTTAATTTTCGAGTCATACCCAATGACTAATTCGGAATTCGAATAGTTGCGCGCTTGCCTTCCGCTATTGGAAGAGAAGTTGTGGGAAGCTGAACCTTTGTGATAAAAGCTGGACCAAGCTGAAATTTTAAAGTAAAAGTTATACTAACTCGTCATCGTGACCAGTGCAGGAGATTCTGATGGTGTGTTTTTCACTAAAGAACTACTTCAAAATGATAATAAGAATATTCTATAGTTTCACTTTCCAAAATTGTATTGTATTTTTAGGCTAAGAATAATCGACAATGCTAATCTTTTACCTGAAACAGAGGGAACACAAAAAACATGCCTTAAAATCTAAATCTGAGAGCATTAGTCAAAATAAGGATGTCAAGGATGTAAAATTGGAGCAGCATTTACGAAATAAATAAGATTATAGATAATCTTTAATATAACTAGTAACTGGCAGATGGACTGCGTAGAAAGGAACCAAGCCATATCAGCGATTGCCAAATTTACGAGTTAATTTAAATTTTAACATGAAAACGGTTGTGCGGAATCTTCTGAAAATTGTAGGGAATTTGCCTCGTACTATGCAGAAAATTCACCAAAATTTGCACAAAAATCCGCACAACCGTTTTCATGTAAAAAATGATATTGCCCCATAAAATTTGGTAATGGCTGATGTGACTTGGTTCCTTTCTGCTTAACGCGGTCCAAATAGTAGTAGTAAAAAAAGCAAAAAATTTGAACTTCAGAGCTCATTTGAATCAGTGAGAACGAAAACATACCAACTCGGAAAAATTAAAGTAAGCATAACACACACAAAACTGCACAGTAGATTGAGAAATTAGTCTAAGAAATCATGCTTGGTGCCGAAATACAAGTACTTAAGGACATTTCAAAGGTCCACGTTGGAACAGATGCGCTAACTTCAATGAACTTGTGTTGGTGTGTTTTCGATCTCACCGATTCATTTTTTGAGCAGTTTCGAGTTACCGAGTTGGTGTGTTTTCGATCTCACCGATTCATTTTTCCTAGTCATTTTTCAGTTTGAACTTATCATGATGTTCAATTGTAAAACAAAGCTTAACGATTTCATTAATCTATTTACAGCTTGTTCCGTGCGGCTCAACCGGCATCACCTGCTCCAAAGCCGTAATCATAATGAGCAACATCGGAGCCACCGCCAACAAAATCATCCTCTCGAAAAACAAAGTCACTTTCAGCGAATCTAACCACGCTGAAATATCCACGCACGAGACTGAACTTTACGTTATCGTTACGTTACTCCACCACGGAGTGACGTTACGCTGGGATCGTGGGACTCGAGTCGCGGTTCAGGTGGACCCTCGTTGGCGCGGGTCCATGAGCGGACTCTGCGGTAATTTTAACGGAGACGGCTCCGACGATTTCCAGACACCCAGTGGCCTCGTCGAGACCTCGCCTCAAACGTTCGGAAACTCCTGGAAGATCCAATCGTTCTGTACGGATATCGAAGAAACGGTCGACCTGGCCTCCGCGTGCTCCGATAACCCGCATCGCATACGTTGGGTCACGGAGAAGTGCTCGGTTTTGAAGTCTGCCAAATTTGCGGCGTGCCATTCAGAAGTCGTAGTGGAACCTTTTTATAAGAGGTAAGGATTTTGAAGTCTCTTCAGGTAGTAAAAACTCATCAAGCGATTAAGTGTGTTATGGATCAAGTTTAATGGATAGAAATCAAGTTTTCTTCTTTTTTTTTAAAAAAAAAAAATGGTTGTTGCCTGCTGTAGATTTTCTTTTTTCCATTCATGAGAAAAAATTTGTCGTTCGTTGTTTCAAAACTTTAATTTTAATGAACTGCAGAAGTTAAGCACTATTTATTGTGGATTTGTGACCGAGAAAGTCAAATTTGCGCAAAAATACATTTTTAAAACTTTCAATAGCTTTGTCCTCCTCTTCTGAAAATACATGCCCCTTCATAACGTAAATTTTTGAGGAGATGGTGATTTAAACTCATACCTATTTGAGTGGTACGCAGGATCTTCCAGTTGTTTGACACTATCCCTTTAATCGTAAAAAAATAACTTTAGGGTTGAGTCTTAGAATATTTTGATCTAAATCTGGGTGGGCGTCAACCTCAAAGTTGTTGAAAGCACACTAATTTGGGTCTGGCTGGGATTCATCCAAAACCTAGGGGACGCCATTTCGTCCTTTGACTCGAAACGTAACTCTATTTCAATGTTCCATAATTTCATTTCACAAATTTCATTTCTACCGGGAGAATCTTTTGCATTTCTAACTAAAAATGTCACCGATTTTTATCTGATCTCAAGCAAGGATCAGAAACATTTTGGACAAAAATTACGCAGGTATATTCTTGTAAGAAATTACATTGTTTTAATCAATTTTGGAATCAATTCAACCTTGGAATGGAGTTACGTTTCTTCGTCCGGAAAACGACGATTTGACCTACCTCTTGCTTTCCTATCTACCTGCACGAGCACTAATTTTTCCGTGCTTTTTCAGATGCCTATTCGACGCATGCGCCTGTGACGAGGGTGGCGACTGCGAATGCTTATGCACCGCCATCTCCGAATACGCTCAACAATGCAACACACGCGGGGTTCACATCAACTGGCGGTCGCAGCACCTCTGCCCTCTCCAGTGTTCAAATTCCTCCAGCTACGAACCCTGCGTCTCACCCTGCCCACCACCGACCTGCCAGAGCCTCCACCAACCCACCTCCACGTGCACGGACTCCTGCATCGAGGGATGCCGCCTCAACGACTGCCACACCTGCCCTGAAGGAGAAGTAATCTACAGCTCCGATAACTCCACCTGTGTGCCGATCTCCCATTGCCCTTGCTCAGTCTCCGATGGCGTCACCTACCACGAGGGAGACGAGGTCCCTACGATGTCCGATGAATGTCGCAGATGCTTCTGCTCCAAGGGTAGCGTTGTGTGCACGAGCAGACCCTGCAAGTCTTTGGACCTCTTCACCAGCCCTGCGACGACGGAGACTCCTACAACCACTGAGAGTCCCCAACTCGGTGGGAGATGTGAAGAAGGACAGGAGTACCTAGAGTGCAAAATCCGGTGCGGGCAGCTGTGCGGCAAACAGTTGCACGAGGCGAAAAAGAGTGGATTGTGTGGAGATTCTGAGGATGATTGTATCGGTGGATGCTGGCCTGAGAGCTTGGATGATTGTCGTGAGGGATATCTCTGGGAGGGCGTTGGGCGGTGTTCACCGGCACGAGAGTGTGTGTGCGTCACGCCGGATGGAGCTTATCTGAAGGTAATTTCGCAAGTTTTTTCAGAGTAAAATACTGCGTTGATCTTACGCCTTTGTCGCCGTGGGACGTTTCACGGGATTTTTCCCAAGTTCTTCGCAAGAATGAAACTCTTGGGATTTTTCCCCATTAAACAACACAACAAAATTTTTTCTTCTTCTTTTAAAGTTGTTCCTGGAGCTCTTTAATGACTTTTAGTCGGCACTGTGATTATTATCGACTAACTAAATATTTTCCCCAACTTCGCCCACACAATTGAGATTTCTCCCTGGGACAAATCCCATGAATCGTTCCCTGGAGACAAGGCCTCAGAAATCAGTGGCACTGTCACCACGTTTTTTCGTAGTAAAAGTATTTACGTTGAAATATATACATTTTAAATTCATAGGCTTTATCTTTAAGAGACGTGCTCGGGATCCCAGGGAACAATCTCACATGCACAGTTGGGAAAAATATGGAGTTAGTCGATACTAATCACAGTGCCAAGCGGAGTCCTTTTTAAGTCCTAAGGACGACTCGGAGAGAAGAGAAGGAAATTTTGTTGTTTTGTTTTGAGGGGAGAAAGCCCAGAGGTTTCATTCCTGCGATTCGAACTCGGGACAAATCCAATAGAACGTTCCGTGGAGACAAGGCCATACTGCATGCATGCAAGACCTCCATCATCGTGAGATGTGCGAAAAGCAAAACGCCTTCAATTATCCACATATGCAACAAGGACATCCCTCGAGTTCGAATAGTTGTATTAAAGCTTGATCATCAATATCGCGTCGTATCTCGCCTAAATTACGACCTTATCTACATCGTCCTGCATAATTTCCAACATTAAATCTCACTGATTGTGAGATCGAATACATGCACCTGAAGTAAATCGATTCTGTTTGTTTTCATTCCCAGCCTGGCGAGGTCCAGATCCACGGCGAAAAGATCTGCCAATGTTTCAACAACAAGTACGAGTGCACAACCATCCCTTCAACAACGGTCGAGGTGACGAAGAGCCCTGAAATCCCTGCCATCCCCAAAAAATCCTACTGTACGCCCTGCCCTGGGGTCGATCCGAACCCAAGCTGTGCTTGCCGGCCAAACGAAAGATGGAACGGTACCAACTGTGTCTCGAAGCTACTGTGCCCGTGCGTAGTTGGGCCGCACGTTTACGATGTCGGAAAGGTGTTCTTCGACGACACCTGCCAGAAGTGTTTGTGTCTCCTCGGCGGGGACCTCCAGTGCAGCCCTTTGTCGTGCTCTTGCGATTCTGATCTGGTACCCGCCACGACACCAAGCTGCCGATGTCTATGCCAGCCTTGTCCCAGTGGAACCCGATTCTGCCGCAGGGAGGGGATCAACAAGTGTATCTCGGAAACCAAATGGTGCGATGGCCGCACTGATTGCGATGATAGCCGAGACGAAATATCCTGCACAAAGGCTCCTATCGTTAAAGGTAAGCATGTTAGGATTCCAAAAAGGCTGTGGACTTAATGGATGTAAGTGTTACGGGCAGATCCCGATCTCTGGGCAGATCCCGATTTCTGGGCAGATCCCAATTTCTGAGCAGATCCCTATTTCTGAGCAGATCGCAATCTGCCCATTTTTAGCTGGACAGATCGCGATTCGCCCGAGCCGATTGCGATCTGTCCAAAATCGGGATCTGCCCATAACATAAGCATACTAAATGGGTTCGCAAACTCGTAGGAAAGATGTGGTGTGCTCGTTTGAGCTGCGGACGTAAAACCTTTTGGGAAAATGGAAAAAAGGACATTAAATCAAAAGGAACTAAGCGCCAAAATATGCTAACTCATGAGCCATGGGCATGTGACAAGAACGTTATGGTCAGGGCTCATGCGTTGAAGAATCGGATCCGCGGAAGTTTGTTTCTGTCGTCGCCGTTGACGTCACTGGCGTTTTATGATTCCTATTCGTTCTTACGTTCCATAACTAACGAGTATGCTCCTTTTCTCCCGCTCGTCTCTGGTTCCTTTTAGCACAAATACGTTCTAATGTAAATCTGCTATTTTTAATTGTATCTTTATCAGGATGCATACTTTCAATTAGATTATTTGTTGCCTGATCACCCTGAAAGCTGTAAAAGGGGGTCAAGAACTTCCCTAATGATTTTAGTCATTTCAAGGACTATGCAATCGAAGTACTTAGGTCCAGCGACTTCTACAAGTGATGCTTGCAAGCTTCGTTTTCAGATTCCAAAAACATGTTATTGTGCTAGCTCTGCGCTGAATTTCATTCCAACGAACATAGGCGTGCGTGGGTCATTTTGTTAGGGGGCTCCTGGGATTTTAAATCTTTTTGGTCGCATAAAATTCTTCCGCGGCGCAGATTTTCCATGAATTTCTGCGGAAAATAATTCTTAAGAACTTTTAACCTGCCAGTAGTGCACATTAACTTGGTTACTTTACGTTATTTTCGTAACTTGATCCTTACAAACCTAACGACTGTCCGTATTGCATACTTTTTTTCTAATTTACGCCCAGTCAATTTTTAGTGGCAATTAGAAAAGTTGTCAAGGTTTTTTGCCTAACGGTGTCACTTTTTCAATGTTCCACAGAGAAAGAGTGCCCAACAATAACATGTCCACCCGGCTACAAACCTCGCACAATCGTCAAGAGGATAAAGAGATTCAACTTCGCGGCACGACGGAGGGCTCAAGAGGAACAAGAAAACGAACAGTACGGGCAATCTCAAAGTATGGAACAATCTCATGATATGGAACTGTCTCAAAGTATGGAACAATCTCAAAGCATGGAGCAATCTCAAAGTATCCAGCTCGCCCAAAGTGTTCAGACAACAAGTTGGGTGACAACCGAGACGCACATCGAAGTGGACATCAGCTTCTGGGGATCAGCTTTCAGCAAAAATCAAGCTTTGAGCAAGCACTTCAAGAATATCAAGAACAAAAACTCGAAGCAAAAACAGGGACAGAAGAAGCCGAAATATCCTGCCCATCAGAAGAGAGAGGAGCCGGTCTGCCCTGAGTTCGAATGTGCCCCAGACAGCGACACTTCGGTCGAGTGTATTTCTGCGCCAGCTTGTCCGCGCGGATACGAGTTGGAGAAGTTGGCCTCCAGGGAGTCCATCTGCCCCATGTACAAGTGTAAAACAAAACCGATCCCAGACACAAAATGTGAGGTCACGGACAAAACTGTCAGTACGTTCGATCATACGCACTACAAGGCGGACATCTGTAATCACATTCTCGCAAGGGACAAAGAAAGCAATTTGTGGAATCTTACCAGTAAGTTTTGATCATTTTTTTCATGCCACAACGCTAGCGAGCATAAAAATGCACGTATTTATGCTAAAATGGATTACTTGGAAATGGAATTAAAACGAGACAAACTATGCGCATAAGGTTTACATGCTTCATGGTTCCTTTCGATTTCATTCATTTTCACGTAGATTTTACAGCATAAATATAGTTCGTAAACGTTTACATCAGGAATACATATTCGAAAAAAGAGGAAAATGTTTCAAAATCTGCTTTTTTTTAATACACTAGCACACGCAGAGAAGAAAACCATTTTGCCAGTGTTTCGTATGCAAAGTTGCCAAATTTAGCGGTCAAGATTATTGTTAATAGCTGAATGATAACATTTTTTTAAAACAAGTATAACTACACTATAAAACCAATTTAAAAACTCAAGAAACCAGTTTCTCTTGCTGTGGACACATATGCAAAACAGTGAAACATAGTTCAAGCTAGAGGACGAAAGCAAAAACCCGTCAAAGTGGCTTCGAAACAAAGACAAGCAAGTGAAATAATCAAAATCAAGCAACAATGTAAAATTTTAATTTAATTTTGTTTCAATTCTAGTGTTCCAAACATGTTCCATTCGAGACGGTTGTTCAAAAATGCTCAGTTTGATGCATTTGGGCCATAAAATCGAATTTTACAGCAACATGTCGTACACATATGATGACCGCCTGTACTCCTCTCACTTGGTTAGTATGAAAATGCGAACATTTTATTTCAATGATATAACTTCCTGAAAAAAAAAAAAAAAATTATCATAGATTTTTAACCACGAGCTAAATTATGGTCAGTTCTAATTGAGAAAACAAAATCAAAGTATTAGCGGTAAAGCACTTGCGCGTGAAGAATTGCATTTACCGATAAAAGTTAACAAACATAACGATAGCTGATGTACGGGTTGTGGGCATTTGAACGAAGTATCCTCTCCAGGTCGTAGTGTGAACCTTTACGATCAACAAAAGGGTCTTGCCCTTGGCAACGTCTGATGGCGGTTCGTCACTGGGGGAAAGGAGCAGTGCCCCCCTTCCCCCTAAAAAATTAATTGGATGAAGATACATTTAGCCCATTGTCCCTATTCTAGCGCTTCCTCCCTCTCCTTTCGGAGGTGGAAGAATTAATCTTCCTAGGTGCAACTGATTATCTTTTTTCAGCATTTATGGTCTTGAAGTGCGCCTATCAGTCGTTCCTTACACTCCTTTGACCTCTTTTCAACATATCTTCTTTTTATGCAATCTCTTTCGCTTTGCCTCGGTTTCCATGGTGATCCCAAGTCATCTATTGGTCTTGTCTAGTAGTGTGACCTGTCAATGCGAATTTCAGGTGTTTTATTAGCGCAGCAGGGTGGTTTTTCTGCAATAATTAGTGTTGAAAATTCTCATTGATATTCATCAAAATCTTATTATCATGATTTTTCTTCCTTTTCAGATGGAAAAAATTGGTAGGAAAACAGGCGAGTTTGAATTCAAAACCGTAGGCTTTAACATAATGCTTATCAGCGTTTTGGAATTCTCTGTAACTTGGGATAAACATGCGCATGTGAAGATTTACGTAAGTAACTTGGCTCCGATTTGTCGATGTGAGCCTATTGTTATTACAAATTACTACATCGTGCAAAGTGTAAAGACTTATATTTCCATTGCAGAGTTTAAAAATTTCCGCTCTTGTATTATTTCTCCGAAGATAAAAAATTCTTTACATAGTTTGAAATTTTTACAAAACATTCTGCTGATGGAGAGGAAAAATCAAGGAAGTTTTCACAACCTTACATCAACTAGTTTTTCAAAGAAAATATGAAGTTTTTTAAGTAATCGAGAATTTTGCAAGTTTAAACATCACTGCTCACAAAATGATTCTTTCAATACAAATAAAAAAAAAAAAAAAAACGACACCAAAATATACTAGTTTTGCCCCCGCAATGTCAATTTAAACTTTTTACAACTTGCAAAGTTCAATGTATTTTGAAACGTTAAACTTGTTTTTATTGAAATAAAAAAAAAAAATCCCGTTAGTACTTATACATATCTTGCTTTCACCGGTAGTGAAAGTTACCAAGACTGCCATTCTAAGGAAGCATGAAAATCTTAGACATCGTGCTTCAATTTTTTTAACCATTCATTAAGTTCCCTAACAAATTATTTTTCATACCTATCAGCTCCCAGCAAGTTATGCGAAGCGAGTTGATGGACTGTGCGGACTCTTCAATGACAACCCAGCGGATGATCTCTCCATGCCGCACGGCTCTTTGGCTGAGAATGTCGATGAATTTTTAGCCTCGTGGGGCAATAGCTCTTCTTGTCAAATGCCAGCATGTTCATCAGCTGTGTTAGACCAAGCCTCTGGTTACTGCTCAATCTTAAGGTGATTATACCCTTGAATTTCATTGTACACTCATTCGCTTTTATATCTATCAGTTGCCTGTTTCATCAAAGGAGAGATCCTAAGTAGAACCATTTTACATTAATGTGTATAATGATATGAGGTATGCATAAGAGTAAGCTATGCCATTTTGGTCCAGGAATCCAAATTTTGAGTAAAAAATCCTCCCTGGCCTTAATTTAAACTCTAAATCGAAGATGACGGCAAATATTGCCTCAACAAGGGGAGGTCAATTTTTTTTTTTAAATTTGAGAGTATTGTTGAGTAAGGATCGTTAATTGAATTCACAATTTATAATTTTTATATTTTCCATTTAATACTTTTTTTTATCTCTCAGTATTTATTCGAGATGCATTTTACAAATTAAAAATACATTAAGTTGGCTAATTTCCTTTTTCTCCGCAGGAATGAACACTTCAAAGAAAGCTGTGCAAAATTGGGTACAGACAAACTGGAAATAAGTTGTATCGAGAGCATATGCTCTTGCATGGAGATGAGTCGCTCCATTGAAGAATGCCGTTGCGCTGCGTTGGAGCGTATTATGTTAGAATGTGAAACGTCCACCAACTCAATTCAAACCAGTAACTGGCGTGCAACTTACAACTGCCGTAAGTTTTTCCTACCATACATCGGGACACCATAACCTAAAGTACCATATCGTGGACACGTCTATAATCACTGGTCTGTACCTCGCTGAAAATATTTCATTGAGCCTTTGAAATTATTTCGAAGTCCTATTGCAGGATGAATTGTAAAATGCAGTAAAATGCTGCCAAAGTTTTGGAAAACCCCACTTGTATAAGAATGATTCAATAACAACCAGAAATGATATTTTTTAAGTACTTTTTTGCGTAATGTGATGAGAATGCCATTATACTTCATTCATGACTTCACCTTGACGTGGAATAAAAAAAAAATAAGCCGAAGCCTGGATTTGAATACTTTATTTTGATAAATATTTGATATATTACTGATGAGTATTAACCAATATTTGATCGTAACACATATGAAATTAAAATTACGAATTTTTTGTATTTTACAGCTGGAAAATGTGAAGCACCACAAGTGTATCAGGAATGCTTTAACAAAATTTGTGAAACGACCTGTGATAACATCCTCATACCAGGCGCTTGTCCAGTTTTGCCTGATTTGTGCTTACCTGGCTGCTACTGTCCCGAAGGGTACGTGCGAGAAAATGATCGCTGCGTGCAACAAAGTGACTGCAGGAATTGTAAGTTTGCGTTGTTTCTATGCCCTATTTAACCGGTCAATGTTTGAAGTTTTTGAAAATATTTACACTGATAAAAATAATTCTATTCTTGTGTTGCGTTTGATTGATGTGGGGAGTGAAACACAAGCCAACCCAAATTTTGTGTTGATTTCGGTACAGCCTGCGGTGAATTTAGCGCAGAAAACAATGCAGAGACAGGGGCTGGGGCACCCCTTAGTTAATCGAAGGCTTGGTATTTTTTTGTTTTACTTTCCGTATCAACAAAAACTTTTGTGTTGAATGTTTTCTCTATGTACCGCTATGACGAGGAACGCTTAATAGAGCCTTAATACAGGAATTTTCCTTGTAAATTTTGGATTTCATGTATTCTAACGGTATGATCCAACAAAAGATGTTGAATAAAGTTTGAAAAAAGTAGAGGAGGGGGAGCGGTTAAGTATAGGCACATGCTTAACGTGATATCCGTGCGTTAAAGTCACTCGAATGACTACTTTTACGATGTTTCCTCTGCGGGAACAGTTTGCAGAAGTTTCAGCTTTTAAGAGCCTTAGCTCTCAGAGCATCAATATTGAGGGCGCTCAAGTATTAACATATTTTCTAGCTTCATAACCTCGCGTTGAAGTCACTCGAATGACTACCTTTGCGATGTTTCCTCCGCGGAAATATTAGAAAAATTTAAGTTTTTTAAGAGTCTAAGCTGTCAAAGAATCAAGAGAGAGGGCCCTCAAGCATTGGCATGTGCTCTAGCTTCATAATCTTGCGTTTAAGTCGCTTGAATGACTACTTTTACGATGTTCCCTCTGCAGGAAATAAGCTCTTTACATCAATACATCACATATACATTTCCTCTTTTCATCAGGTATTTGCAGTGGGCACGGGAGTACCAGAATTGTTACATTCGACAAGCTTGAGTACGACTTCCAGAGTGATTGCACCTACATTTTAGTTGAAACCATTCCAACGTATCCTGGAAATTTCACGGTGAGGTTTAGTAAGATTTCATATTTAATCCAAAGTGTGAAGGAACGCATAGCGTTGGAATGTTTAGTCACAGGCAATAATGATTCCCTGTTTCCACAACATAATTTTCATCACGTTTTTTGCGTTTCTACACGCTAGCTGCCGAACCTTTAAATACACGTCTCGCTATTTCTCTCACACATGCAGAGCTATGTATATTTTAATGTGAATAGGATTTACCATCCATTCTGAAAAGCATTGTTAAAAATCAATCCCATTTTACAATTCTTAAAATCTTGCTGTGGGTACTGCATCAACTATTTTAAAACATGTTTGAAATTATTTTTTTCAAAAAAAAGAAGAAAAAAAACTGCATCAACCATGAAGAAGTGGGGCAAAGTTCCTGTACTACCTGAATTTTTACTTTTGACCGGCAGTGTCTTTTCGACTCAATTCAAGAAGATGAAATTCCATTTCCACTCCTAATGCGGGAAATACTAAATTCCAAAGTAGTCGCATCATTTCTATCCCGAAAATGGCACCAGTCGGTCAAGTAATATCATTGAAAGTTTACTAAAAGCGTCTTATTCATTAAATTAGAAACACCCCTCCCTCTCATGTTCCCAAATTTTCAGAATCATTATTTTCCTAATGTCAGCCGTTTCATTTCAGATCCTGTTCTCAGATAGAGCTTGCACTTCAGCGACCGATGACCAATGTTCGGCTACTTTTACGATAAAAACGAATGAGAATTCGATCACAATTGAGCGATTCAAAAGCGGAGGAAACAAGGTAAAGTAATAGCCATGCATGTTTTAAATAGGTATCACTAAGTTGGTGCATTATAAGAATACCTCCCAATTTTAAGCTTTCAGACAAAGAAAAAAATAACCAGAATCCAAGAGGGGATCTCAATTAAGTTAACTTCTGATTAGCGGGAAGGTTGAAAACCAGGGTAAAGAGCAGAGAAGGTAAATCCGACTTTCTTGGTATTTTTACGTAAAGAAGTGCGTGAAAATCATGACAAATTTACAAACATTTTAAAATACTAGAGACTTTTTACGGTGGACAATGAAGAGAGAAACTCAGTTCTCCTTCATTGCCACGGTTATGCAGCTTGAACAACCAAAGAGTAAAAATAGTTTTAACATGTGGTTTAGTGTCCCGATGCAACAGTATCTTAACGAGCAAGGGAGAAAACTCAGTTATCCTTCAATTCAGTGATTATGCAATTTTAGTCACTCAAGAGTCGAAATAGTTGTATCATCATACATTTAAGAACCTTAAGCAGGTCAATTCGAAACCGATTGGCTAACAACATGATCAACGTCATACGGGTAGCTAAAGTTGGAAAATGCAAATATCAGATTGTGCTCTAGAAATCTGGATAAGCAACAAAGTAAAAAAGGGCGTAATTCCCCATTGGGAAATGGAAAATCAAAAGCAGGATTTTACATTCTACCAAATGGAACTAAGCGCCATTGAATGCAGCACTCGTGAGCCATGGTCATGGCAGAAGAGCGTTGTAGACAGGGCTCATGAGTTAAAGCGGACGATGAACGAGCACGGCGGCGGCTTCGTCGCCGCTGACGTCACTGGCGCTTTATAATTAATTCCCATTCATTCGTGACTAACGGGCACATGATGTGCCGCACATCCCTTCTTCCCCATCTGTTTTTGCTTCCGTTTAGCTGAAACACATCCAATTAATCATTAAACTAACTATGTTTCAGGTGACGGTGACTGAAAATGGAAGCAGCTCGAATTTCATCTGGTGTAAAGTGAACGAGGACCCCCAGCAGTCCGTGACCGTCTCGATCCCAAGCCTAAACGTGGATCTCACCGTCTTCATCCCGCAATTCGGTTTCAAAATCGGCTTGCCGTCGCCGAACTACTTCGGAAAAACGCGCGGGCTTTGCGGGGTCTGCAATTACAACCAAACGGACGATATGCTGAAGGCCGATGGGACAATCACGGATGACGTGACCGATTTCGTGACCAACTGGCTCGCAGCTGATGACGGACTGTGCGTCCCGAAGAATAAATCAGAGAACATTGAACAATGTGTCATCCCGGATCCAAATCCATGTGCCCTTTTTGACGATGTCGGTATTTTTGGATCGTGCTACTCGCTCGTGGACCCTGCTTCGTACAAACAACAGTGCGAGTACAGTTTCTGTCATCAACGATCCATCTGTTTTGATTTCGAGGAGTACGCCGAAGATTGCCTAGCCGTAGGGGTGTGTGTCAACTGGCGAGGAAGCGACCATTGCCCTTACCAGTGTCTGCCCGGTCTCGAATACCACGCCTGCTCTACGAAAGGCCTCAAGACCTGTGACCGTAACGAGAATGCGTTCAATGAGATCGTCCAAGATCTGTGCGTTTGTCCGGACAATCTTGTCTTCAACAACGGGACTTGCATCGACAAACGACGATGCCAACCGTGCGATGACAAGGGACACTTCTTCGGCGACGAATGGAGTCCGAACAACTGCGTCAAGTGCGCGTGTACCGCTGACGGTGTTCAGTGCTTGAATACTGTTTGTCCGAAAACCACTCAAGTCTGCAGTTTCGGTTACAAGTCAGTGGTGGACTCCAGGACAGAGTCCGAATGCTGCCCAGAATACATCTGTACTCCCGATCCTGATGTGAACACGACCTGTGAAACACCGGTGATTCCCACTTGCAGTGACGATCAAGTCTTGAAGCAGCTGACGACACCTGGAAACTGCATAGAGTATTATTGCACGTGCAAGGCACCCGAGGAATGTCCTCAAGTTGTGTTGGCCGAGACCTCCGAAATGATGCCTGGTATGGTGGAGATCATCAAGCAAGAGGGATGTTGCAACAAATCCGCCTTAGTCTGCAAACCAGAAACTTGTCCGGATATACAGTTCCCTTGTCCTCCGTTCCACGAGAGGGTGAAGAGTTCGGAGCCAGAACTTTGCTGTCCTAAATTCGAGTGCAAGCTCCCTGAAAACACGTGCCTTTACGAGATGGAGTGGGAATTCCACCCGCACGGCGGGGAACGACCAATCGACAAAAAAGAGACTGTCCTGAAAGCGGTCGGCGAGACTTGGTATGATGGCCCGTGCAGGTTGTGTTCCTGCCGTGAGGGACAAAACACCAGTCAGTGCACCGTGCATAAGTGCAGAAAACCGGATCAGAATGATGACTACATTTACGAAAAGGTTTCAGTGCCCCAGCAGTGCTGTCCTAAGTACGAGAGAGTAGCGTGTAAGATGGACGATAAAATCTACCGTTCAGGGGAGACTTGGCGGTCGTCCGATGTTTGTAAAACTCACACCTGTTCTTTGGACGACAGTAGTGTGCTAGTGATCACCACTAAAGAGATCGAGTGTCAGACGAATTGTCCTTTCGGTTGGCGGTACGAGCCCTCGACCATCCACGCGGAATGCTGCGGAGTCTGCAAACCTCGAAATTGCGTTTGGGAAAATCAAGAATATTCCGTCGGCTCGATGTGGTCGACGGACAATAACTGCACGGTTCATTCGTGTTCTGGAGATTTTCATGTGATGACCTCGGTCACGCAGTGCCCTGATACATCTGACTGTCCCAAAGACCAGCTTGTTGACCAAGGCTGTTGCAAAGAATGCATCTGGAGACCGGAGAGTCAACAGAATTGCATCGTTGAAAAGACTGAGAAACCTATTGAGGCTTATAAATTATACAATCTGGTGCACGGGAATTGTTGGAACGACGCGCCTCTCTCAGCCCTAACTCGGTGCGGAGGGAACTGCAATTCGGGGACGGAATATGACTCGACACTGGATAAACATCTGAGCCAATGCCAGTGTTGCAAACCCACAAGATTCGTTCCTGTTGAGTTGGACTTGGCGTGCGAAACTGGAACTAGATTGCGTAAGTCGGTTTTGGTGCCCGCCGCCTGCAGCTGTAAAGTCACACAATGTCAGGACTTGGATTAAGAGATCATTTTCTAATTCATATTTAAATTATTTATTTTACAAGGAAATAATTTATTAAATTATTAATTAGTTTATTTGGAATTTTTTTTAAAAGTTTTACTTTTCTCTCAAGATTATACATGTCAATATCATTGAAGACGTCCCGTACCGATAAAATTTAATTTATTCCTAACTTTCGTTTTAAGAAAGTTACGGTAGGTTCACATTCAAATCTCCTTTGATCGAATGATTTCCATTATTGTGATATTCTAATTCAAAAGACTGTTGTAAAACGAAGTAGTCCTTTATTGTTGTTTTTTTTTAAAAATTGTGTTTAAAATAAAACGTTATTTATTTCTGACCAGCTAATTTGAATGTTACCTTTTTTAAAAAATTTTAAATATAAGTTTTCCTACTGCAAAATTTTACCGGTATGTCCAAAAGAATCTAAGAAACCCCAGAAAAAAGCCGCAAAAATCGGCAAATTGACCTAGAGCCATAAGATATATTCGTTCTCTGTACAAGGTATGAAAGAGAATGTGTTTCATTGTACACTAAAGACGTAAGCATAATTGAAGAGCTTTCCGGAAAAAGGGCACATATAGCAAAAAATCGCGTTGGAGATAAATGTGTTTGGAGTTTCCATCATTGCTCCATGGCCACTGACTGTGACTTATGCTCGAAATCGGGAGTCCAAGCTGCGATGTAAGTTACAATCAGTGGCCAGAAAGTAATAATAGAAACTTAAAATTCATTTTTCTCAAACGTGATTTTTTGCTATGTGCCCTTTTTCCGGAAAGCTCCTCAATTGGACTGTGTATGTTAAAAGGAACTATGTTGCACCCAAAATCCATGGACATAGCTCCTCTTAACATACATATATCCAATTCAAAATCGGGTGGCAAAGTAGTTATGAACACCTCCGCATGTAATGAAATGAAGAGTATTTTCACGAGGAGGATTGTGTTGGTAATAGGTATTAGATTCGGCACATTTAAGAATATTATCACCATGAACATAGATGCTCCTCGAAACTACCTCGATTTGAACAAAACTTTAGTTTTCCTTTTTGTATATTGAAATTTCTGTATACAGGCCCGCCACAAGGGGGGGGATACTGGGTCCTTGGTACCGGGGCCCGGGCCCTGGAGGGGCCCGTGACGCAGGTGACAAACCACTACGAATTCACATTGAACCCTTGTCTCATAAGGAAACGTGAAAAAATTACCCTAAAAATTCCGCAAAAGGTGAATAAAGTTTCAAAAACACACTAGGGCACTATAAAATTTTTCTTACTTTTTTAGAAATTACTATCTATTTTCAAGATTTTGAGTAGGTATATATAGAATGATATTTTTAGTACTGCGTTTCATTTTCTTCCGTTGTCGGATGCTTAGAGGCTCCTGTCTGGGCATCCTCGACTTCAATGGCTCATTTCCCTTGCCATAGACGTACAAAAGGGGAGTGAGTCCAGGGGGGCCCGACTCCCCCTAGAATTGAAAAGTATCATCTGCCTCCCTCAAAAAAAATTTATAGATGTTTTGAATGCAACAATTCGAAAGTATTTGGTGGTGAAAGTAAAAAAAAAGCGTAATTATTCTGCAGAAATTGATGCAAAATCTCCATCATAAGAGCTTCAAAATGCCTCCAAATAGATCTAAAACTTCAAAAATTTTCCGAGGGGGAGGGAGGCTCCCCGAACCCCCCTCTGCGCTAGGGGCCCGGGCCAGAAAACTGGTACCAGGGCCCGAGATGAGATGTGGCGGGCCTGTCTGTATATCAGGGTTTTTTTTGGAGATTTCAAATTGAGGAAGTTTCTTGGAACGTCTTTAAGTTTCATCTCATAGCTCACATTTTTGTTTTTTAAACTCTTGTTAAAAAATCAGCGATGTTTTGAATGCGGGGAGCTAGTTGGCATGTCCCTAATTTTATAAGTAGACGATTGACGTCAGTACAGTACCAAATGTTATTACTCATCAGGCTGCTGCTCACAATTCCTTGAAAATCGATGGAGAAACCAATGGAGCAGTGGCGTGGCGTGCTCTGCGATATATCGATTGATCTGTCATTTACACCTATGGAAAAGGATCGATAAACAGGGTGTCCGCAGCGAACACCTTAACAATCGATTCTTTACCATAGGTTCAAATGGCATAACAATCGATACATCGCAATTCGCGCCACGCCACTGCAATGGAGATGGAATACTCTCTGCTCTGGGTCCGTCAGCTTCTTTAAGCGTGCGAGAAAACACGGCTCGAAAAGAAAAGCTTACAGATTCACGTGACACATTTTTTAAAAACAAATTTGAAAAAACTGGCAACAGTGACGTTTCATATAATGTTTTTTTTTTTATCATTCTCAATCTATTTCGAGATTCGGAGTGTCGCGTGTGATGAAGTAACAGGAAGATGCATAACATCGATCCCGTGGACTGTTGACTGTGCGTGGGTTCATCAGTTCTGTAAAAAAGTGTTACTCGGAACAGAAACACGCAACTGTATTCCACGAGGATAAATCCTAGTGAGGATCCATCGCGAATATTAATAGGACTGCATTTTGCAATTTGAACTTATAAATTCTGGCTCATCTGAAAAAACTCATGTGCATAGGGTAACTAATGGCACATACGTTGTTTTTAAACCGGGCTAGAATTTATAGTTCCAAATTGCAAAATGTAGTCCAATAGACCTCTGACGTCTCATTTTTAAAGGCCTCAGTTGATATATGCATAGTTGTAAAATGTAGTGACGCATCGGTGAAAATGCCGGTTGGGACTAAAATGAAGTGAGTACGTAAATCTTCATGCATAAATCGGTTGGATGGGCTAATTTGAACATTATGTGCAATGTTCTTGAGCTGGCTCTGTCTCGCTAATTATCTTGCATCTGCTCTCGCCGAGTTCTACATCCAGTTCCGACTTGATAGGAACAAGTCTCTCGTCAGGAAAATTCTTGGCAACGATTACTATGATCAACCTGAATGGCGAATATACCTTTGCCGGGATTTTAAAGATCGGGATCACCCTGGAAACCAGCAGCCCCTAGTGTTCGCCAATGATAGCGACGTGAGGATCATTCACTTTCAGTTCAATGAACAAATTACAGGATAATACATCGCATGGATGCATGATCCTCCCTCTGCAATTCTGCATTGACGGATCCAGCAAATTGGCAACATTGTTTTTCTCCATTTAAACTTGTGGAAATGTATCGATTCTTGGAGGGGGCACACTGGAAAAAAAACACATTGGTTCTAGGGTCCAGACTCTTAAAAACATCGACAAGAAAAAATACTCTTGATTCAATCGGATTTTTGCTTAAATCAAGAACCAAGCCTCTTGATTTGAGCGGATTTCCTTTTGATTTAAGCTTAAAGCTGATTGAATCAAGAGTATTTTTTCTTGTCAATGTTTTCAAAAGTCTGGACTCTGGATCCAATGTGTTTTTTCCAGCGCAGGTGCTCCGATAAGAATCGATTATTTAGCATAGGTTTAAGTGGAGGAAATCCGTTGTTGCCAAATTGCTGGATCCGCCTCTATCCTTCTGATGTCACAACTGGACCTATTTCAGCTAAACGTGTAACTAAGAGCCAATTTCAGTTTGTTTTAAGCTCTCAGAATCCTGGAGAGCCCGTTCTGTCAAAGGGAAATGAGTGCCATGGAAAAGTAGGACGGGATGAGATCGTCGTTCGACTGCACTCGCCGATCCAACTCGCATTCCCTTCTCCCCCCATTGGCGCTTAGCTCCGTTGAGCAGAAATATGTCCAACTGTGAAATTTCATCTTCCACGGAGAAATAGGTTTTAGTCCGGGAAAATTTTCTTTTAAGAGAGTTTAATCGCGAAAAAAAAAAAAAAAAAAAAGTTTTGTTCCAAGACCAAAATTAGACGCATGATCGTATAGGCAGCACGGACGAGCTATTTAGACTCTTTCGAGTCAAAATATGCAAGATTACTTTCGAAAATCAATCCTCTTTCAATTTTTATATGTTTTGAAAACTCCAATATATGAGACGTACCAAAATCCAGCTAATTGTGATATTTGCTAATCGTTATTCATATCTCATTTTCTTATTTATTCATTCATTTTTATGAGACAGATCGTACTTTCCCTCTTATCATAATCCCGTGGTAACATTTCTCGTCAACATTTTGCAACTCTTAAACATACAAATATAGTAGGTATACCTTATATTTTTACTGTGATTGCAAGCCAAGTTCATAATATTAAAGCTTGGCAAAGCACTGTCACTCATCATGCTCACTATGCATATTATGCTTTTTGCGGAGCGCCTTAAAACATTGTGATGTGCAGTAATTACAATTCTATGTCTCTCCATTAAATTACCTCTATATTTTAATACTAAATAGATTCTTAATTTATAAATAGCTTCATTTTAGCGTCACTGTCTGTTGACCGAATAATATTCGCAGAAAAAACTTAGATATCCGCGCCTTCTGCAAATGAACTACATTCTACATTAGAAACTCTTATTTCTGGCTCAAACAGAAAAGCAAATATCCGAATAAGGAAAATATTGGCACATATGTTGTTTCTTAAATGAGTCAGACAAATTGAAGGTCCTCACAGCAAAATTTAGTCCAAATGGCAACTGAATACCACGACTTTCTTTCCACGTCATTTAGGTAGTTGTTAAATGCAGTCGATTCAGACTTGGCTGGCCAAAATTCTTCCGTCGAGCGACTTTTTACACTAAAACGAATTTCTACCAAACGCACCGGGCCTTGGACAGTGGTGGAGTTCATTACGAGTTTTCGGACATGCGGCGAGGTGAACTACCAGCGGAGCTTTGGTTTGGGTCAGAGCACGCGTTTCAATATCCTCAGTTTTACCGTACGTCAGAGATGCTAGAATTTTTCAGGGAAGTGTCGGAGGATTGGCTGTCGATTGTCCCGAATTTGGCAATGCAACAGAACCTGATTGGCTACCTGTCTATGCCGGATCTTACCTGGGCTTACGGGAGTGCCAACGTCACTGCCGCCTACCTCAGGGCTTACGTCGCCTACTTAAGCGTCGTGGTTACTGAGTATGATGCCTACATGTTCGTTCAAGATCAGCCAATGAAAATACCGGTTAGTATCTAAAATGTGATTTTGTATGTTGACGACCATTTGTGGTGTATTGGTTGTGTCGCAATTGCTCTGTGATTATAATATCCCCCGATCGACTACAGGATAGAACCCGAATTTGATGGCTTAATCAATGCATTACAGTATTTATTAATGTGAGATCTAAAATGGATATCGATTAAAAAAGTTTTCACCGTTTTTCTCATATTTTCATGTTTGACGCTTCTTTTTCTTTTCAGAATGACCGGACTAATTGTTACGGTGCAACTGAGCTATACATTGTGATATCAACGTTCACGATGTCAATAATGTTCATGTTAATTTTGCCATCAAAATTACCGTGGGACGGTATATCGCGATAGGAAAGCACTACGTGTTGAAATTCATAAAAAAGAAATGCAAAATATTACGTCAATCCACCGTCTACGACGGTTACCTTTATTTTTGATTATTAAAAGAGCTTTCATGTTAACTTTACGTCGTATCAGGAAGTTGATTTTGGTTAAATTTGATTTTTTTTAATAAAAAATGCAAATATTTGCCCATTTGTATGTCCAAACGCCCTTCCACGATCATTATGCAGCGATTCGTTTAATAAACGCATCGTCAGTATTTTTATGTGCGTGTTTTTATTTACCAGGATGTGCCGTTGGGCTGGAGGGGACCGGCTTGGCTTGATTGGAAAATTATGAAGCCTGCAAAAAAAGTTTACAACGCAAATCGGAGGAAAGCAGACAAGGTACTTTCAGAAGTAGTGAATTGATAAAGCGGACCGATGTAAATGCCCTTACAAAGATTTTTTGAATCGTAATATTATCACAAGCGCCATGCGATGTTTGAAAATTTCCGCCGCCATTTTCATTTTTTACAGAGAAATCGTTCAACGAAGCTGTCCGAAAATTTCACTAAATTTCCTTTGTACTGCCGAAAAAATTGATAGAAACTTTCAAACAGATTCGACCAACAATTTCTGTGTAAAAAAATAAAATGGCGGCGGAAATTTTTAAACGTCGCATGGCGCTTGTGATACTTTGGCTGGAAGGCGACAAAATCTCCAAACTTCTCATTTCACAGTTTCGTTAAAATCGGTGTACACCCGTTTCAATCATGATGAAAAATGTAGGTACATTACGAATTAACAGTACGTCCTTAATTTTTTTTCACACTTTTTCTCTATTCTAACAATAAACGCCTCTCATTCTGCCGCGATAGCAAAGAGAGCAGTAAGTGAATTTCTGCATGAGCCACGATCAGCACATGCTTTGGTGTGTCTCGAGGTTCATCCCGGCATGCACTTACTGCTCTCTTCGCTATCACGGCATTATCGTATTTCTCACAAAAGTTTAAGATCGAAAGCTTCATTCAATTCAAAATCGGTGCAACATACAAAATCACGTTACAGTTCTCACATCCGATGTGTTCTTCTCGATTTGCTCAAACCCATTTAAAGGGCTACCTTTTGCAATATGGATGCTACGAATTGTGCCTCATTTTAGCAAAATCATATAAACTATTGACTTCTTTGCGCAGATAGGTGTTTGTTTTGAATGAGCCAGAAATATCAGTCCCTTATTGCAAAATGCAGTCCAATTGACTTGCGGAACGAGGAACGACCTTCTCATACACCGTTTTTCCACTACCGTTGCAGATGCATGGGTTATGGCTCTTGGATCCGTTGCTTGAGTCGCAGCTGCGAAAAATGATCCCCGTCCTCATGAGCAAGATGATCGACCCTTGCTTCCTGCAGGACGCCGCTAGCTACTTCCCGAACAAACTCGTGTTCAGGAACGAGGAGTTCCTTGGCCAGCCAGAGGACATGCTCTGCTCCATCTACTGTCGCTTCTCGAACGCAGTCACGAAACTGTACCGGGACTCAGGCTCCGAGGTCTGTTACTTAATGGACGCCGGCAGCAAACGTTACGGTGGACAGTGTCGCGGGGACAGGTGCTACTGCCTCAGGAATATCGAGTCGAAGAAAAAGGACTACACACTCTCCGCTACGCTTCGATACTGTGTCAACGTCTTCAACATGCAGCAGTACAACGACACTCATACTTGCCGCCCAGAGATCTGATACGATGCACAGTGGAACGAACTAATAGGAGAGGTCGGACAAAATTTGGAAACTTTAAACGCGTATGACTCCGTTTACACAAATTTTTGAGGTTCTAAATTTGATTCCATTCGTTTTCTCGTGAAATTTTCTTCTTGACGCACCCCTTAAAATTTAAAATGTGACGAAATAAACATTAAAGTTTGCAGTTTTAGTCAAAAAATTCATGTCCGACCTCTTTAAATGACTCGATCTATACTGTACGACGCGACTTCATACAGGGTGATCCAGGGTCTAACGGCCAGACTGCAGGAGCGTGTTCTATGGGTCAAAATAAGACTTTTTTGTTTTGTTAAGCTTTTTCCAAAAGTGCCCCCAGTCGGAGCTACGCCCCCCCCCCTCCAAAAAAAATTGGAAAGTAAATCGTTTTCCCTGAATTTTGACAACGGTTTTGAACCAAATCTCATGAAAATGTGTGTTTTCGTGGACTGTTATGCCCTGAATTCATTTATGATCTAAAAAACAATTGAAATCTCAATTTCGAATTTGGGGTGTGGGGGTGTTTCGGCTCCTGTAGTCTGGCCGTTTAACTCTGGATCACCCTGTAGGTATAGTGGGGTTTTAGCGAGGAATTTCTCATTCCCACCAATTTTAAGCTAAAATCTGCTCTCCATGAAAACTGTGATAGATATACATACCATTCATGTCACAAAATAAATGTGCTAAAAGATGTAAAATTCCTTTTTATTGAGGGCTATTCCGCGAGGACAACAAAGATTTCTCCTCTTCGAAACCCGATGCATAAAAAGAAAAAAATGTGGTATTTTACTATGAAAACAACCAAAGCTCGCATTCTCCGAATTCCTCATTTTCAAAAATTTTCCAGGGAAGGGACCTGACCTGGACCCCTCTTGACAAGGGGGAACAACCCCCGCTTCCCGTTTGGTTTTCCAAATTGTGTTCTCCACTCCTCCATCCAAATTTGCAACCCACGCACCGCCACTGCTCATAATTTTTAGCTATCTTTTTTTTATGTATAGAGAAAGACGCTTTTCTTTGAAAGAAATTTCAAATTGAAATATAATGTTTGTGCTCGATTGTAACCTCAGAGGCTCTGAAAGATTTCGTCCGAGTTTCCCAAATCCTTGTACAATAGAGTTACTAGTGGCTCAGATTTATGCAGCCCAGGCGAGGGTGATGTTTTGTCGTGAACAAAACACTAACCCGACAAAACGCAAATATTTTGGAAGGCGAGCACGCTATAATCGCTTCACGAAATAAAGGGGAAAATACTAAAATACTTTTTTGTAGTGCAAAAAATCACTCTAGTTTAAATTTGTTCCATATTATTTAAAATGATTACGAGGTACTACACTAGCGCGTGACTCGTGACGCTATAAGTGCTCTTTTTATTGGATACGCGAAAGGAAAACGTTAATTCTAGGAAAAAATGACAAGCTACCGTTCACGAGCTTACTTCGTTGCAAAACTAACTATTTAGGTACTACTGTTAGCTACCACGTGAATAATTTAAAGGCTTCATTGCGTCTCGGCAACTATGAACTCATTTGTGGCGTGAAAAAATACGCTACATTTTGTCTTACGTTCTTAAAAATGACATTCACTGTCACCAGCTAATGTTGGCTCCAGCCATGTCATGAGCACTGACATCCTTTTCGTCTTTTTTTTTCGTCGGAGAGAGTGCCCAGCTAAAAGGTGGATGGATGACATCCGAAACAAGAGGGAGGGATGCCAGTCTCTGGCAAATCTCTACCATGATAGATGTCAGTGATGGTTAGCTGTTACAGAGCACTTTAGTGCGCTAAAAAGCAACTATAAGACTACTTACGCACAATTTTTCTAGATGTTTTAGAGCGAAATCTCAATCAGAAAATACAATCGTCACTCTTACATTAATGCTCATAAAGGATTTCAGGTTCCACACACTTTTCTAGTCGTATCGTTACAATATTAAGCCCCGCAACCATTATGAGCGTTGTAAGAGCGATGGCCCTTGCTCGTAAAAGGATAGATTTCCTAATAAGTATCCCTTTCTACCCATTTTTATTGCACGACTTCTATTTTGCGTGTGTGCCTAAACCTCCCTTGATATAAATGCCTTTTAATAAGAAACCTCTCAAAAATATATTTTTTTTTAAAAAACAAGAAGAATAAAAAATATTAAAAATCCATCAGCGAGAAATTTACTTTGTCCTATTGAAGCCAAGAAAGGCCTTCAATTTTGATTTTTTTCTCATCTATGCTCGCCATACTATATTCAAAGAACAACACGGTGAAATTGCGTCATCGAATTTGAATAGTCTTATCAACATGAATGAGCTAGCTTCCATTTTGATTTCGATTGAATCTACAACCGCTGTGCTTGCGTGTCACAATCTCACAGCTTACACATAATCCATCTATTTACTTCAATGTTGGTCTATATCACGTCTGATGTTCGACCACGCTCAAATAAGTTAGGTTAAAATTGTTATTTACTTCACCAAAAATGTACCAATTTTTCCACCAAAATTTGCAGGTGTCAGAAATTTTGTGGATTTCATGTTTAAAGAGGGAACCACTGATTGAGCTGAGCATGAGAATAGGTATGTTTGATTTCTATAATGAACAATTATTAGAAAGGATATGAGCAAATGGCCTAATTTAATCAAATATATTTGTTTAATTTGTAAATGCCGCAGAATGACGTTACATGGTAACAGATTTTCTCATTTTTAAATATATTTTTCTACCATTTCCCATATCAGAAAAAAGTATGAAAAATACTGCCAACGCACTTCACCGATCACTCTCGGATGCAGGAATAATACTTTTTCGTACGCATATTCTATTGTGATTAAATTACCAAACTGATGAAATAATGAAAAATGAATGATCGTAAAAATATGAGAAATGGTATTCCTAGTCTGTGAAATTCAATTATTCTCAATAAAACTGATGACTAAAATGCTTGGATAAATTTAAACAGGATCCGCCTAACTACGTCAATCGAGAAAAATCAGGTAAAATTTTAACTTTTGAGCGGTACCTGAACGTGAGCCCGCACTTGGATTGAATATAAGGAAAATTGTATCCCTCTCTCTTTCAGGGGATATGTGGACGAAACTCTGATGAATTGTCTGGCTTGAAATTGAACCTGTTTACAACTAACCGCTGCCATGCCACCACTTGCAATCTACATTTTGCGATGAACTTTTTTGTATTAGTAGCTCACTGCGTTCTCATAAACTTATTTGTTAGAGTCTTCGGCAAATTTTACATTCAGTTTCGAGTTGACCGGCCTAAGACGCTCATTCGTCGAATCATCGGTAATGATTATTGGGATCAGCCCCAGTGGCGCATCTACACTTGCTCCAACTCCACAAGCATCAACAATGACTCGGTAAGTAAACACAGGTTAACTCAATCTCAGATCATTGCTCAGTGAGGCAATGGGTCGACATTTTACAGCAACTATTGGCGTATTATTTGTTGTGTAATTAACGCTGGAGTCTATATAGCAGCTTTAGAACTTTAATGATATGAATGCTAATGGAAATTCGCTACATCAAAGCGCGTATGATATTTCGCGAAAAAAGTAGATTCCGCTTAGTGAAAGTGTAGTCACTTCATAAAAAGAGTATGATTCTGCTCTGCTTTCATATCCTTCTAGTTCTTTGAGCACTACATAGACTCTGAAATGAGATACACACAGAATTTTCTTCCGAAATGTTCAATAGTGTAATGCTTTTAAGGCATTTTTAACACCAAAGTGCGGCTGAAGAGAAAAAAATTACAGATAGAAGATCCAATGGTCTTAATTTTAGGAGGTCAACTCCGTCAAATATTTTTCAGCTTGAAAAGTCTAACATTATCTAATTCTAGGTTTTTTTTTAAAAAAAATAAAATGATAGTGTTTTATTCAAACCCACCATTGCAGGATTTAAATCTGTGATGGGATTTTCAATTAAATGAATTGTGTACCTATCTTATGCCCTGGTTTTAAGTATGAGGAGAGATGGAAGGAAATAATAATATGAACATTAGAAATGGGAAAATCTTCAAACTTCTAAAACATTATTTTTTTCTGTCGGAAGGCTGCTGTTCACTGTGAAAGGATCAAGCCTCCTTGGCCCGCGAAAAGGTTGAGGTTCTGGAGTTTTTACGTTGAGCGACTTTTTTTTAAAACGTATCGACCGCTAGAAACAAGCAGCGTATCGTACAAGTTTTCTGACATTACCGTGGATCAGCTACCAGCAGAAATCTGGATTGGTTCTTATTACGCTTCAGACCTCCCATACTTGTACAAGACAAAAGACATGTTCGACTTTTTCGAGAGCAAGACCGACGGTTGGCTCAACATCATCAAAGACAAATCTCTCCAAGAGAACCTGGTTGAATACTTGGCCGCTCCGGATGTAAGCTGGGCATGCGGCAATCCAAACATTACTGCATCCTATATCAAAGCCTACGTTGCATATATGACTAAAGTGATACTTTTCTACGACTCCTACATGATTGAAAAAGATCTCAAATATAATATTTCGGTATGCAATTTTTTCCCTCTTTTTTTTTTTATTTATGCATATCGACGGTGAAACTACCAAACCACGTATCTCGTTTGAGGTGTTTAAAAATCTACGCTCACATTTTATTTTTTTGAAGTAGACCAAATCAATATCATTCCTTGAAATTTTCACTGAATTTTCTCCGCACGAAGAGGAAAAATCACAGAAATTTTCAAGACTGGACGTTAAGTAGTTTTTCATTTAAACAATAAAGTATGACAGGAAGTTTGCGACGTCGCAAACCGAGATACGTGGTTTGGTAGTTTCACCGTCGATATGTAAAGTCAAGTGAACAATAAAGAGCAAACTTCGTATATCAACTTGTAGGTAAGCGCTCTCTTCTAATCCCTAAGTAGCTCATTACGTGGAGCCGAATCTAGGAACATGCAGTGAATTAAATACTAATCTAAAACAAGAATGCCTCTTCCAAGGAAAATTTTTCTTGTAGGAGAAAGTGATTGCATCATAATTTGGACGCCTCAAACATTATAGAAAGTTTTATGGAATTTTTAGCTTTTTTGCAAAACCAGCTTCATAACAGAAAATTACTATAGTAAGTCACAACGACCCTCAAGTCAGGAATAAAGCAAAGGACAAAATGAAGAGGTAGGTTGTAAATTTGACCTAATAATATAACTAGCGAAAGCTGATCATTCTGGAAATCTCTTAGGAAGAGAAACTTTATGTATCGAGGGCTTCCGAAGTATACCGCCTGACTGACAATTTTGGCAAACATGAGTTAGCGACTTTGCCGCATTCCACAGTGTAAAATACGCAAGCTGATGATTTTAGTTTTTTCCCAATTCTGTAGGAAAGCGCTGCAATGACGCTGTTATGCATACATGTAGCTTTCAGAAAATCGTGATGCATATCCACGATTTTGATTAATGCAAAATATCTGCTTAGTATCATGAAAAGTGTTTTCATTATCTAGTGCAATTGAGTCATGTAGTGTGAGGAGGTCCTGGAGACCTTTGGTTCTTGAAGGCATGTATCTGCTCATTGACCTTCAGCAAATGCAAAGGGGTCGATATAGATGCTTTTACGCTCCTCTCATCAGAGAACTCTCGCTACATTCATGTGCTCTTCGCATGTTTTAATCAAAGAAGCTCGTCGTATGTTCTTATCAATTGGAGCATCACTTCTTCTCCCTCTAATACATTTTGTCATTCCCTTTTATTATTCTTTTAACACTTATTTTTTAGGATGCATCATTAGACTGGAGAGGTCCCACTTGGCTGAACTGGAAGTTACTCAAACCAGTGAAAAAAGTATACAATCGCTACAAGAAAGGAGTTGATACGGTATCGCACATAGTACAGTAGATTTATAATTTTCATTTATAATTAATTATTTAAAAAAATTGGAAGGTATGACAGAATCCAAAACTTTTCTAGTAAAACAGTCCTTTCCGTAGGTTCTTATTTGAAATAAGTCTAGGTAAAATTAGCGCTTCGCAAAAAGGAACCAATTTTTCGGGGGTCTACATACATATATAAGAGTCGCTCTCATAGCGCTCTCCGGCGCTCTTCGACGCCTAAACGCCACAAAACTCGGTCCTCCCACAGATCATCAGGGAGTTGGCGCTCCCGCATCTCATCAATAACCCCCTGTCGCCAACCTTTCACCGGGCGTCCCCTTCGTCTCCTCCCAGGAGGAACCCAATCAAGCATCTTTTTTGGCAGCCTCTCTTCCGTCATCCTATTGACATGATTGTACCAGACAAGCTGTTTGGTCTTGACGTCGAACACGCTGTCATTTTCGACTTCCATGATATGACGCACTCTCTCATTACGGACCCGATCTCTCCTAGAAACAGGGGTCGAGAGGGAATTGAAATTAATTTGATCGCCCTCCGAGTTCGCGAACGACCAAGCGTCGCTTTTCGATCGCGATACTCGATCAAGAGGCCAGAGCAGGTAAAAGAATTTGGGATACCGAATCCCGAACTCAGAGGCGAATGGGGCGATTATTGTTCTCGTTCGAAGAACGAGAGGCAGTAGCGCGGGCAAACTGTTCAGTTCCCGAGATGGGATATGATTTCTGGCCGCATTGGCATCCCCTCGTAAGACAGGAGGGAATTAAAACCCGATCTCGATTGCCCTCCTCGAAAGACGCACACGGGGCTTCCGATCGAATTGATCTGGATCGGCTGAGTTTTTGCCCGCAAAGGCTCTGGACTTTACCCCTGGATTCTTTCCTCCACTGCTAGTCCGCACACGCTGGACCGCGACAGCCGATCACTCCTTCCTTTCACTTTGGCATTGTGCTCATGCGTTCTCCCCTTTTACTTTCGTCCTCTACCCTGGCTATTTTTCGCCTGTCATGATTCGTGCGTAAACTGTGGGCTTGTCGCTTTTTGACTTCTGCACGTCTAAACATCTATTCCTCATAGCTGATCGGTACATGTAATGTCCATATTTCTTCTACTTTTGTCAGGGTACTTTAGAGAAGGCTCTCTTCGAATTTTCGGCTCATTTGAAAAATTTCGGCATAAAGAGCAGGAAATTGGCTTATATTTTTTTTTTCTTAACTAAAGCTTTAGTCCTCTTAGATTTATTGAGCTATTTTATTTGAATTGCATTTTGCAAAAAGGAATCAAGAGCATTCCAATATTGCTGGGATTGTGCAACTTACATTCTTTGATATCAAATCACTGAAATCATGCAAGAAATTAAATTTACAAGCGTAATTTTTGGCTTGAATTTAAAGTTTATTGGGAGTAAAGATAGAACTTATTTAGGCGATCAGTTTATATTTGTAAGGTGAAAATAGTTGCGCAATCTTAGAAACATGGAATGCTCGTGGTTCTCTCTTGCAAAATGCAATCCATTTAAAGCAATATGAACAATTGAACACATCCGAAAAATGAATGAAGAGAAAAACGCACCCCTCTCGGAATGCTAAAATTCGCACCTTATGATATAGCCCATTTTGCCGTGCTACAGACGAATGCCGTAAGAACCATTGAACCATCAGACGTTGCCAAATTTCCTTTGATGACCCGCAGATTATCGTGAAAATTCAACTATATTTTTTTACTGATTTTTCAGAGAATTTTATGAGCAATTTGATCTAAAGTTTCGAATAATTTTAAGGCGGTATAGTAGGGCCCACGAAGGATGATCCCTGAAAAATCGGGCGAATAAACGCATGGACCATGTAAATGTCAACGCTGCGAGATCGAGCACGCACATCGACGAAACTGGGTAAAAACGCCGTATGAACATTCGCGAGTTGCCAAATTTCCTCCAATTAAATGCCTTATTTTCAAGCAGAATTGGGCATATTTTCTCTTGAAATAATTTAATATTTCTGAAAATTATTTTCAGATGATTTAGAGCTGACAGCGAATAAAATTCTCTGAAAAATTGGAGGGAAAGTATTCACTGATTTCCCTGAAAATTCTTTTTTAGTCAACGGAAGTTTGGCATCGGCTAAAGGCTCATACGGCGTTTCCTTAGCAGGGTAGAATAGGTATTATATGCGAACCGCCGCTATTCCACCCCTATCTTCAGGTCAAAATTCTTAAAAGGAAGCCCTTTCGTAAAAGATCAATTTCCTGTAATTTTGCCCCAATCTCTTCGTCCATTACATGGTTGAATTGCTTGTGAAATTCTGAACTAAATGATGTTTAATTGTAATTTACACTTTTTATTTTTTCCTTTTTTCTCCTTTTTATAGCGAAGTTTAATTTTTATTTATCTCATATAGTATCTCGAACTGTAACTTCTTAGCTATTTGACAGATTTTTATAAATGAGGCCTTTTTTTACTCGTGCTTTAACAGAGAGTGAGGAAACTCTACCTAAAAACTTTTTTAGCAATTTTCAAAAAATTTTGGATCATTCTAGTAGGACGGTGATATTGTTAATTACGCGTAAGTAATTAGGGTTCTATTGTGGCTCGGCTCGGCATTGTCGCGCGAGCTCCAGTCTCGGTCCGGACGGGGGTGTCTCACTGCTGCCAGTGTTTGCAAGAAATACCCGCGGCTCAGGGATCATCCCTCGTGGGCCCTACTATAATTCAAAACTTTTGGAGGAAATTTGGCATCACTCAAATGATTATGCGGCGTTATTCCTCAGCACGGAATCATCAGCGATGCACTTTGATGTGAATGCTGAAAAGTGTAAGCGTGTCTAGGGTGGGACTTAGTTTTTTCAATCGACCAAAAAAAATGTTGCACGGTCCTAAATGGTTCTATGTAAAAAAAAACCACGGTAGCCAAAAATATTTTGAAAGATAAGAAAATTTACCCGACGCGCACACAGCCAATAGATCGTGATTTTTCCGATTGTTTGAGCATTTTAACCGTCTATTTTTGATATTTTAGTGAGTGATAGGGACTGGACGCTAGATGTTCAAAAATGTGTACAAACCGAGCACATACCTTGCACATTAAGAGAAATTTTTTTTTTTTTTCTCCCAAGTCACTCTCATTTCGCGTGGCAATGCCCAGTCCCTCCGCTCGGTTGCTCTTAAAATCGAAATTTCACCGTTTTTTAACTTATAATGAGCTTTGTGAGCAGCCACTAATGGTGGTAAAAATCCGAAAATTTGTGAAAAACAAATCCATACCGCATCAGTATAGCGTCTAGCCCACATACCAACTACAGGCTTCAAAGAGGTTCATCGTTGCATTTCCTGGCCCGCTCATTGGCCAGCGGTTTAAGTCGGGGCAATCGATGAGTCTCTTTGAAGCCTCTAGTTTGTAACGGGGCTGGACGCTTATGGAAGAAGAAATTTCAGAAAACTCCTGCTTCTTGGTTCGGCCACCAAACGGTCCGGGGGCGCTTCTTCGAATAGCACCGCCGGATCTTCCCACCGCGCCGCGCCGGTCTGCTGGCCCTCGACCGGCTGCGACGCGCGATTGTTCCCATTGTGCTTACTTTTGGGGTTCTCTCCGTCGGCGGAACCCGTGTTAATGACACCCTCTACCTACTAGCCGCTGAAAATTTGCGGACCAATTTTTTTAAAGTTTAACTAATCTTCATTTATTCAACGGATTCAAATTCAGCTCGCAATCCTGATGAGTAATATATATAATAATAAGTAATTATATCGGTAAGTTACTGATCAAAACGTGGGCCAAACGTGAAAGCGGTCAGACATGTGTTAATGACACCCTCCTTCTACTGGTAGAGGATAATTTGCCGACCAACTTCTTTACCGTTTCTAAAATGTTCTACTATTTCAACGGATTTGGATTCAGCTTGCAATCCTGGTGAAAAATATATATAATTACAAGTAGGTATATCGGTAAGCTAAACAAGAATTGGAGGAATGTGATAGAAAGTATTTTAAAAGCGCTGAAGACATTCGCGAGTTTTGCGATACCATACTTATTCAATATACCTACTCATAATTATTCAAATTTTTCATCAGACTTCGAGTGCAAGACCGCTCTGGGCGACAAAGCTGTCGCGTTAGCGTATACCTACTTTGTGCCGTGCGACTCTGTTAGTACATTTTTTTAAATTCGAGAGTCACGAAGACACTTTGTCCCACGTTTTCATAAAGAAATAGCCAGATTTCTCTGAGAAGAAGTGACGTTAATTAATTAAAAAATTTGGAAACGTCCTTTACCACAGTCATTAATTGGAGAATTAAGAGGGAAGGAGAGATCACCCCGAAGTTGCTATGTTCAAGGAATCTGTGGTCATTATGAACAGAAAATTAAGTCTCCGTAGTTTTTCCTTCATATTTTTCATAGAGATTTAATGAATTTACTGTCAAGGAGTTTACCGTCTAATGGTTGGCGTTTATGGAACCAATCATTAACTCAGAAATCGTGTACTCCCATTGTCACCGGAATAGTGTCTCTTCACCAAAGGTGGTCTAGTTTATCCAAAATTTCTTAAAAACCTTTATAGCTCCTAAATTTAGAGACTGTACTTAGGGTTTTCGATTACAAATTCTGGAAAGTGAAATCTAAGCGCTTAAGTTCTGAAATTGACTTGAGGTATAATGATTGCTGGAGGTAGGAAATTTTATGCCCAATTCCCTAAGTGCAAGGTGAAGTAATGCAGAGAAAATTGATTTCTTGCCTAAAACCGGGTTTTTTTTCCTTTTTTTTTGGTTGAGATTAGTAACTTTCGCTTACTGTTAGCCCTGTTCTCCCTTTCCCCACTTGCAGGATTGTACCTAGAATAAAAAGGAATGCATGAAATGCCAAAGAATATTAAAAAATACTCAGTTGGAATAGCAGTGAATAAATGAATTAAAGACTAAGAGAAAAATGAGTAGGTAATAAAAAAGGGAAAAAAACAATGAAACATATGAAAAACCGGTGGATAAAACGTGTTTTGATACACGGCAAGGACGGAAATTTGAGGAAAGTTTTTGACGTATTCGAATTGCAGTTGCATATTTAGTTGCATTCAATTTTAAGAACATGAATATCATATTTCATAGCCTGATGCGTTTAATATTGGTAACGGGGGAAGGGGGTGGAGAATCAAGCAAAACCCAGAAAAGGGGGGGGGATAGTGAAGAAAAATTAATGGAAACGTGTGATAACAATATTTCAGAGGGAGAAATTGCCGCGGCTTAAGTGGACAAATTAACTGAAATGATCGGTTACCGAGCGAAACATGTCAAGAAATTCACAAGACGAAAAAATTAACCGTCCGGGTGTTTCGTCGTTTTCACCCTCATCTCACTAGCGTGTCAACGAACTGTGCTCGGCTGGTAGTGCATTCAGACGACCTGGTGCAGCCCGCAGGAAGCGCAGGAGCCGAGGGATGGCCAAGGAGGATGACTCAACGGTCAACCATGGGTCAACGTGGACCGTATGCAGGATTCGCAGCCCAGCGGACCGCGGCGCGCCCGACCAGGCGACCACTGAGCGATGAGAGGGAATAAGGAGGGAATAAACTGGCGTTCTTCATTCGCCTCTCAAGATGGGATATGAATACGAGTGTCATTGGCATCGCCTCTCTGAGGGCAATCGAATTAGACGGCTAATCGATCGCGTTCTGGGATGGGTATCGCTTTCGCCGCGATATGCCTCAGGTATCGAGAACTAAGAGCGGGCGCCGGACAAAAAGATTTGGGTTTGCGAACGGAGAGGGCATTCGAAACAAAAGGCCTCTCAACTCGCGAGCGAGGAGGCGATGCATATGAAATCCTGGAAATTGGCGTTCGCTCTTGAGAACCCTCTCGACCCCTGCCTAGAAATCGGATCTGATCTGATCGGTCTAGATTCGGAAGCAATTAACATAGCCTAACGTCCACTTTCAGGGCAAAATTGCTCTTTCCTCAAATTTGACATTGATTTTTATTGTATTGTTTTTTTGTATTTTATTGTATTTATTTAATTGTAGATGCACGAGTTGTGGCTAATGAATCCGGAGTCGGAAGGATTGCTGAGGAAGATGATCCCTGTTTTGACGAGTAAGGCAATGGATCCGTGCTTCTTGCAGGGCGTGCTCAGCTCTTTCCCGGAGGGATCCGGCATGGAGAGTTACGAATACCGAGGGAACCCCAAAGATTTCTTATGTACGATCTACTGCCGCTTCTCCCACGTTGTGAGCCGGCTCTACCTCAACAGTGGAAGTCCTGCAGCGTGCGCCCTCACAGGCCGTGGTGGTCGCCAGAATGGTGGCATGTGCGAAAAGGAACTTTGTATCTGCAACTTCTCCAAGCGAACTAAGAGAAAAATAATTGGAACTGCATTTTCTACCACATTCCGCTATTGCATGAACGTTTTTAATCTTCGACGATACAACGAAACTCATCGTTGTAGGCCGAATCCGACATGAATCGTTTCTAATACCCATGTTACATCATAAGAACCTTCCATCTGACTTTTTGTGCGATATTAAATTAAAAACGGATGCTAAATCTTGCAGCTATGCGAAGCGCTTTGAACGCCGTTCGTGAATTTAATGAGCTCCATAACAAGACGAGCAGGGAGGAAATATACGGATTAGAACCTTTACCCACGCATTCAGGATCAATATTTTTGTCTCAATCCTTATAGAATGCTACTTTCAACATTCCACCAAACATTTTGCATTAGTTGCTACAGTGACCACGTGCAAGATCATGCAACGATAATAGGGACACTGTAGCTCTCCACGACTGCGGTAAACAAAAATTCTGTTTCACAAGTACATTTTGCATGTGTTCTGGTCTCTTGGGGCAAATTGGACCCCTTATGGGAGAAGGCAAGGTTACAATCGGCAGTTTTACTTGACAACCTCGTCCAGCCTCAACACTGTACATCATCAACGTTTTTTTAAAACATTCAAAATCGTTCTAGATTTCAAAATCAACCCGATAAATGTCCTTAAAATTATTAATATAAAAAAATCAATATAAAGTACGATCTAAAATTTTCCAACAATATTTTCGACTGTATTTTAAAAAACTTCTTGTAAATATTTGAAAAATTTTCTAAAAATTTAAATATTGTGAACACTACTATCCGTGTTTTCAGCGGTTTCGTCACAGAAAAATTGGTCCAAATCGTCAAAAATACTGTTGAATTCAGCACAGCTTCAACCTTACAATATTATCAAAAACATTTCTAATTACTTGAGAGTTATTTCCGGGTTTAGCTGGTATCTACTTAACATCATATAAGTAGGGGCCAGCAATGGTAAACGGCACCACATCATCGATCGTTTGGAAAGGGCCGGTATCATTGGTCAGCGCGGCAATGATCAACCCGTAACCTCCGTACTGCAACAAACTAGCAGGAAACTCTGCCTCAAAGTAAACGGAACCACTCTCCTGCCTCACATTTCTGATGGGAACGGCGACCGGCTGGTTCTGTTGCTCGATGTAGACGATGCGATTCTCAGCGCCGAGTTCGCGGGTCGTCTCAGTGACCGGCACGTAGAACTGGATCGTCTGATTCTGGCTGCTGTTCGGGTCCGGCTGTTGGACGGCGTTGAGCGAGGGGAGGATCTGGAGGTCGATGAGGTAGCTGTTGGGGCAGGAGCCGGGGACGACGACGTTCTGGTTCAAGGAGGAGTAAGTGTACACTCGGGAGCCGCGGGTCAGGAGGGGCGTGGGGGCAGGGATTTTGTGTTGCACCGTTCGGAAGTAACCGTCCTGTTCCGCTTCGTTCCCGACCCTGCCTATGATCGACGCGATGTACCTGTCGCAGGGAGAAAGCAAGAATTATTTTTCAAGATGCCTTGGGCCTTGTCTTCACTGGTTATTGTTTCGTGGGATTTATCCATAGAGTAAAATATTGCCGTGTTAAGGTGAATCCAGGGTTCGATTAGGGATAATTCAAGATTAGAGAGAGCGCCACCAGTCACCACTGAGAATTTCACTTTCCTTCGACGATTACTGAAATAATATTCCTCGAATTTCAAAAAGCAGATCTACAAGATATCGATTAATTTTTGCTTGATTTTTTGAGCCAAAAATATTGGCAATTAGAATTACAAGCGCAGAGAAAGTACGGCTGAAACTTTCAGCTCAGAGGCGGCGGCCGAGCGCGCAACGAAATCCCTCATGTTCTATCTCTCTCTCTCCCATTGCCGCAAAGGGAATTACTTTCCACCTTAGTTAAGACTTTATTTTTGGGAATTTTGAGAAGATTTCTTTACTGAGTGTTCCTCAAGTATGTTGCCATATCCCCTGGATCTCCAATCTTGAATGAGTATTACGGTTTTTATTATTTTGGCAAATATATGCGGATATTCTGAGCAGCGCGACGTGGTGGCCAAATCGCGAAGTTCCAAGCCTGGATTCGCCTTAAGAAAGAACATATCGACGGTGAAACTACCAAACCACGTATCTCGTTTGCGGTGTTTAAAAATCTCTACTCACATTTTATTTTTTTGAAGGAGATCAAATCAATATCATTCCTTACAATTTTCACAGATTTTTCTCCGCACGAAGAGGAAAAATCACGGAAGTTTTCACGAATGGACGTTGAGTAGTTTTCTATTTAAAAAATAAAGTATGACAGGAAATCTGCGACGTCGCAAACCGAGATACGTGGTTTGGTAGTTTCACCGTCGATATGAACATTCGAGAGTTGCCAAATTTCCCTCGGTAAAGTGTTAATTTTTGAGGAACGTTATGAATGTTTTTCCTTGGAATTTTCAGGAAATTCAAGTAAAATTACGAACAAAATTAACTAAAAAATCGGAAGGAAAATATTTATAAGCTTACCAGGGAATTAGTGGTTTATCAAAGGAAACTTGGGAACGCCTAAAGGTTCATACGGCATTCTTCCCTAGCATGCAGAATAGAATCGCAATTTACCGGAGCGCCGATGAAGTGAATCCACGAACGGGTCCCTTGGCGGACGGCAAGTGGGAACCATACGTCACTTTCGAACACAGCGGCTTATAGGAGAATCGCGACTGCGATTGGTTTGGTGGGATTAATTAATTTAAATTGATAGTTATTTTCGAGAATTATGGCAAATTCTGTTGACCAAAGTCATAACAAATTAAAAAATGTTCGAAAATCCGGGTTTTCATAAAATAAATTGTATGTCTGTATTTTCTGATCGAAGACCGGAGCTCGAACCTCGCGCATACGGCATCGCCAGTCGCCACACACTATTCCTAGTCTCAGGAGTACTAGATGAAACAGCCTCAAAAAGTGACTTCATGGGCGCTTCAGTACATTGCAACTTCATTGTACTCTATGGATTTATCCCAGGGAATAATCTCTCTTGCGAAGTTGAGAAAAATATTGAGCTGGTCAAAGTCAATTCTAATCACTGTACCAAGGAGATTCCTTGTGGAGCCCTAAGAGCGACTCAGATAGAAGGAGACGAAATTTTGTTAATTTTTTTTAACGGAGAAAAAGCCTATAATTTTCACTCCTGCGTTTCGAACTTGGGACAAATCGACCCGTGGAGACAAGACCGGCGAAGAATCATTTGAATAATTAATAGACTCACGGTCAAAAAATGTTACAGCAATGGAATATCCACGACCCGAAAAGCTCGGCAGCTGGAGCCAACATTTCCGGTTCTGGCTACCAAAATGATAAAACTGCCGAAAGCTCGTCGTGGTGGTACCGAGTATTCGGCACCTCGCTGCAGCAGTGCAGCATAATAAAACCACAAAATGTAAAAGAAAAAATTAAAGTGCCTTGGAAATCATTGAATTTGACACGGAACCACCAATATTTAAAAAACACACAGTATATTATTATTCTCCTTTGATACATTGATACATATTTTTTCCCATCAATTTAAATGAGAATAATCAATGCAGAGTGTGCAAACATTTCAAAATTATGAGTTAAAAACGCTGACTATGCGAGTATAAATATTAAAGCCTAACAGAGCGGAGCAGCGTGCTGCCAGGGCGAGAAGCTCACAGGCGCCTACAAACCTAAATTGATACTTCACGCTTTGCACAATGCTTGAAGTATCCACTTAGGTTTGTAGGCGCCTGTGAGCCTCTCGCGCTGGCCGCCCGCCCGCCGTGCTGCGGCGCCTGAAGCTACTATTTCCCAACAGAGGTGTTGCACAGTATTATACGAAATTGAACGTTTTAAGAATGACAGGCATCCTTTAAAAGTACAGATCTTTCCTCGCAAATCTGGAGCGCAGAGAAGAAAAATCACGGCAGTTTTAAAGAATTGTCGTCGAGTAGTTTTCCGTTTAAAAAATAAAGTATGACAGGAGGTTTGCGTCGTCGCAAACCGAGTTATGTGATTGCCGACGTACACCGTCGATATGCTGTTTCTGAAATGAGCTAGACATAGAAGTTCTTAATTGCAAAATGTAATCCAAATCAGGGTCCTCTAATGCTATAACGGATATTTTTGACAAAATCCGCCCCGAAGATTTTTTTTTTACTTTCTTTAAAGACCCAGCGACTTACTCGGAATCATTGTTTCGGCCAAGCCTGGTCGCGACGTCCTGAATGGTAGCGATGACGAGATCGGTGAAGGTGTTGGCGTACGCGAATGCGGCCCGGATATCGCTGACCGGGGCCCTGTAGCGGCAGGCCTGGATCGGCTCCAGGTCCATTTTGATGAGAATATCGTTAGCCTGGAGCGCGTGGACTTCCTCCTGAGCCCGAATCGCAGTCAGCGTCGTGATGGTGAAGTTCCGGGAATACGGGTCCAGGATGACGTAGCCGGGGACGTTGTTGGTGACGTTGTCGAGGAACTCAGTGAAGTAGGCCACCTCGAAGATCTCGTTGAAGGCCAGGAAGCGTATCGACGTGACGTCATCCGGTTTTAACGGGGGTAGATTCGACCTGGGCACCGGGCCGTGAGCTTGTTGGAAGATGTCTGTCTCCTTTGGCGAGCCCGGGGGGATGTTCGGGAACCCGTTTGACAGGGGGAAGCTAAACCCGCCTGAGGATCCTGAATTCTGTGATTGGTAGCTGTTTGTGCCTCCCGTGTTTTGGTAGCTGTTCGTGTTTGGTGTGTTTAGTTGAGTGTTTTGGTAGATGTTTGAACCTAGTGTGTTTTGTTGAGTATTTTGGTAACCATTCGTACCTGATGTGCCAAGTTGAGTGTTTTGGTAGCTATTTGTACCTGATGCGCCTAGTTGAGTGTTTTGGTAACTGTTTGTACCTGGTAAATTTGATTGCGTGTGTTGGTTGCTGTTCGTGGCTGGTGTGTTTGGTTGAGGGTTTTGGTAGTTGTTTATGCTGGGTATGTTTGATTGCGTGTTTTGGTTGCTGATTGTAGCCGGTGCGTTTGTTTGAGGGTTTTGATGGTTGTTTCCTATTGGGAAGGAGAATCTTGCGGAAACTAATGGGCATAATGCGGCGATCCGAACGATACTGAAAGCGAACATTTTTAGTCAGGATTTTTATCAAAAAAGAACTATCAGACTGGAAAAATATGGAAAAACTGGAAAAAGAGACTGCCTGTGCCACATGTCTATCAACGGATAACTCCCATATCAAGGACTAAAATTGCGAGGTGTTAAAATCTCTTAAAACCTTCACAGATATATCAAACAACCAACTTTTAAACTTTTATTTCGCACAAAATTTGAAATTGAACAGAGCAACTGCGTTTTGATCTGAATAAATAGCCAAATTAAGCTTTAAGTTGGAGTGTGTTAAAATTATATCGATGGCTGAAGTAAAAAAATACGAGCCTATCAGAAAGTTTCAACATTTTCGAGTTTCTTTCATTTTTCAAAATGAAAATAGCCAACGAATTTTTTTGAAATTTTATGTGAATATTTTAGAATTGTAGAACATTCATAGAAAATTTTGAGCAAAACCCTCATTGGTTTTCTTCGAAAAATTAAACATTCGCGGAGATTTGCAACGGCACCATCGGAGATACGAATTTTTTTACTTTAGCCATCGCAAAAACTCTGGTTACACGTCAGACTTGGTGCAACACAGTTAAATTTACGTCAAAAATGCACTTTTAATCGAACCGAAGCTGAACGAGGATTTTAAGCGCACAAAAATGAACGATTGAGGACTGCGGACTGATTACACCCTACACAATTTGGCTCACAGTTTGTCGACTTTATTACATTGTAGAGTCCTGTCAAAGCAGCAAGGTCTCTCAAGGTCTGGAGGTAACTGGTCAAACATAATTGTTGCACTCGAGTACAGTGTTCCTTCTTTGTCGGTCAACGATATCTGACCCGTCCACCGCTAATTGACACTCACGATGTCCCCGAGCATTTTTTTCGTCAGATAGTCCGTGTCACGTTCACTTGATAAAATGTAGAATTTAGTGAATTATTTTGAGAAAACAAGTAATTACACTCTCTTTTTCATTCATTAAATCTCCCAATCAAAGAACTGCCGTGCTGAGTAAAAACGCTGTATGAAGATTCGAATGGTGCCAAATTTCTCCTCAGAAAATACTTATTTTTGAAGAAGGTTGTGAACATTTTTCTGTGAAAATTTCTGACTTTTTAGATAAAAAACAAACGATATCTTCCTAGAAATCAGAAGAGAAATATTCACAAATTTTCCTAAAAATTCGTGATTGGTCGAATGAAATATCGAGACGCCTTACGGTTCATACGGCGTTCTTACTTAGCACGGCAGAAAAGGGGACTGAAGTTCAAACAAGTTGGCGTAAATGGGTTTTCCTTCCTCTGATATTGATCATAATAAATATTTCTTCGTGGCCAATAATAGTTTAATCATTAGATTACGAGGATGCTTGAACTGAGATAAGGTGCATAATAAGAAAATGCTGAATAAACAGGTGAAAAAAGGAACCAACTCCATGTCAGTAGCTGCTCTTTTGCCCAGTCATCTTTTTTGCATCATCGTATAATATTTTGGTTCGACGGCGTGAAACGTTTCATGGTCCTGCAAACTTTACTGTAAAGATCTAAAATGGCTGAGTGCTTTCAATCCTTCATTCGTACTTCGAAGACACTTCTTATGCATAATTGGATTGCATTTTGCAAAAAGGAACCAAGAGCATTCCAATGTTGACGGGGTTGTGCAACATACATGCTTTGCAATAAAATTTCTAAGATGATGAAACAAATCAGATTTACAAGGGTGATTTTCCTCTTGAATTCATGGTTTATTGAGAGTAAAGATAAAACTTGTATCGATGATTGGTTTATATTTGCAGGGTCAAGAAAGTTGCACAATCTTTGCGACACTAGAATGCTCCTGGTTCCTTTTTGCAAAATCCAATCCAATTAATCAGGTTAAGCCCTACAAATCATGTGCAGCGCATCGCAATATCTAAACTGAAGCACAGAAGATGCTAACATTCACGCCCGTATGCAACTATTCGTATCTGGAAGATATTTGCAGTATAAAAGAAGAACTCAAAACTCTCTGCTATTTTAGATCCTCACAGTAAAGCCCATTGTCGTATCGTCGCCTCGCGCCGCAGCAGCGTAGCGTAGGTGAAGTGCATGCCTGGATAGCCGAAACGCCTTCATTTCCGCGCGTATGCTACACAGACATCCATGAAGCTCGAATAGTTGCATTGCATCTAGGCGTTTTGAAAAAAAGTTCAATATTCGTCGCTTTCGACACTAGTTTGGAACACAGTTTGGAAATTACATGGATCTTTATGACAGAATGAAAGTTCAAACTGACTTTTTGATGCTGAAGCGAATTTTTCACAGAATATATGCAGTAAAACTAAGTTTTACTCGAAATCATTATTATCTCAATTTTTTCAAAAACTGCAATTATGCGCCTTGTCCTGCAAGGCTCTGAATTATGGTTTGATTGCAAATTGTGTACAAAGACGGTTTGGGCAGGCTTCTCAATGACAATGTTCCTTCCCGACCGTATGTCATTTAAAGTGCAAGTAACTTGCAATGGCGGAGCCAAAGTGTTAATATTGAGGTCGTCATATTTTCTTACCGCAAAGACTGTCACATTAACGTTTTGTGAGCGATTAAATTCAAATAAATGATTGTTTTCCCTGTGAATGGGTTTGAATTGAAGTATTGAAAACGTTATTACCTCGGTGAGGAGTTATAAATTCAGGAATTTTTCGCTGCGCAAATCGTTGTCTACGTAAAATTTTGATGAGAAAACATGAATCAGAACACTTAAATTCGTACCTAAGTCTAGCGACCCATCCCCCATGTTCGATTGTCAGCTTAAAATCTATATCATCAAGAACAATTTACTCCCCGGCCGAAGATATACCCCCCGGCCGATGATATACCCCCCGGCCGATGATATACCCCCCGGCCGATGATATACTCTCCGGCCGATGATATACCTAATGGTAATTCCGGCGTGTCTCGGGACGCAAATACTTAATTGAAGTAAATTTTTAACTCATGACTTAATAGGATAAGAATGGTACATAAATAATAAGACTTGTAAATTATGTTTAAAATTATGTATTTCTGAGATACAAAAAAAGAAGAAAAAAAAGAACAATTTACTTCTTGTCAAACAAATAAGGACCAGCGACGGTATTCGGCACGACTGCTTCGACGTTCTTAAACGGCCCCGTGCTGTTTGTCAGAACAAAAATGATGAGACCGTAGCCACCGTACTGCAATAAACTGGCCGGGAAAGTAGCCTCGAAGGTGCTGACACCATCGTCCTCTCGTAAATCCTCAATGGGCACAACGAGCGGCATGTTCTGCTGAGAAATGTAGACGACAGCGTAGCTGCAATCGACGGTAGCTTCAGTGCTCAGCTCGATAGTTTGATTCTGATCGGAGTCCGCGCTGGGCGAGTTGGCGACGTAGAGGGCCGGGTAGAGCTGCAGGTCGATGAGGTAGCTGTTGGGGCAAGAACCGTTCACAACGACCATCTGGTTCAGAGAGGACCAGGCGAATTCCCGCGCACTGCCGGTTAGCAAAGGGTTTGAGGATGGGATCTTGTTGTTCATATAGCGGAAGAACCCGTTCTGTTCGCCCTCGTTACTCACCCTGGCTGTCTCGGACATGAAATGAATTTTAGTTAGAAATGATAAGGATTTTCTACTTTCTCACCTCTGTTATAAGTTCCAAACAATGGGTCAGTTGCGCTAGTAACGGCATCACGTGTTTTGATGCTTGATTCTTGTGGATTTGCTAAAAATAATTACACGGAGAGAAAAACTTCGTGCATGGGACCCGAAGTTGAGGTCATATGGATCTCTGAAGTTTCCTCATCACGCAAACGAAACTTGAGGCCGAGCTGCCGAAGTTCGGGTCAGACACCGAGGCACTTCGGTACGTACTGGAGTACTGGAGTACTTCAGGTATATATCGAATTTATAACCGTATAACCCGAACCCTTCAGTACATATCGAAGTACTTCAGATGTCTGACCCGAACTTCGGTAGCTGGACCTCAAGTTTTTAGAAAAGTGATTCGAAAACTTAAGTGATCCGTATGACCTCAACTCTGGGTCCCTAGCACGAAGTTTTTTTCTCCGTGTAGATCCGTTTAAGCAGCATTTTACTTCGTCCAATAGTAACAAAGATATCGCACAATGAATAATTCGGTTTACAACGTCATCACCGCGGTAGTAGTGACTCCGTTGGTTTCTTCTCCCTTGTTTTCATCCAAGTTTCACATTGAGTGAGCAGTGCAAACTTTGCACTGCCCACCAGGGCCGAATTAAGGGGGTAGCGGGGTGGTGGTCACATGGGCCGCGGCCTATAGCGGCAAAATGTAGAGGGCGGCAAATTTAGCAATCTCTTTGAATGTAGGTATAAAAAAAAAGAGATAAAAATCGGATTCATCAGAAAATAAATTACAAACGAGAAAAAGCGACAAAATCGCTCATTTCCTGAGAGTAAAAGTATAGTAATTTTTAATTTTGTCGTCTTTCGGTGATACAAGAGACAACACCTTTAATTAGTCGAGTTAAGAGAGAAACCAAACGCGGAATTTGACCCTGGAATGGAGCGGCACGGCGGTCGGCATGAAACGCATAGCGCCTACAAGACTGCATGAATACTTCACGCATTGCGCCAGTACTTGGTTCTTGATTTAAGCAAAAATCCGATTGAATCAAGAGTATTTTTTCTCGTCGATGTTTTTAAGAGTCTGGACACTAGATCGAATGTGTTTTTCTTCCAATGTAGTTACTCGTAATATTGTTAAAAGTTGTAAATTTGTAAAAATTTGTAATTTTTTTGTGTAAAGTGAACAATCGCTGAAAATGGGTTTCGCGGGTCAACATTCAACAGCGACACCGATGACCCGTTTTGAGCGTGTGGAGTTGGCTATACCTGTAACCGACGGAATGTAGTCTGTATCATTGTTCCGCCCGAGCAGCTTCATGATGGTTTGAACCGTGCCCATGACGACATCGGTGAACGTGCTGGCGAAATTGAAGGCGTCGCTGATATTGCTGACCGGGAAAACGTAGCGACACGCCTGTATCGGCTCCAAGTCCATGCTCATCAAAACGGCGTTGGCCTGCAACGCATGGACTTCCTCCTGGGCGACGATGGCCTGCAGGGTGGTGATGACGTAGTCGCGGAGATCCTGGTCGGCGATCTCGTATCCGGTCACGTTGTTGGTCACGTTGGCGAGGAAGTCCGAGAAGTAGGCCACCTCGAAAATCTCGTTGAAGGCGAGGAATTGGAGGGAGGTGACGTCATCATCCGCCAGAGGAGGAAGGTTCGGCTTTGGGTAGTTCCCGTGGGCGCGCTGAAACACGTCCTCCTCTTGCTGGGACCCCGGCTGTATGTCCGGGAACCCATCTGACAATGGGAAAAAAAACTCCATAGGACCATCCGACTCGTGGTTTGTTGATGATGGCGGTGCGAACCAGATGACACTGAGCACGATGGAAATTGGTATTGAACGCATTTTGTGGATGGATTCCCTGCTCAGGGAGGTAGCTCGACTGGAAATGAAAAATATAAGTCTGGTCACGCAACATCAATTGGACGTATTTCTGCCAAAAGGGACTCTGTGCTTTATGACGTGAGCCCTGTTATGCATATATTCTTATGGGTCCCAGGGCTCATGTCTTAATACACATAGCTCCGTTTTGCAGAGATACGTCCAATTGGACTATATTCATAGGCGGGTCAAGGGGGGCGTAGAGGGCGTGAGCCCCTCCCCCCCTCACTCCCTGTTCGCCCGAAAGAAATGAGGGGGAAAAAAAGAAAGAAGGAAGGAAATGGAGGAAAGACGAGGGAAGGATGCTTATAATTGGTAGTTATTCATGACGAAATTGACTCAACCTACATATTTGATACTTTAAAATTTCGACAATTTTCTGGAGAGAGCTCCCTGGACCCCCTTTACTCCCCTCCCCACCGTTCGAGGTGTCTGGATCTGCCTATGACTAAATTTTGCAATAAATTAGGGCCTACATTTTCGGAATCAGTTAAAAAACAACATATGTAACATTAGTTCCCCTATGAACATGAGTGTTTTTACGGATGAGCCAGAAATTTGTTTTTCCTAATTGAAAAATGTAATCTATTTAGTAAACGTTCACAGGAGAATCTTCTTTAGTCCACGGAGACAAATTTTTGATTAAAGGCAGGGGTGATGACATTACGTCAGAGACACCGGTGGTGCTTTTTTCTGTGAAACAGATGCATTCATTATAAAGGGAAAAAGCTTATCAGAAAAATACGAACCTTTAAAAAAACTAATTTTACACATATTAAAGATCATTGGAAAATAGATCCTCACCTTTATTGAATATCAAAAACTTTAAACAGTTTAAATGGCTATAGAGACTTTCAAAGATCATAGACGTAACTTCTATGGATTCAAGATTACATTGTCAAAAAATTTGGAGACTTTTCTTCTCTTGAGGACCTTTATAATGATTTTGAATGAATGATTACTTTAATTAACAAAGGAATGGCCGCGGCCACAGACATAGATTTTCTGTAATTTGCACTACACTCATGATGGATGGGGAAGATTAAGAGCCTCTGAAATTTGAAAGTGGTTTGAAATGGGGTAAACATTTGAGAAGACCTATCGATTAGATGGTCTCTAATTAGACTACTAAATTTTAAGAAGTTAATTATTTAAAATACACGCCCACGCTTATCAAGATATCTTTAAGGTTAACATTATGTAGCGTCTTCATAAAAAATTCAACTCTCCCCGATATATATTTGTATCCATTAAAAAATAACATGAGCCAAATCTCTCAACTTACGATTACAGAGCGAATTTCAGAGCTGGAATCCTCGAATCCACCAAACGCAGCGTTTGAACAATGGACTGTCCACACACATACAAGTTTTTGAAACATTTCCTCATTTCAAGTCTCAATGAGTCAAATTCGAGGCAGTCAAGTATATTTTTGTCTCTACAGATTTCCTCGGTTACGCATAATTAGCATGTTCCAAAGATAACAATTTTCTCAATTCTCACACTGCATTTTGCTCTACTTTTCCTGAAAGCAAGTTGAAGAAAACCGTAGGATACTCGATGATCATTTGGACCGACTTGAACAGAAACGTACCTAGGCGCATCAAGTTTAAATTGTGACAAGGATATTTGTCCACAAGCCTCTATGTTTAGGGCGGAAAATAACGACTATTTTCGCGTCCTCGAATTTTTGACAGCAAAAAATCCACAACCAGTTGGATTCAAAACCTCCCTTCCCTCATTTTATCCAAAATGCGACTTGCTGCTTCTCGATCCGTCTGTGAGAGAAAGAAGTCTAGAATGAATTGCTGCTGTGTCATATGCCGGTGTTTTGGAACAGTGTCAACAATGGCTGATTTTCATCATGTGATGTTTACGTGCTTCACCTCATAAAAATCATTCTCTCCTCCCACTTTCATAGTACCTTTCATTCATTTTCTTTTTTAACATTATAACATAGCTAAGCCTTATTTTCATTCTTACTCAAATTTCTCACCCCGCACTGCAGTTGTTGTCGGCACGTCCTCCAAAATTTTGAAGTAAGCTGAAACCTTCACTATTTGGAGACAATTTCTTCTTGAGGATAAAATAAACTCAATATTTGTTCCACCCATCATAATTTATCCTTTTTTTCTCTACGGCGGTTCAGCTAATTCATCCTTGTAATGGTGCGGGTGTTCTAAATCATACATTCGAGACAGTTTTGTATAGCTTGCATCGATAACACACTAAATCTACATTACGTGTATGTTAATTTCAAATTTAGATACCAGGTGAAAATAATAATTTTTAATCATTGAGATGAAAGTCAATTGCGCTTGGATCGTCAGTATTTATGATCTCTTAATCGCATATCTGGAATCCGGGATGTTATGAGATACTGAAGTTTAGAGCGTAATATTTAAACAATTAAAATTCCATAAGATCACTAATACGGCACCTTACGGCTATGTCACGTCATAGACTCATAGACGCATCGAGGAGAAATTTTCTATTCTGTATGTGCGCCTTCAAATACTCATGATGCAAATGTCTGTAACTTAAAAACCTTACTGCACTCTTTAATACTAGGCATTGCAGTATATTCAACTCTTGCAAAATCACTTTTCACGAGGAACATTGCTGAGCATGGATTTTCTTCTCCGTATCATAAGTTTTCTCATGACGGGCGTGTAGTAGAATTTTTAAATATGATTCAAAATTTTAGGCCGTGCGCATTTGAAATTTCTCTTGGTGAACTTAATTGGGAGCACACATTAGTTTACATCAACCCCACATAGAAGTCGTTTTATCAAATACGCACAACGGTTTTTTGTGTTAAAAAACTTTAAGCCTAGTAAGAAGTAATGTTTAACCAGGGCCGGATTTACTCTCTAGCTGCACTAGACGCTTGAGGTCTGTATCACTAAGTTTTTCTCCCTTCCCATCAAAATAAAGTTTTTAATAATTATTTTTCGACCATAAAATTTTTTTCTATTTCTCGTAGGTTCATGGTTAAGTTCATACGGAGCGCGCTATCTTTCTTTTCATTTACCATTTGTGCCAAACAACTCCTTAAAATGCGTTCAAGAGGAGTTAGAATTTCAAATTTTACGGAGAGAACCTTCTAGGCCCCTAAGCCCAACTTCTCCAGGAGGGTGCACCTTGGGGAGACCTACATCACAGGCTGCGCTTTATGGATCTAAGAGTCCTAAATCCGGCACTTTGTTTAACTATGGCGCACTTGTTAAAGCCATCGCAGTGAATATCACCCCATAATCAGAGTTTCAAACACATTTTTAAGTAAAAGTGGAAATAGTCAATGCCAAGGAAAATGGACCTCGACAACTTGGCTCCAACTGATCTCAACTGGAGGAAAACTGCTCGTGAACTTGCAAACTGAGAAGTAGGCCTCAATGAACAATTGCAGTGCGGTAAGTATGCTAATGTTTGATTTGAGCTGGAGTCATAGGATTTTATCTCAACATTTGCATATTCTCTATTCATCCTTGGGGCTTAGACTATTTTATCCTCAGTATAAATTTAGAACACAAGCTTAGGAACGAAGTTCCTAACGTTTCATTTTCCTTATGTCTTAGGACCACCCTCAAAATAATACTCGAACACTCAACAAATGCTCTGCATCTAGTTGAGGGAAGTAATTGTTCTTCTATGGAATGAATTTATTTCAGTTTTTGACGTAAATGTGAGACGCGAGCCTGTTATTTTGATCTAGTCAATATTTCTGTACGCTTTATTTCGTTAATTTTTGTTTTGTTTTTATTCAAAGATTAATTGAAAGTGACTTATTAGCCATCAAGTTTTGATCGCGCTTGTAAATTTAGCTTTTGTGTGTAGTTTAAAATGTGAAGTGACAATATGACTACTGCTCGGTAGTTTATTTAGGAAGTCGTATTTTTTTTGACATGGACGACATCCATTGTGACAAAAAGGTTTGACTGCTGATGAGCAGAGACACGCTCTACCAGACTCAACTTCCCACACATTGTGTAGATTGCTAACATGAAGTTCTTTCCGTTATAGTTACAATAAACAAAAACTAACTTAAAAGTGGAATAAAAAATAAAAAATCATGTTCAATATCGCGTAATCAATTATAGTCAAATTTGTCTCTCGGTGTTGGGATGTTCTGTGGTTTGTTTAACTTTTCACGTGGGTACATGCAAATTAATCTTACTCTGCCTTCGTGTCACCCCGAAAAATTGACTGGTAATAAGAAATGTACGACATGACATTACTGTGGACAGGAAATCTTCTCTTAAGGACATTAATAATTCCAATTCTTCTTAAATAAATTTCATTTCTTTTTAACAACTTAAATCGCCTTACTTTCTCCAAAATGTTCGCCTTACTTACTTCAAAAGTTTGAACATTTTAGTGCCGTTTCAAGTAGGACGAAACACTTCCTTTCCTCGTCCACCATTCGAAAGAACGCAGGCAATAGCAGTGTTGCAAAATGTGTGCATATTGTATTTTTACTATCCAAATTTTGGGCGCTCGTAATTGAAAATTTCACGGATTTCTTCTCGGGCTGCATACCAAAATCAACAAAATTTTGAAGAAATATTACACAGTCATGTTCCTCTAAAAATGTCATTCTTCAAGTCAATTTTGCAACATTGAAATCGAAATCCCTATTTTGGAACATGTTGACTTCTAGCTGAATTTCTTTGAGAATAAGCAGCTAACATGTGAAAAATGATATCTTCCAAGTCACATGCATGAAACCAAAGGTTCAACGCTGCAGCTAAAAGAGACAGACATCCTACCGTTCGACAGATCACCGTCTCTCATAATCTCTAAATCGATCGATCTTCAAGAACCTCGATTATCTATATCCCATCCAAAATGTGTCAACAAAAAGGAGAGAGCGAACCATTAATCCCACTGGCCAAAGGGAAACCTCTGAAATCTTCGCCCCGGATGAAAGTGGTGACCGCTGTAATGTTTGCTGCCTCCTCATTCGTCGTCACTCTCGCCAACAAATCCATCCTGACGACGTACCAATTCCCGTCTTTCAAAGCGATGGCGCTCATCCAAAGTCTGACGACCGTCCTCGTTCTTTACGCATTGAAGAAGCTAGGATTCGTGGAATTCTCCGATCTCAAAGGGGGCACCTTAGGGTGCGTCAAAAAAAATGAAAGTCTGAAATGTTCCGCTCCCCAGGCGGCAATCGATGACGTTTGGTAAAAAAACATGTTTGCCAAAATTTGGGCCAATTTCAACCATTTTAAATGGTGCCAAAGGTCAATTTTGTGATGAAATTATGATATTTTGGTTTAGACCTCGATTTCGCACAAAAAACTCGATTTTACGCTGAAATCGTGCGTTTACGAGAAAAATGCCAAAGAACTCGACTTGTAGAGGATAAAATTTTACACTAGGAAGACGTCTTTGTAACCGATAAAAATCAGATTGAACTAGAAAAACTCAACTCGGTATTTATTTTTTTGGTCCTCAGAATTTCCGAGGTCTTAGAAAGTAGAGGTGTAAAAGACTCATTTTTCACGAAAATAAGTCGAAAGAGGGTGTAAACGAACTGTAGGCAAGTGTTGAGGATGCAACTGTCATCAGAACTTCCTCAGTTTCAAAAAAAGTTCCAACTATTTTGCACAATCCTCCAAAAAGTGCACGGTTCGAGAAGCAGGATCGTGCTATATTAGTAAGGGGAAAGTGCGGTTTGACCGGGAAAAATTGCGTAACAAACTTTCCCAATGTAATCGTCATCAGTAGGTCCCCCTGAACAACTTCCTAAAAGTTAAAAATGGCCCGACCCCGGAATACCCCTCAAAAAAGTTAAAATTGAAAATGGCGGCCGTAATAAGAGGGTCCGGGAAATCGGTATTTTAAAATGCTCATTCTGTCTCATCATGTGAGGTATCATTTCCTATGTAATTTTGGTCGTAGATTTCATAAATGAATTCCGCAAGGCCCCTTCTAAGCTTACGTTTCTCTCGGTAGTTGTACGTTTCCTTTATTTTCCTTTATTAAATACATTTATAACATCAAATTTAAGTTTCTTGGCCATAACTACATGAAAATAAAGACAATTCACTTTCCTTGTTCCTTCGGTGAATATTTAAAAAAATGCAACCTCTTGCCTTTCACATTTGGCCGCCACCTTTGATTTAGAGCGCCCCCTTTGGCCGGAGGGCCTTGTGGAATTCATTTATGAAATCTGCGACCAAAATTACATAGGAAATGATACCTCACATGATGAGACAGAATGAGCATTTTAAAATACCGATTTCCCGGACCCTCTTATTACGGCCGCCATTTTCAATTTTAACTTTTTTGAGGGGTATTCCGGGGTCGGGCCATTTTTAACTTTTAGGAAGTTGTTCAGGGGGACCTACTGATGACGATTACATTGGGAAAGTTTGTTACGCAATTTTTCCCGGTCAAACCGCACTTTCCCCTTACTAATATAGCACGATCCTGCTTCTCGAACCGTGCACTTTTTGGAGGATTGTGCAAAATAGTTGGAACTTTTTTTGAAACTGAGGAAGTTCTGATGACAGTTGCATCCTCAACACTTGCCTACAGTTCGTTTACACCCTCTTTCGACTTATTTTCGTGAAAAATGAGTCTTTTACACCTCTACTTTCTAAGACCTCGGAAATTCTGAGGACCAAAAAAATAAATACCGAGTTGAGTTTTTCTAGTTCAATCTGATTTTTATCGGTTACAAAGACGTCTTCCTAGTGTAAAATTTTATCCTCTACAAGTCGAGTTCTTTGGCATTTTTCTCGTAAACGCACGATTTCAGCGTAAAATCGAGTTTTTTGTGCGAAATCGAGGTCTAAACCAAAATATCATAATTTCATCACAAAATTGACCTTTGGCACCATTTAAAATGGTTGAAATTGGCCCAAATTTTGGCAAACATGTTTTTTTACCAAACGTCATCGATTGCCGCCTGGGGAGCGGAACATTTCAGACTTTCATTTTTTTTGACGCACCCTAGGGCACCTTCGACCAACTGTTCCCGTTACCTCTCGTCCATGTAGGAGGTTTGTACTTATTAAATTATAGCTTTTATACACGGAGAAAAAAACTTCGTGCATGGGACCCGAAGTTGAGGTCATATGGATCTCTGAAGTTTTCTGATCACGCATCCGAAAACTTGAGGTCGAGCTACCGAAGTTCGGGTCAGACATCGAGGCACTTTGGTATGTACTGAAGTACTTCAGATGTGTGACCCGAACCCTTCGGTATGTATCGAAGTACATTCATTCAGGGGTCATTCATTAATGACGTGATGGTCCTAAGTAGCGCCCTGAACCCCCCTCCCGGGGGGTTAAGGATGCCTGATGCGTGTCTGTCAATGGGAGAGCGAGGGACGAGCAGAAACAGACGATTGGTCTAATTAAAGCTGCCCAAAGTCTGAAGAATTTGAATAATTAAGCATGTGTGCATATTCTACTGCGCGGAGAAAAAAACTGTGCGTGGGACCCGAAGTTGAGGTCATATTATTATGGATCTCTGAAGTTTTCGGATCACGTATCTAAAAACTTGAGGTCCAGCTGCCGAATTTCGGGTCAGACATCAGAAGTACACTTCAATCTTTACCGAAGGGTTCGGGTCACATATCGACGGTGAAACTACCAAACCACGTATCTCGGTTTGCGACGTCGCAGACTTCCTGTCATACTTTATTTTTTAAAGGAAAAACTATTTAACGTCCAGTGTTGAAAATTTCTGTGATTTTTCCTCTTCGCGCGGAGAAAATTCTGTGAAAATTTCAAGGAATGATATTGATTTGGTCTACTTTCAAAAAATAAAATGTGAGCGTAGATTTTTAAACACTGCAAACGAGATACGTGGTTTGGTAGTTTCACCGTCGATATATGAAGTACTCCGGTACATACCGAAGTACCTAAATGTATGACCCGAACTTCGGCAGCTCGACCTCAAGTTTCCGGATGCGTGATCAGAAAACTCCAGAGATCCATAGGACCTTAACTTCGGGTCCCATGCACGAAGTTTTTTTCTCCACGTGGCGCGACTTCAACCTTAAATAAAAATAATAAATTCCCATTCCCTCTTTCCTCTCTGTTGAAAAAGGTATGTTACTCTCACTGAGCGGCACCAAGGAGCTGAGCATCCCGATGAACACGACGATCCATCGCTTCGCGGTCATGACGACGATGATCCTGGAGTACTACGTCTTGACCGTCTGGCCACCTCGGAGTGTCCAGTTGTCCGTCATGGTCATGGTCCTGGGCGCCGTCATCGCCATGGCCGAGCCGGGTCCCAACGTCTTCGGCTACGCCTGCGTCCTCATCAGCGACGCCTTCTCTTCCTACGGCTGCGTCTTCACCAAAGACATCCTCGAGCGGGACACCAGCATGAACAAGTACGGATTCCTCTTCTTCAACTCCCTCTTCGTCCTCCCGCTCATGCTACTCCTGGCCTGCATCGACGACGATCTCGTCCTCGCCTACAACTTCCCGATGTGGCACGATCCCCTCTTCTCGCTCATGTTTGTTGTGGCCAGCACGCTAGGGGCGCTACTCTCGTTTACGGCCATGCTTTGCACGTTGCATAACTCGGCCCTGACTACTACTATCGTCGCCTGTCTCAAGAATGCCTTCGTCACCTATGTCGGGATGTACTGGGGTCAGGATTACTTATTCTCGTGGCAGAACTTCGTCGGGATCAATATTAGCATCCTTGGGAGTCTTCTTTATACGTACGTCGTTTTCGGGGCGATTAAGGAGGCCCCGATCGAAAATAAACCGGTTGCTCAGATCATCGTGACCATCGGTCAATGAATCGACAATATACAATGAATGAAGTTTAATTCCTAGACCATTATACGATAATCCCAGACATGACGGGACATAATCGGGACGGGAGATAGTCCCAGACATGACCATCTTCATTATAGACATGGGGGTTGTATTTTAAAAGCAAAAGTATAGATTTTCCAAGAGTTTTGCTCTCTTTTCAAAGGAAATTAATTATTTCTCTCGAAAACACAATTTCCAAGACTCCAAATTTATAGATATACCTCGGTTGGTGAAAATGTGGCCGTAACGTGGACGAAGAGAGTAAGTTAGTTTCTTTTTTCTTTTTTTTTTTTGAAATCGAGAAATGATAAAATGCAGCCTTCAAAACTGCGTCAACGATGAAGATGGATAATTCATGGTCTGGAATTAGGCGTTGGATGCAGAAAGGACATATCTCGGTTGCGGTGTTTCAAAATCTCCTCTGCGAATTTATTTTTTAGAGAGGAAACTTTTGGGCGAATTTTTGAACTTTTTAATTTTCACCACAGCAGTGTCATAAAAAAAATTCAGTGAAAGTTTCAACGGATTCCATGCACTTGCTTTAATTATAGTGGATGAAACGTTAACGGAGAATCTGAGACACCGCAATCAAAAAATGTCCTTTCTGCGCCCTGCGCTTCAATTTTATTGCGTTCTATTGGTACTTGTTGACAACTTTTGAGCCCGAGACGTTGATGGATTTCCAACAATACAAAAAAAAGTCATTCTTTTCACTCTACCACACGAGGTAGACAAAATCATACCTCACTCCAATATGTGCATCAAAAATTCTCGTAAAACATGGTGGGAACATTGAAAATATTCAAAGCCAACTCATGTATAAGAGTACTTAGAAAAAGTGAAACAAAACATGTCATATCTAGATTTCAGTTTGCTTGGAAAAATACCTTCAAGCAACGGTGTTAGATCGTAGTATATTGATGGCCAGAGTGCAAAACCACGAATCTAGGCAATTCCATGAATAGTATCCAATTACGGTCACGAACATTTCATTCGTAAAAAGTGTGATAAAAAATCTCACATTTCATGCAATTTCCAGGAAAACAAGCGTTTTCAACGAATCATTAAAATTGTGTACCTCATTATTTAGCTCTTAAAATAACTGCTGCGAATCATTAAAATTGTGTACCTCATTATTCAGCTGCTTAAAATGACTGCTTAAAATAAATAAAGGTGGGGGGGCCCCTCCTCTCGGTTGGGGCCCCCCACCTGACGTAAAATCCTCCTTTATGTGAATTTTTCAAGTTTTAGAAGGCCCCAACAGGAGTCCTGTCGAGGTTCCTTAGCTATTTAACCGACAGAATGTCTGAGGTGCTGAAGCACCCAGAAGCATTCTAGCACCCCAGGCCAGACCACCCCTGCTGGATCGAATCATAAACCGGGCATAGTTAATCCAATTGAGACATCATTATAGTGAAAAAAATCCCTCAGAATGTTGGATTCTTGGCACCTTGAGGGGTGCTGCGCGTTAATAAATAAAATAGTTTTCTTTGAATCCAATCTCTACTCATTTGCAGACTGTAAAATTCTGTTTTCCTGTTGAATTTTTCATTTCAGACAAGTAGAGCAAGTAGTTTGAACTGTTTGATTCAAATATAAACTGTTGAAGCTAAGTTTTTACTTAACTGGCTAATTAATACATGCTCAGCATATTCATCGAATTTTGAAGAGAGAAATATGCATGTGGTACTTTTTAGGCACTTTCTTGCTTATCCTGTCTGGTGGTTTATTCAGGATGAGAGGGGGCACTTTACGAAGAATGATTTCTACTAAATTTTTACAAAAAGATTCCGAGAAATGCACATATGTTTAAAAGTTTCAAGTCATTCCATGAATTGACTTTTGGTAACAATTTAATTTTATATAATAGCAGGATTCCTAGACCTGCCTAAAATTTCGTCTACTTGATTTGTACATTTTGTAAATATAACACTGAATAATAGCTTTGCAATTTTGTACGACTGTAAATACTTTTTTTCGTTCAATTTTGACGGTGAATTAAAAGTTGTATTATAACACTGCATCAATTTCTACATTTTTCCTTTTTTGAAATAATGTCGAATTTAGTATTCGATTTGTTAATTTGAGCCAGGATTGTCGACTTTTTGTCAAAAACTTTTTCAGCTACATCTCGACCTCTCCCCTCCTGAAAATTTCTATCAGATTTCGTGAAAAACGCTAATGTTTCTCAGAAATGCTTTACAATAAAACAGTAAAAAGGTTGGTTCACAAAAAATATAACACCATTCGGAAAATTCTATTGAGCGCCTCCGCTTCATGCATTAATAGTTAGGCGCAAAATACGGTTGGCGTGCAAGAAAATTAAAAGCTTTCTTCAGGTTGCTTGGTGCTCTCAACTTCATCGGTTTTAAGTAATACTTGTGAGCAGAAATATAAAAAAAATTCTTAGACACGTCTGGAAAAAAAAAGAAACAGAAAACTACTTTGGCTTTCGCATAAAAAAACTTTTGAGCGTCTGTTAAAATTAGGAAGAAATTGACTCTTGTAGTCCTAAACTTACCCATCGGCAATGCAAAAAACAAAATTTGCTTCGACTTCTTTTATTTTATATTGTTTTGGGAGACTACATGTATAAGTACTAATTTTATGGTACTATATACCGTTATGACAGTATTACTGCTCAAAGCTCTTTAAGATTCAATCCTTCAAATCCCTAAACAGCGTTGAAAGTTTTACATATAGTCAAAACGTGTTAAAAGCGGACTAGATTTTGAATTATTTGATAAGTCCCACGACACAATATATATTTCGCGGTGCGAAAATTTAAAATAAAAATGAAGAAGAAAACTCATCAAGCTAAGTGATGAAATTACAATAGTGATCCGTCAAAGAAACAACCTCGATCGATCACTATTACCATCTTTAAGCTCGCTGGATTTACAAAATAATTTTCTCATATTTACAACCAGCACATTTATCAAGACGATTTCTATTACCTATTTTTCAGATAATGATACTATTCCCGAATATTTCGGATATATGGTAGTACCATTTCCAAATGAGCCAAATTTTGGAATTGGACTGCATTTTGCAATTAGGAACTATAATTCCGGCCCGGTTTGAAAACAACGTATGTGCTATTAGTTTCCCTATGCACATAAGTGTTTTTTCAGGTGAGCCAGAATTTATAGTTCCAAATTGCAAAATGCAGTCCAATTATGACTTTCATAAGGGGAACTTAAGGCGCTCTCGACAAGTGGGGCTGCATAGCAGTCAGGGGAGCAATGAGCATCTATCAAAATTAAACACCCATAGATAAGACTATTTCAATGAATGCTCTCGAAGTGACCACTGATTGTGAGTCAGTTTAGGGGTTAAAAAATCGCCGACGACCTGGCAGCAATGTTGTCATGGCTCGTTTGACTGAGGTCTCCTGTATCAAATCATTTGAGGACGTCACACTTGAGCCCACTGAGCGCTCTGTAAACAGCATCTCGCCTCGTCTCTTTCACGCAAAGGTATGTGTCTCTTACATTTTTACTTCTTTCAATCATCCAACAATCTAACCTCAAATTGTTTTCGTAAGTTTGAACCCCACTCACGCTGATTTGGTATCGCGGCAAAGATGCTGTGGTTAATGATGGTTTTCCGGCGAAACCACCCATCAGTAATTATCAAAGGCGTTGAACTGTGTTTACTTTTGAGAGTCAACGGCAAAGAAATACTTTTGCGCATATAAGGTGAGCTGACATTTACTCAGCAACCTTCATCAGGGGGGCATTCATAAATTACGTTACGCACCTTTTCGGAGGTTTTGACCACCCTCCCCCTCCCCTTTTCAACGCTTTGTAACGCAAACCCGGACACCCTTAGTTTTACGCTTATTTAACGCTTGACGCCCCCTCCTCCTTGAGGTCCCAAAAATTGAGAAAAACTGATGAATACTTAACTGGATGAAATTTGAAGTTTTTTTTTAATGATAGTGTGACAAATAACATCCAAGAAATGAGGATGATACATTTTGGATTTTGTGCTTGTTCCCAAGTAAAAGGCTTTTATGACGCTTGCACTGACCACCTTCTCCCTTCTTTGTAACGCAGCGCGACGCAGCCTTATAACCCCTCACCAACCCCCGACCTCTGTCCCCCTCCCCTACAAGCGTTACGTAATTTCTGGAAGCTCCCTAGATCTTGAATCATCGTCCAAGCACTGATCACCAAATTTTTACAGAATACTACGGCGTGACCGCACGCATTCACTCGAAGCACTTATTGGAGTAACTCAACCCAACCATTGAGATATTTTTAGAGAAAATTAAGTAATTATTATTCCATAGGAAATCACCAGGATTACACTATTATTGCTATAATGAAAAATTTCTGGAGTGTCCCAGCAATCTTATGATTTTTTCTTTCTCCGATTGAATTGATTGAATTTGAACTATCGACTTCTTGATTTTTTCAGGTATGCGCTTCGGAGTTTTCACAATGCCATCGAATCAGAACGGTCTTTCAGAGTGGTCAAACAATTGGACTGAAAAGAATTGCTCGTCTGATGACGACATCAATAGCTGGCATTATTGGTTTTTTCTCGTTTATCGAACATTCTTTGAAACACCAGCTAGATTTTTGAAACTGTTACTTACAGTGAGTGAACTTTTTTCGAATTTTAATAGGTACTTATTTAATTGATAAGATAAATACACGTTGAAATTACATATATGTACATTCACCAGGAAAGAGGATCATTTGAGATATTGTCGCAAATGAGCTTTTAGCTGGCTCATTGCTTATTCAAGAGAAAGAAATTATTGAAAAAGAGAGAGCTCATAGCTAAATGATGGCAACACTGGGAGGCAGGAAACGCAGGCAGGCAACCTGTAGTGAAGGGGAAAACACCCAGAATAAAACAAGGTCAAAACAGAATCAAGACTTGTAAAATGAGTACGAAAGTATGAAGATCTAGTTACAGAATTTAGTGGCGTGATCCGCCATCAATGGAAAACGTTGAAAAGATTATTTGAAAAAAAAAATGTAAAAATGTGTAACGAATTTAGAAAAAATTGCATGCCAAAATATCATTAACGTTTTATTAATTTAGGTGTCGATTTTCCTGTCACCTGCGCATTTGGAACTATAAATAAATCATGATGAGGTGATGTTCACTCTGAACGACACGAACGTGAGAAATGAGATAGCTTTGTTAAACCTCTGAAAAATAATTCGTGCACAAAAATTTTGAATGCGAAAACGAAAATACGTGGTTTTGAGTTAACCATCCACTAGTAATTGATCTAAAAATGTTATCATTGGTGAGAGGAACATAGGGACCGTGATCAAAACACTAGGGGAGTCGGCTGGGTACACCCCCTCCCTTTTATTTTGGTCTCTCATAAATTGCGAAGACTTTTATGGAATAACTGAGTTAAATTTCTGTCCTCTTTGAAATGCTACTGGAATCAATTTTTCAGTAAGAACGTATTGAATATACTTGTTTAACGCCGCAGTTTTCCGATTTCCACCGCAGATGCTGTCCTAGACCCCCTTCCCCCTTTAAGCTGAAGGAGTGCCAATATGTGGGAACCTTGGTTGTTCATGATGAACACCTTTCTTCGTATCCCCTACACGTACACATACAAAAAACTCCCAGTTTCGCCCATGGTGGACGCCTGACTTCATGAATCAAAATGTATGAATATAAATATTAAGTTCGACTTCTCTCCGCAAAAAAATTTCAGTTCAGGAGAGCAGCAGTCCCTTCTGCAAAAAGCATTTTCAAAGTTCATTCGCGTGAACGACATGCTTTGTCAACGTGTCAGCGTTCACTCCCTCACTGCAGATAGCACTAACAGTTTTGCAGCAATTTTTTGCTGCAAAAAGTGACATGATCGCTTTAAATTCTCTTTCGTGTATTTGGAGGAATCCACACGGAAAAAATAGGACGCCACCAGCCATTGGTTGCGACAAAAATCCTATTTTTTCCGTGATGTTGCATAATTTCTCCGGTGTTTTATTTTCTAAACAAAGAGAAACGAGACACCGTTTAACATTTTGTGAGTATATTTTTTTTCTTCATAATCCAGACTGTCCTAGTGTCCTTGCAGGATGTTTGAAGGTATTGAGTAGTTAAGCACATACACTGAGAAAAAGCTATGGTTTATAAACCTATTAGTGGTAAATATGGAACACCTATAATAGTCGTAAATAAACTAATGATTCTCGGTCTGTGAACCATACTAAGGTCTCTGTACCTAATTAAGGTACAGAGACCATAACTAAGGTATATGTGCTATTATTATATGTAGAGGTACTACTATTAGTGGTGTTCCATATTTACCTCTAATAGGTTTATAAGCCATAGTTTTTTCTCAGTGTACATAAAGTCGCTTTTAAAGCGCCGCCTCGCGCTCTGCGACGCCCAATCGCCATTGCCCCCTATCCTCCCAGAGATCATCAGGCAATTGGCACCTTCTGATCTCCTCCTCCACCCCTTGTCGCCAACCTTTCACAGGACGTCCACGCCGTCGCCTTCCGGGAGGAACCCAATCGAAGACCTGCTTGGGCAACCGGTCGTCTGCCATCCTTCGCACATGTCCATACCAGACCAACTGCTTGGACCTGATATCGTGCACGATGTCCTTCTCTACACCCATGATCTCGCGTACTTTTACATTGCGGATACGCTCTCTTCTTGAGATGCCAGCAGACCTCCGCCAAAAGTCCATCTCAGTTGCCCTAAGCATGTCTTCAGTTCTTTTCTTGAGTTGCCAGACCTCACTCCCGTAAGTTACGATACTCTTCACGATGACGTTGTAAATTTTCCTTTTGGTCTCCTTGGAGATACTCTGGTCCCAGAGAACCCCATTCAGCATCGCGATAGCTTTCCTGCCTTGCACATTCCGATCTTTAATAGCCCGATCCAAATTTCCGTCCTTAGTTAACCAAACTCCTAGATATTTATACTCTTCACAGTCCTGAATTTTCCGACCATCCTCCAGTTCAATGCTTTGCTGATCACCACCGATAACCAACTTCTCCGTCTTAACCACATTTACTTCCATTCCCCACTTTCGGTATACTTCCACTAGCTTCCGCGTCATGTAATTCGCATCTTCTTCGTCCTGAGCTATTACCACCTGATCATCAGCAAAGCACAGAGTATAAAGGGTGCCATCTTCACGTAGCGGGACGCCCATTCCCGAACAGCATCTTTTCCATTCCTTTAAAACTTCTTCCAGGTACACTTTAAATAAGGTTGGCGACAAACAACACCCTTGTTTCAGTCCTTTAGTAATTAAAAACCCCAACGATAAGTCCCCATGCGATTTAACCCTAGAAAAAGCCCCACCATAAAATTCCTTAATAGCACTAATTAGTCCCCCACTAAAACCCCTTTTGTTTAAGGCTTCCCAAAGTTTCATCAATGGCACACTGTCGTAAGCTTTCTGGAGATCCACAAACACTAGATGTAATTCCTGGCCAACTTCCTTCTTTTTCTCGATGACGTGGATGATGGTAAATAAGTGATCAATCGTTGACCGACCGGCTCTGAAACCTGCTTGCTCTTCCGCTTCATGTTCTTTCCACTCCTCTTCGATTTTTGCTTTCAGGATTTTTCCATACACTTTGCTTAGGGTACCTGCAACCGACAGTCCTCTATAGTTATCACACTCATCTTTTCTACCCTTCTTCTTGTATATAGGTGACACCCAAGACTCTTTCCATTCTGTCGGTACCTTTCCACCGTCCAAGCAATCTTGCATCAGGTATCTCAACCGTTGAAACAGCTTGCAGGTTCCACACTTGATCAACTCAGCAGGATTATTTCCCGGACCCGGAGCTTTATCGTTCTTCAGCTCTCGTACGGCCTTAACCACGTCCTCCATATGGATCTCCAAGTTATGATTATCGTTAGTATACTCCAAGCTTACACCTCCATCTTGAAATTCAGGTCGCCTTTCTGTCAGTAAATTTTTAAAATAACCCTCCAGTTTATCAATGGATATCGGAGATATCAAGTCCCGCTTCATGTCCCTTCGCAGCCCTTTCAGCAACTTCCAGCTCTCAGTGCTTTTCCTTCCTCCTATGTACGTGTCTATTTTGTTACAGCTCCTCTCCCAAGATTCGTTCTTTTTCTTGGTTATGAGCCTTCGTACCTGGGTCTGAGCTTTTTTATACGCCTCTTTGTCTTCTGTTTTTTTAGAGGAAAGGAACTGATGATATTTTTTCCGTTTCTCCTGAATCTCCTTCTCAATTTCCTCGTCCCACCAGTAAGGTTTTTCGCTAACTTTCCTATCATCAGCGACACCAAGAGCCTCCATTGCTGCCGAGTGAATGCAATCCTTTAAGAACTGATACTGCTGTTCGGTATCACCGTCCCTTGATTCGCCCAACTTCTCATCCAAGCGCTTTCCATATAAAGCCCTTACACTTGGATGCTGCAAGCTGTGAATATTATAGTTCACAAGCTTGACACGATCTTTTTGTTGGTGAACCTGTTCCTGTGCTTGCCTGGTCTCCTGGCTCCCTTTCACTGGGAAAGCTATTTTCGCCCCGAGGAAATAATGATCACTGCCGCAGGAAAGACCTCTCCACACTCTAACTTGCTGAATCTTCATTCCCGTGTCTTGTCTAACAACCACATAATCAATGATTGATTTCAATCCGCGAGTAGACTGAACCCAAGTAAATTTATGGATATCCTTGTGTTGGTAGAACCCATTGAGCACCTTCATGTCCCTTTGCTCACATACGTCAATGCCGAAAGGGCCGACGATCTTACTTTTAATTTGACGTCCTATTCTACCATTGAGATCTCCCAACACAATGATTTCCCTCCTGGATCCAATCTTGCCGATCTCCTCGTTCAATTCTTCAAAAAATTGGTCCTTCACTGCGACAGTAGAATCATCGTTGACTCCATAAACTCCCAAAATGGTGATTTTATGGCCAAACACTGTCATATTCATCTTTATCATTCGGGGGTTAATAGCTTCCCATGTAGTGATGCACTTCCGTAGGCTCTTGCGAATAAGAATTGCAACACCCTGCTGAGCTCGCTGATCTTTTTCCACGCCACTATAAAACAAATCGTATTCCTTCACACTTAGAGAGCCTTGTCCTTTCTTCTTCGTTTCTGTTAATACTGTGACATCAAATCCGTGACTCCCTATCTCCGATACCACTTCCGTCATTTTCGTAGAAATTCCTTGTACGTTCCATGTTCCAAAAACCATCATCCGTTTACGTAATTTTTTCCGATAAATCCGTTTATTTCCATTTGTACCGAGGCAATTGTTATTGGGTCTTTTAATAGTATTTCTTTTTCCGAGTATCGGGGAGTTAGCCCGATGACTCAACCCCCAACCTGGAGGACCGGGGTTTGATTTCGGAGTTTCCTCTCCTAGACAGGTTGCTTCCACTACAGCTGAGAGCCCTGTCTGCCCTTCCAATGAGTGGTTCATACGCCTTGAAGCCGGTGACCATCTCCACTACCCCATAAGGCAGGGGTTACCAGCTGGGGTCCGCAGGATTGCTAAACCTGTGACATCAGTCCCCCATACGGGGAAGTAGTTAAGCTCTCCGTTAAAAAAAAGAAAAAATAATAATAACAACAGTACTATGACGCCTGAACACTTTTTCCAGTATATTCTCAGATTATAAAGAATGAGCGCACAAAGTCTCAAGTGAGAATATTCTTCAATTTTTTTATGAAGCAATAAAACACAAAAAGATGTCAGGCAACGTTTTATTTAGTTGGGCTGAATCTGGATAAATTTGTCCAATCGGCCATTATTATTTTACCCACGAGTAATAAAAATATTTCAGATTTCAGAACCAGTATAGAAAAGTTTCGCATATTGCGCACAGTGTTCAGAGGTACTGATAAATCCTTGCAATGTTAGGATACATTAGTTGTCTCGTGTGTGTCCGGTAAGGAAGCAGACCTAAACCTGGCATTGATGCAGTGATTCATCGTTACTCTAACATAATCTAATTAATTAGTGCAGACATTCTTAATTTGTGAGCATTGTTGTCGAATTACTATTTCAACCGTTGAGTCATTGTTCAGGCCGGCTACGCTGAGTGCGTGCTCAACTCATTCACTGGGCTTTACTTTGATGCGTCTCTTAGTACCTCCCTGCATCAACGCTCTTGATTTCTTCATATTCTTAGACCAAAAAAATACAAATAAAAAAAAAAATAAAAAATAAAGAAAATTGATGGATAAATGGCGAAGCAATCTCGCAATGTCTGTGTCTGGTGCGCAAAATAAATGTTCGGTTGATCTCGATGCATTCACGCGAGGTTGTTTTCCTGGAAAATGAGAAGCACTGAAATATTGCAAAATGAAATTTTTTTAAGTTTTGAAAAATTCGTGAGCTACGCTATGCTAGCGAGTTAATACATACATTAGAGCCAATTTCAGAGGTTTCTCTGACACCAGCCGCTGAAGTCCACTATTATCCCACAGCCCTCCCCCCCGCTCCAAGAACTGGGGTTCCCTTATTTCTTGCAAAACGCCCCGTCCCCCTCCTTTTATTGGACGCCCCCTTTCGTCTGCTCAAGCATTTTCTTTGGCAGCCTCTCTTTTATCATCCTGTTAATATGACCATGCCAGACTGGCTGTTTTGTCATGACGTCGAAGACGATGATATTTTCGACTTCCATGATCTGACGCACTATAATAATTTAATCGGTCAGTTTAAAAAAGGCTCAAGTGCCAGATATAAAAATACGAAAAAACAGTAGAAACTCGATGAACCAACCCGTTATAAATTGCCGATGAATTAATAATGTGATTAATTAATTCATCGCTTTAATATTGAAGAGCTCTGAGATTTATAAGGGCCAATGAAAACGGTTATTACCGTTTTTTCCGAGTTTTCATTTTTGGCGTTTGAGCCCTTTTGTGACTGACCGATTCAATTACAGGCCCGGTCACTTTTAAAAATTCCTGCCAACTTCCTTCAAAAACCCATCTTCATTACTTTTATTATGCCTCTCTGATTAAGAGATATTGTTTTGACAGGTTGGCACTGTAGTCTGTCAAATTTGGCTCATGATTGACAAAATGGAATATGCGGACGTTATAGTCGGGTATCCTTTTGACTTCTTTTTTTACACCGTCTCGTTCTCTTTGATGACGTCTTTATTCTTGCTTACTTCCTCTGTGTTCTCTCGTCGATCTTTCAAATCAATTCAGTCTTCCTCCTTCGTAAGTATCCTTCATTTCTTAAATATTTCCTACCGCATACTTTTTATTTAGCGATTGCATCTTCATCAAAAGCGTGCACTGTGTGCATCAGAGGCGGATCTATAGCAATTTGGCAAAACCGGATTTCCTCCATTTAAACCAATGTTGAATAATCGATTCTTGTCGGAGCACCTGGCCCCTCCAAGAATCGATACATTTCCATAGGCTTAAATGGAGAAAAGACGAGTTAACCAATTTCCTGGATCCGCCAATGTCTGTGTGAAAGCTGGAGACTCACTGCCTCTGCATAAACATTTAAGAAAGAATATATACATTCTCATCACTAATGTATTCAAAAACATACGAGCTCCAATACATCATCATCAAACATTTTTAAATCAAGAATGTTGAAGTTATTGCTTGGTTTTGAGCCTACTTTGCAGTCGAAGACGAAGGTACTGGATGGTGTGGAAATGGCATTTTGTAATATACCGCATTATATGACCACATTTTACATTAAGGAACTACAAGTTTAAGCTCATTTAAAAAATAACGCCTGTGCCTGAAGTTCTGCCGTCAAATTCATCTCGACCAAAAATAGTGAGGATAACTCCGACATAAATTGTGTTGCTTTGCGATTTCAGGTGCTGTTATTTGATGTGATTGCAAGCATTTTGTACATTTGCACATCAACTAACTTATTCTTTTCGACTCGCAATTTTAAAAAGGAGTACGACTTATTGGACAAAACGTATTTAAATCCACTAATCTGGGATCTATACTGCTTATCAGTAAGTACTTAATACCACAGTAAAATTAATGATAAATAAATATAGAATGATTTTCTTGTTTGTTGTAAGATCATCATGCCGCCCGCATATCCTTTTACCATCCTTAGGTAGTCGGTTGACTGTATTGGCAATTTTGCAAGATGGCCAGACTGTGTTTCCTGCATTTATATCTATTAAAAATGTCGATTTTATGTAAGATTTATTAACTTTCTCACCAAGAATCGATTGTCTTATATGTATATTTAAATGGAGGAAAAACAGAGCAGCCAACTTGCAAGAATCACCACTGCAATAAGCAAAGGAATTGGATATATATTTATTCTAATGTCGAAAAAAGATAAGTATTGTCAAAAAAAAAAACAGAAAAATATTTTTGTGCATGCACCGTTTATACCTTTTCGTCCCGATTGCATCTCCACAATTTATATACCACTCAAATTGAATAAGCTAAAAAAAAGCTGAACTCAAAAATTTAAAAAAAAAGTCCAAACAATGATTTTTCTTCACTGAAATATAAGGTTTCAATACACTGCTTGGGCTGCGATCTTTCGGTAAAAATTGGCTTTAAAAGCTACGTTTCAAAATACTATTGGCATTCTTATAGCCGGCCATAAAAAGCGATATAAATCATACAGTTCATCATACAGACTATACAGTTCATTGCCTGGCTATAACTTTATCGCCATACGCTATGAAAGGCTATAAGAAATTGTCGGTTATAGAAGCTATAAGAAATCCTATAGCCGGCTATAGGTCTATGGTATTTTGGAACATAGGTCCCATAGCCAATTTTTACAAGGGTCGTGCTCAACAGCATGAAATTGCTCTTCGGCTCACCAGCTCCCACCGGGTGACTCAATGTAATCATAGATACAAATTTTTAAGAGCAGCCTGAGACAATGATAACAGTGAAAAAATCGAGGAGGAAAAACAGGAAACAAGGCTGAAAATACACAATTAATAAAACCCGAGGCGTTTCGACTCAAAACTGAGTCATTTTCAGTCAGAAACAATACAATTTTTTTTTAAAAAAAAAAAACATTAAAAAACTGAGTCCCGGCCACCATCATGTAGGGCTCAAGTTTTTCATCGGTTTTTTTTTTTTTTTTTTTTTAAATTTTTATTGTTTCCGACTGAAAATGACTCAGTTTTGAGTCGAAACATCTCGGGTTTTATTAATTGTGTATTTTTAGCCTTGTTTCCCGTTTTTATTCCTCCTTGTTTTTTCCACGGACTCAGTGTAGTTTATTCGTAATACAATTCCACTGTATTATGCACACTTTGATGCTAACTATGAGTTTCGAATGACGACCTCTCTTAATTATCATTTAACGTTTTAACTTATTTAAGTTTGTTAATCTTTCAGGCTGGCGGCTGTGTTTTAGCAGGGCTTTATCTGACGGATGCTCTAATCGCATTAAAATACAAGAAGGTGAAGGTCAGATAAGAGTTCTACATTTTCTGTAAGGCTCTCGATTCTTTTTTGTTAATTACTAGGTGAACGCTCATTGGATAAGCAGAATCAGGGGTCAATGACTCCGAGATGGTGAAGCTAAAAAAGAATTTACTAACTCTCCAGGGGGCCCTTTTCATTTTCACTTTCTTTTCCCTCTTTCTTATTTGTTTCTCTCAATGTACTTAACTTGTCCCATTTTGTACATACGTCTGTCTATTAGTTACATATATGTAAATATAAAAATAAATTTTATGTCACTGAAGATTTTGAAAACTTTCTTTTTGATACGGTCAATTGCAAGAGCTTGAATCGCTCCACTTGCATCCAGATAAAAAGAGGAAGGAAAAATGAAGATTATTCGCACCGATAGATGACAAAATAAAGTCACGAGGAAATTCTGTTTTTTTGTTTTATTACGTATAATTTTTAAATCCCTTTTATTAAATTCAAATCTCCTATACTCAATTACCAGCTCGGATAAAAAAGCTCTGAGATTGAGTGAGAGAGATTCGTTGAAAAATGATTCTGAGTGCATCTGCGGCAAGTATCACTTTTAACTCAGCAAGAATAAGGTGATCATTTTTTAACTGTCTTGAAATTGTTCAAGAGTGCCTACCTATCATCAATTTTGGTTTTAACTCACAGAGTTTTTGTCTTAAATATATTCAGCAATTAGCGAGCTTCCGAACTGAAAAGTTCGGCAATTGCTCATTTTACTACGCTGTGTTTCATATGGGCTGAACTTTGGTGAGTGCAACCGATTTTCTTTTCAATGTAGCGCAGAGCGCGCTTTTTGGAAGTTACACTTTGCATTGCAACCAGGAGGAAATAGCCCATGTGATTTATAGTGAACTATCAGTAATTTCTCTATGACTGTGATTTCTTACAGAAATAAAAATTTTCCGAGAGAGAAAAGTATTTTTAGAGCAGTTTTTGTTATAGATAAAAAATCGTCGCACAATGTTAATAAATTGGTCAAGACCGTGTGTCCGGCATCCTTGACAGTGACCAGCCCGCGGGTTCGAGTCTTGACCCCGCAGCTATCAATTGGTGGCACTGTCGCGCATGGATGCCGCGCTGAACATAAAATTGTCGTTAGCAGTTTCAAGTATTCAAAGTATCTCAACGTAGTATGCTTAGTTGATAACCACCACTAGTTTAGATACATTTATTAAAGAGTATCTTGACGTTTACTACCAAAAATTTTACGTGTACGTAATATATGAGAAATATTAATATTTCTCATATATTTAATCAGGAACAGTCGGAGTATTACTAAGCACTACTTGACAACAGCCGTTAGCTCGAATGCACATACTTAATGTTATAATTCAAGAACCATCACAGTCAATTCTCCCCTCTTTTGATGTCCATTCCGTATAGTAAACATGGTTGCTCTTTCAAAGGAGCATTTTACTGAGGGACGTGCACGCGTAGGATCTTGCGTAAAAGCATACGCGGCGTATATTTTTAGAAGAATCTTTTAAGAACGTGTAACCAGTGTAAAGATTCCACTTCCAGCCACTCATACAGAGTTTTTTTTATTTTCTTTTTTTTTTCTCTTTTTTTTACAGGCTAGGGTTGTGGTGTGTGTAAAGTAGATACTTCGATATTTTCTTTGTTGTTTTTGAAGTTTTCCGTGAACTTATACCTAGTTATAAACAGCAGTTTTTTTTAGTTCGCATGAATCAGTCATCGATGATGCTTCCTTATGTGGTAATTTCTCTAAACATGTTTCACTGACACAGATTTATTTAAAAGAGTTTAACTACATCGTTTCCAAAAATATTATTTAATGCATATTTTCTTTAAAATAAAATTGAGTCCGTTATCTCAAAATGTATTGAATTTGATAAGCACTTGATATTGCCAAAAATAATTTTGTCTCTTTAATTTTTCGCATCTCATCATGCAAAACAGTAAGTGCAATTGCCCTGAGGCATACCTGGTGCAACACTCTAGCGTATTTTTATGCATATTTTTAGGTATACAGTACCTGCCAACAGTGGAATACGAATTGCAATAGTAAATTAATTCGTAAATTGTATCATGACTGAAAAAAGCGAACTTTTAACTTACTGATAATTACAAAGAAGTATCATGCGATATTCAAATATTGCATACAGAAATTTTGCAGTTTTTGGGATCCTCCTGCAAATCCTATTAATTGTTACCGAACCCTCTCCACAATTCTGATTCGTTTTTCAATGAAATTGGGCCAAAAGTTTCCATCGCCTAAAACAAAATATTGCAATTTGTCAATAAATATTTATACCTAAACCGTTTCTTGACGCTGAATTTTGGTCCCCTTTTCCGTAACGTAGGTCAAAATGCATTATCCTGTTACTTGATCACTCCCTTGATGATCTCAAGGCAGGAGGCAGGCCAGTTAAGTCACTTTTAATTGAAGAATCACCCCGAGAAAGGACTTATGTCCATCGAGTGTTGCTAAGATCGTGCAATTCTGTCGTTAATTTTCCTCCGATAAAAATCCATTTAACATTGCACAAAATATTCAGAAATTACACTTCATAAAATTCGAATATTTTAGAGAGCAAACATACAAAGTTAAGAGCTCCTGACTGACAAAGAACCGCATTAAAAGCTGCACAATCTTCGAAGCGTCGAATGCATATCGTCGCTCCTCTGACATAAGGGCGCATCCCTATTGCAACATGAGCTCCGAACAACATAGAATTATCTGGAGAACAGAGCCCACGTGTAAAATGAGATACGCCCTTATATCATAAGAGCGATGATATGTGCCCCTTTTTCCTAATGATCCCTCACTGAAAAAAAATTCTCGGCGTTTTTACCAAGGTCCGTTGGTACCTTTACCATCTCAGTTCTTTTACCAATTATTGGTAATTTTACCAAGACAGACTGGTAAGCTTACCTAAAAACCGGTATTTTTACCGTTTTTTCAGGTAAGAATACCACTTTTATTGGTAATCAATTCCCGGTACCTTTGACATTTTATCTCGGTAATTCTACCACAGTCGATGAAAAATATTGGCGATTTTACCAAGGTCCAGTAAAATTACCGAGAAAGTTCAATAATTTTACCGAGATTTCTCGGTAAAATTACCAATTCCATAAATGGTAATTTTACCAAGAAAAAACTGGGATCAAATAGAACCCTGAATTCTTGGTAATTTTACCCTTTTCCTAGTAAATACCCCGAGATTTTTTTTTTCAGTGAAGGGCGCATCTCTATTTCAACATGAGCTCCGAATAACATAGAATCATATGGAGAACAGAGCCCAAGTGTAAAATGAGATACGCCCTTATATCATAAGAGCGATGATATGTGCCCCTTTTCCCTAATGATCCCTCACTGAAAAAAAATTCTCGGCGTTTTTACCAAGGTCCGTTGGTACCTTTACCATCTCAGTTCTTTTACCAATTATTGGTAATTTTACCAAGACAGACTGGTAAGCTTACCTAAAAACCGGTATTTTTACCGTTTTTTCAGGTAAGAGTACCACTTTTATTGGTAATCAATTCCCGGTACCTTTGACATTTTATCTCGGTAATTCTACCACAGTCGATGAAAAATATTGGCGATTTTACCAAGGTCCAGTAAAATTACCGAGAAAGTTCAATAATTTTACCGAGATTTCTCGGTAAAATTACCAATTCCATAAATGGTAATTTTACCAAGAAAAAACTGGGATCAAATAGAGCCCTGAATTCTTGGTAATTTTACCCTTTTCTTAGTAAATACACCGAGATTTTTTTTTCAGTGAAGGGCGCATCTCTATTTCAACATGAGCTCCGAATAACATAGAATCATATGGAGAACAGAGCCCACGTGTAAAATGAGATACGCCCTTATGTCATAAGAGCGATGACGTGTGTCCCTTTTTTCTCATGATCCCTTATTTAAGAATCTATCTAAAATTGCCAATTTGAAACACTCTTATGACTGCAGGATATTCAAAGATGACCTACCGCCGTTCCTGGAGGTTGCATTTCCGGGAATATCCCAGTCGAGCCCATCGGCCTGGCTGAGTCCCCCGGGAGCTAAAAATGAGTGGGCAATTGCGCTCCCTCTCCTCCAATCTCCGTGCTGATACCAAGCTCCCAGACATCAGTGCTTCAGAGTTTAATCATGCTTTTTGCCGGCTCTTATCATCCCAACTCACTTGTGCTTCGCTTTAGGATACTCAGTTACGTAACAGCAAGAGTGATTTGAAATTCAAGGTAAGCAGAGTTTTTTTTTTCTTTAAGTTCGGACCAATTATGCCAGAAGGGAAAATATGGGATACGCGTCCCTGGTGATTTTTTTTTTTATAATTGATTTGTCTACAATTGGACTGCATTTTGCAATTTGGAACTATAAATTCTGGCTCATCTGAAAAAACACTTATGTGCATAGAGAAACTAATGACACATACGTTGTTTTTAAACCGAGCCGGAATTTATAGTTCCTAATTGCAAAATGCAGTCCAATTGAGGAGCTTTCTAGGAAAAGGGTCTGGATAAAAAAATCGCATTTGAAGCTTTCATGTGACTTTCTGGCCACTGAGGACGGTGATTTACGTTGAAATTTGGACACTTATATTAAATTTAATACACCCTTGAATGAAAAACGACCGTTGGTAAAAATTATACTCCTTAAAATACTGTGGAAAAAATTATTAAAAATTTCAGTTTTATGGGCCCTATTCGGGAAAATAGGCCGCTGGTCATTATGGTTTTCGACGCATCAACGAGTTTTCATTTTAAAAGAAAAAATTATAAATCTCCTCTGAATAACAAAAAATCTACTTTGGCTGTTAAAAGTATTTAAAGAAAAAGAAGAAAAAGCTGCAAGTCATTATTTTTCTCCACCTTAAAATACGCTCCTCTCCTTTTTTTTTTTTTTGAATATTTTTGACAGCAAAGATTTTTTTTATCATGTGCGGCAGAAGAGATTAATAATCTTTGTTTTTGTTCAAAACTTCGTGCATGTCTCAAAAGTGCAGCTTTGAAAGCCATCGGTCCATTTCCGGGCATAGGGCTCATAACGGAAAATTTTAAAAATTCCCTCCAAAACACTTTACTAGAAGCGTAGTTTTTCCGATGATCGTTCTTTTTTCGAAGGTGTGTAAACTTTGATTCTTGTGTCCAAGTTCGGTGTAAGCCAGGAAGAATTATTGATATTCATACAAATGCGATCTCTAGATTTGGGCCCTTTATCCGGAAAACTCCTCGATATCTCTTCAGAGGCGGATTCAGCAATTTGGCAACATCGGATTCCTCCATTTAAACCCATGCTAAATAGTCGATTCTTGTCGAAGCACCTGGCCCCTCCAAGAATCGATGCATTTCAATAGGTTTAAATGGAGGAAATCCGGTGTTGCCAAATTGCTGAATCCGCCAATGTTTCTTTTAGTCTAAATACGTTCAAACCGGGATGTAGCGTGACCGTCATCGGAAAAAGAGACCTTGGTCCAGGAGAACTAAAAATTGGGTCACTGATACCAATGCATATGCAAGTATTGTGTTTTATATAATATTAAGGAAATGACGCTCGAAATGTTGATACAACTCGAGGTAATGGCGGTTTGTCGTTAACAGTTGAGCAGACTCAACCGGGATCAGCCTAATTTGTATTTCCCATTGCCTAATCTCCTTAGGTTTAATGTTTTTTCCCCTTTCCAGAGAACCAAATAACATAAGGCCTTGAAACTTTGTGTACATCTCCCTTAGCTTAAAAGTAAATATTAGCAGATTCTTGTGTATCCGATATTCCATTATCCGAAACGATTCTCACGGAGCTTGCATTAGTTTTTTTTATAATGGAGAATTTGCACGCAATTTTTTTATTGCTTCATCTGAAAGTGCCTAATGAGCTGAGTTCGCAATATTTTTCATAATTTTTTTCTGACATGGGAAATTGGAGAAAAATTGATTTAAAAGTGAGAAAATGTGCCGCCTTGTGACGTCATCTGGCGGCATTTCCCATTTAAACACATGTATTTTAGCAGAATCGGTTATTTTGTCATATCTCCTCTAATAATTGCTCAATTTATGAATCAAGGGTATCTTCGTGTTCAGTTCACTCAGAGGATTCCACTTAAATAGGAAATTCATCAAATTTCAGACCCTTGCAAATTCTCCAAATACACTCCTTCTCAGGGGACACTTCTACGTTGAATGCTAATTACTTGAAACGCGCAATCATTTTTTCGCGATTTTTTTCTTTGAATTGAAGCTTTAGCTAAAATCGTACTTGATGACTGATTTGTACCACAGTCAACGTGATGACAGTGGAAGAATGTGAATTATCGAGTATCGAAAATTCGGAGTTGAAGAAACCAGTCGACAACTCTCAACGTCATGTTAAAACTTCATGCGATCGTTTCAACCCAGGGTTCTTACTCACGCCGATTGGGGTTCTCAAATTTTTACAGATCGTAAGTATTCTTCACAAATTTTCAATTTTACTGTGAGGTTAAACCATTCCATATATAGGGATGCATTTCGGTGCTATCAGCGCGTGAAAATTGAGCAAAAAATCATCGTTCCACTACTCAAAATGTTGTGAATCAGTGGCAGTTATATCAGAGCGTGGTAGTCTGTATCCTTTGATCATGTATAGCATACTACAAGTCGCCATCTACAAAACGTAAATTCGCTGCAATATGAAAAACTTTCCACCAAATTTAGGTGCTTCTTGTGATACGGTCAATATGTAAAGGCGGTACCTTTTAGTTGTAAGAAAATAACGCATGGTGCTTTTACAGTTCTTAGACAGTATATTAACTCCATGGCCACTTTTCAGCTACAATAATCACAGCAAAATCTCAGGAAAACCACTAAAAACTTCACAAGAAAGTTTTCCCGCGTTTATCTCATAATTCACTGTAGGTAATATCCAAAATTTGCTCTGACTTGGAAAATTTGGAATAATGTAGAAGCATTCCATAAATAACAACAAAACATAACACCTATGAACGTCAACGTAGATAGAGGATGCCCTGTCAACTCATGGATTGAGGGAATAAGGCTGGAAATGAGGAGATGCGCTTTGCCAAAGGAGCTCTGTCAAGATCACTGTCAGTGGCGGTTGGGTGTCGCAGAGCGCACAGAAGCGCTATGAGCGAGCGACTCATTAGTAGTAGTACAACAACACATTTTAGACTTTTATTTTCTTTTCACGAAATTAAAAAATTACTTTCCAAGTGCAAAACTTTGAAAGAAACACATAAGAAAGTACATCTTTTTTTGGCTACCGGAGGGAGGGAGAGGGGGTAAGGGTGGGTGAGGTTGCCCCCTCCCTCTCGAATTCAAGTATACTTATAGGGGTACCCTAGATACCCTACTATTTAGAATTAGTATAATTAAGGTAGTAAAAGAAAATCTTCAAACTTAAAAAAATTGGCGGTAGCTTAACCTAACTAGAGGAATCTGCTCAGTAATTGACAATCCACAATCATCACAGTAATGTTTCTTCCATGTAACTTCCTCAAAATCTCAAAAAAGATATCAAAATGTGTTCATAACGAGAGGCTCCTAGATCTGAGGGGACCGGGGAGAGGAGGGGGAGGGGGGTACTTTATGGGTGGAATCAGAATCTGGGACCTTGTTTATAGAGGACGAGGCATGAAAATCATAAAATTCTACAAAAAAACAGAGAAAAAAGTACCGCAGCTATCGAATAACCATATATTCTCAATAATACGGGCCTCGCAGGCCCAGGTTACTCGTTCGTGTAGGTAAAAACGGTTAGTCATCTATCGGTTAATGGATCGAAAGAGCCAAAAAAAGAAAAAATTATGAGTGAATTTTTGAAAGCCGCAAGTGAGGTGAAAACTCATTTCGACGACTGAAGTAAAATAAGTACGTGTCTCCGATTGCAACGTTGCGTTCATATTTCATAAATATAGATTTTTAACGGTAATCGTTACTAGGGTCATCTAGAGGGGTAAGGTGGGTTCCAACTTTTTTGAGGTACCGGAGCAATTTGTTACCTAATCCGTCTCGGGATCCCACGATTTTTTTTTCTTATTTATTTTTTTTTTTTTTTTTTGGCTTACATATTTTTCCGTTTTGTTCAAATTTCGGGGCCTCTTCCGCATTCTCAAAGGCGCTTCTGGCCCATCTCCTCTCTCTTAATTCTTGTGAGTCATGTTGTTTGCTTTATAGGGAAAGCCATTCGAAAGGATTGATCTCAAAATCACATCTTCAGTGTCTTCAATATTGAAGTTTTTTCAGGGACCCGTCACTTTAATTTGTCCCTGGGCTCATTTTTGTTAGAACGGCCCTGCCGGCACCGCACAGTAGATCGAGTCAATAGAGGAGGTTGGACAAAATTTGGAAATTTTAAACGCTTACAACTCCGACTATACAAAACTTGAAGTTTCGAAAAGTGGTTTCATTGGTGTCTCGTAAAATTGTCATTCAAAAGCAAATCTTGAAATTTAAAACGTGACAAAATAAACATCAAAATTTGCAGTTTTTGTTAGAAATGTCATGCCCGACCTCTCTAATTGATTCGATCCACTATGCGCCGGCGGCAAGCAACCAGCAGTTTTTCATGAAATCTGTGATTTCACTCTACTCGTTCGAAAGTATTCGCAGAAATTTTTTAAGGACACATTTCGGTTACCTACCTTCTTTTCAACAAAAAGATACACGATTGGCGATATTTCGACGTTATAGTAGAGATACACATTTTCTGACTTCAAACATCGATACTGCTAGTTTTTACCAGGGAACCGAATTTTTCTCAATGAGCGGAAACTACTTTTCCTATTGACGGCGTAGGTCGGCAACCACGTATTTCGTTTGCGGTGTTCAAAATCTGCGACTCTATATTATTTTTTTGAAGGAGAACAAGTTGACATCAGTTCTTGAAGTTTTCACAGAATTTTCTTCGCACAGAGGAAAAAAATTACGCCGGTTTTAAAGAATTGCCCTTGAGTAGTTTTCCGTTTAAAAAATAAAGTAGGAAAGGAAGGCTTTGACGGCGTAAATCGAGATACGGGGTCGCGGACTTGCACCGTCGCTACATTTTTTTACCTTTTTTAAAAAAGATTTTTTTGTTGCTAGATAACGGCTGGCGTTTTTTTGGCGGTTTTAGTGCATCATAGAGCGAAGTACATCCTCGTGGTTGGATTTTCACTGAAGCTCCTTTTTACGAGCTTGGTATCTGGTATGACACTGACGTCTGTTTTGTCGCTTTGCTATGCTCTCTCACGCAAATCCTACAATTT